TTATGTCATAATCCCATCTCATAATTTGATTTAAATAAGATTGTGCTGCAATCCCGGACATACGGAATTGTGATAAAGTACATAATTTCTCTTTAACTTGCACGTAGAACACATATATTCATGTTTCTATTCGTTGATTAAATCTCAAATGTTTGTGCTCTTCATTTTAAAAATATTTAATGAAATTACGTTCATTTGTAAATATTAGTAGAATATTTGGGTAGCCCGATACGGTCTTGGGCACAATTCATAGCTACGTGATGCTTTAAACTTGACAACCTTTGGCCCCTTTCAAGACATTTCATTGTGTCGTAAATCGGTGTTGCAATAGCAATTCCAGATTCAGAATCGTGGATGATCGCACAATCCGCCACTTTACCTGTTCGCAGTCCAATCCAAAGAGGTATCGTCCAAATGGTTCCAACTCGTTTGAAGGAAAACGTGTGATGAGCTTTGCGCAGAATTTTGGGCGAATTCAACTCCTTGACATTCCACGCCCGTGATGATATGCAGAAACAATTCCTCCATCGCAATTTCAATCTCCTATTCTCTCACGTTGCAAATGGTCTCCTACGAGGTTATTATTGTGTTCGCAAGAATGAACTAAGAAGAAGCTCGGTTCAGCTAAACTGCTGTGAGGAAAGCTCTGGAATCTCAAGCTTAGTGTGTTTGCCGAAATATCTTAAACCCTCACGTCTCGATATCAAAACCATTATTATCTAATTTTCATTCATGATTTCCATGTAGGAATTCGGGTCATTTTCTTGTCACTGAGCGCCTTCTGGGTGATTGATGACTACTTTATTTCATGGTAGAAATGAATTCAACACACTGGTTCAATAAGGCTGACTTTGGATGTTAGGTAATAACGGGGTAACAGTTTATCATACCTTTTTTATCGTGTATTATGTTCTATTAACAAAAAATGGATCATGAACATGTTCACAAGTTCTCATATGAAGTTTTCTCGTTTGCATATTGCGTGTGTTCACATCTACATGAACAAAGTTTGTAAGAACGATACAAAACGCTTAGTCTTGGAAGGAAGTATTTTTCCCCATTTGTAGAAAGAAAACGAGGAAAAAGAGAAAGCAGGGTGATGTGCAAAGAACTTAAAATCGAGATTCGGCCCAGGAACGCTTTCTCGCGTCAAAAGTGAAAACTTGAGCGGGTGCAACTCTAATGCGAAGATATAGAGCGAACTTCCCTCACAGAGTTTCATTCTCCAACTCCTTTGCACAATATGCAATATCATATCATGAAATTATCATTTAATCAGTTGCGAACTTATAAAATTTGTGGATTCGCAGATGAAAATTTGCACTTTTATAAATTGGAAAGAATGAAAACTCGTATAAACGTACATATATGCGATCATTCAAAGGCTTACAACGGCTCATACTAATATTCAAGTAAATTATAAAATTGCGTCATCTGTCTCAAATTGCCTCAACATGTACCAGGTCTCCCAGACCAAGTTTATTTGCTGTGTATATGATAAAAACTGTGGTGCAAATAATTTGGGTTCGATATTGCTATTGAATTGGGAGATAATGGTTTTACTTTTTAGCAATCAGTCAGAAGTTGTGGTCAATCTGAGAGAGGATCCTGAAATTCCATTGACAGGTCCTAATTGCACTTCGTCTCTTGCCCCTCTATTAGGACCGACTAGACAGACAGTTGTAGTTTGTTGGACAGACAAGACATGCAACTGATCTGTCCATTTATGTGCATTCCATGTTGGTGTGTATTGACGCACACACAGATACGTAATTTAGCACAGACAGACAATACGAGCCTTCATGTTTGTATAATAATGGAGCTGCTCGCTTCAACCGAGGAAGTTTGCATATGCACTCAAGAACAATTCAAAGTGGAAAATGATAATTTGCTAAAATGGAAAAATTAAAATGTAATTTCAACTCGTTATAACAAACTCGCTAATCCACGTCATGATAATAAACGAAAGTAAATTTTTGTGGAGCTGATAAGACATATCATCATCTCTAGCTGCTCAACCCTCGTGTAATTTCCCTCTCCTGCCTTCACTATTTGCACAAATTAAGATTTACGAGAATGGGAGTGAGTCCAATTAGCGATTGCAAGTGCCTCCAGCTTTCTATATTTGTTTATTAAATCTTGCTTTAAAAATCGTAGTTAAATATAATCTGGCAGTCCATAAATTCGTCAATCCCTTTGAGGCTGAACTCACTTAATGATTTTTAGTTTTTGAAAGTTTTTTTGTGTAAATTTTATAAATTCTATCAGTTTCATGAGAGGGTTAAAATCTTCAAGCTGAATAGTGAATGCATGAACATAAGATCATGTCCAATTTTGAGTGCGATACTGCATCCAAAGAACTATTTGGAAAACTTCATCTGGGACAAACCCTAGTAATAAATACATGCATACGCAAGCTACGAGCAATGCACATAATTAAAGATATATCATACGGGGTTATACACGCCAATTATGTGTTTCAGTTAAATTTGCCCTAAAGTGTACTTCTGACATTTTCTCTTATTCGGTCACCATTTGTGGTGTTTAGACACTAAATAAGTCTGAACCCAAAACTCGTTTAGGTTGTTGCTCAGATGATGTCTTATTTTCTTGACACTGGATGATTCATAGTCCCAGATTGTCTATGTGCCACAAAAACCTGTACAACCAAATTTTCAGTCACAGGCAATAAACCACGCTGCCCACGACTTTCACTCCTACAAAAAACTCATTTCAATCGGCATTAGGTCACCGTATTCTAAAACATTTGTTCACATAGCTAAATGTGAATATCTAACTTATATAAATTATCTACCACTTTGAGTTTGTATACAACCGAATTTGCACACAGTTGACAAGGGTTGTCCATTTGGGGAGGGGATGCACATTTGTCATGTTAGCACTAAAGTCATCGAGTCGAAATAATTAAACCTTTTGTAGTTTAAATTAAATGCTGCGACTCTGGTGAGGTGATACCTGTCACGAGGGTTGGGCTTTGTAACGGATTGCTAACTATTATCTCCTAATTTTAAGACTTTTGTTAAAACTAGTTAAGTATTGTGCAAATTCAAGTTGAATGGATTTCATTGGTCTCCCTCTCGTCAAAACAAAGTATTACAGACATACAATTTTGGCTAAACGGTAGGATGACGCTATTCAATGTTGAGATACCTGCTGTGTGGGGTAGTGGATGTACGAATTGAAACTGTGAAGATCGTAGGCAGATGATTATTAAACGGTGAACTGCAAGTTGAAGGAAGCCGTATTTGTTTATTTTTTTGGTGTGCAATTAGTCAAGTGATGTAGCTATTTAGTAAGCTTTTAAGTAGGCTAAACTTATGTACAAAACTGAAAGGGTGACATGTCTACAAGTCATTTCATACAAGTTTGTCATAAAGTATATGCATACATACTTATTAATAACCCTCACGTCTGACCACAACTTTATGGAGTGTATGACACCGTTGTTTTGCACAACATATTAGCTTCCGTCACAAGATGCACTGTCATCTGGCTGGTGGATGGATGGATGGATGCTACTCGTATGTACAAACACACACATATATTGTATTTTGCAGTTTTATGAATTCACCAACCGCATTGGGACGAAAAATACAGGGGATCGACTAATACAGAAAGAGAGCGACAATAAAATTCAGAAATAGAGACGGCATTAAGGATTCGAACAAATATTAAATTACATTTTACACTCTCGACAACTTCTCTCTCTGTCCATTCCTTTGTCATCATTTGCTGGGAGACAGTCTATGACAGTACTCGAGTTAAAAAACGAGTTATTTGGGTTTGTCGGGTTGGTTTCACTACATGCGAACAGGAAGAAACTCAATGTTCAATATTAGATTTAGATTTGGATGGAATTCACCTGAGACCTAACTTAATGGTGACGACACCGTGAGAGTGTGTAAGTGCAGGAGTTCAGGCCCACATCACACCACATCGTCAAAAAAGTACATATGAAAACCTCATCTTCACCTGTGTGTGTGTGTGTGGGTGGGTTTGCGTGTTTTTGTACACACTAGTCGTATTGAAGTAGGTATGCAGGAAATAAAAGGGAGAACCAAGTATTATCGTCTATTAACAATTTTGTACCGTCAGATTTTTTGAAATTTCATCTCGAATGAGCAAAGTATCCCGCAGGCATGCTAAAGGTCTGTCTCGCTGTAGATAGACAAAGATAACAAAACAATGATTCAGCAGCTGCGTGCTGCATAAAAAGAATGTAAATTCTTGAATGAGTAAATGAATGGTGGCCGGTTTCTAGTTGCAGGACGCGATTATTTTATGATAATTGGGGTTAATTTGACACTTTCATAAGATACATGCGTAATTACTCTGAATTTAAATTCCGCATCGCTTACATTCAACCCAAGCTCTGGGTGGTTTTTTAGATTCCATCCAACACATGCATACGTTAACATATGCATATGCACCGACGAGTAGAAATAATTTTTGCCTCGTTATATCAAGTTGTATCATCATTTTTTTATAAATCTTGTCCTTTCTACCTCCGATATGCACATGGATTGATTTTTTTACGAGTGGCGAGAAATATACCGAAATTTATTAGCAATAATAAAGGCTTAACTGTGGTTCAATATTATGTACGTAGCCACAATGTTGTCTGTATTTACATGTATGAGACGCGTAATAAAATTCATTTCATACGAACGAGGAAATAACTGGGCGTAAGTTACATAAAGTTAGTGCACACATAAAGTTTGTCTAGTGTGTGTATTATGTTGTTTGATTCGTGGTTCGTTCGTATATATTATTATCGGATGCATTTGTGCTTGTGAAGAAGAATCTGAACATGATGATGATGTACACAGCAGAGTAAATACACACGTTATGGAGTTTCTGACTGACTCCAAGATTGGTTGGAGCTCTCATCTCTCGTGGAAGGTGTTCCAGCTTCGCGTTGATCTCACTTGGGTTGTTGTAAGGAAGAAGAAGGTAAAGTCGTGAATTTGCGTTTGGCTGTGAATCACTGCCCGAGAAGGAAGGAGGAAGCAGCAGCAGCCCGAGTTACGAAGGGGAGAGAGAACTCTCAACCTCGATCAGTCGGCTTGCTCTGCTTGCCGGATTGTAAGCAAGTCACAGTTTCCCTTCTCAGATTATCCTCAACTGCTCACCTTTCGCGAGGACGAAGTGAGACAAATTTCATAAAAACGACAAATTTGCCCATTCTCAGTGCTAGTAAAACCACAATAATAATAATAATAATAGCTGCACAGAGAGAGAGAGGACGAGTGAGCAAGTGACAAGACCAGGTTGCTCACACATAACTATTTAGTCTCGTCTTCCCTATATGGACTTCTTGAACTAGAATCAAATCTTCTCAATTTGAGACATTCCTCACACTCACGCTGCTATAGTTAGTTTAGTTTAGTTCGCCCTGGTTCTATTCTCATCTTTGACTCATGTCTGTCCACCACAGACACAGAGAACAGTAGTGTATAAATCTTTTAATAAATAATAAGTGTACATTTAACTCCTTCATATTCCACAAGCCAAAGGCAAGTTAAACACAAATATCAGTGAGGATATTGTAGTTTGTCCACTATTACGTATACTTGTGGAGGAAAGGAGGAGTGGTACATAAACAATTGCACGTGTGTGTATCTGCGTGTGTATTTTCGGATAAGGAATAAATGCATTTGCTGGAAGCCCACAAGTGCAACTCTCCAGTTACAATTTGCATTAAAAGTTGTCGAGGACTGATTGATTGATGACGGTGTCAACAGTCATTGTTGGTTTGTAAATAAAGCATGCATAGAAGGATGTAGATGCAGATGCAATGTGTGCTCAAGTGAAGTAGTTAAAACAAGAAATTGGTACAAAAACTAGAGAACAAGTGATTGATTCCTTGAGAAGGAAAATCTCTTTGTTGCCCAAATGAAGAGACGTAACAGGCAGCAGACTCTTTAGATTAGTAGTTGGCGTTAAAAGTTTAAGCAGGGTTGGTTGCTGGATGGCTTCGACTAGTTCTTGTAATTTGATCCGGAAACAAGTCCAGGACGAAGAAAGACCACATTGTTGTGTAAGCAAAAGCAAACTCTGTTAAGTAATGCGAAGAAGTACTTGAGTGGTGGAAAATCGGATGGTGTTGAGCTAAATAAGTACAAGTTTAAAGTGGTGGTGGTCACGGAAGACGGCTGTCAGCAAGGGCTGTGAAGACAGGGGGATAAGCGGAAGGTGCGGACAAACGAAATGAGCTGGACGAAGAAGAACGGCTTGAAGGGGTCGACCCTTCTGTCGTTCCTCTGCCTTTTCGTGCTCTTCACCTTAGCCCACACCAACCCCCGCACGAAGGTCAGTACACGTTTAGAGAAGACAACTAATTAACTTTTCATTCTTCTTGTATGGATGTTTCTTATGTATGTATAAACCTGCAGACAAATCATCTTTTTTGTCTCAATGATCAAATCGTTAATGAAAAGGGTGAACTGCTAACGAGTAACTCCAGTACTTAACTTTGTTATTCCTTTGGATGGACAGATGCGTAACTCTTAATTTCTGAGCGATTAAATTCAAGTGTGTTGTTGACTGATGCAGAATTTCCATGATCGAATAGTCTGTTGCTGCTGGAACATCGTAAAAAGAACAGACTTCTGTTGAAAAGCAATGTAAATTATTATGCATTTTAGACCACGGGCTAGCAAAGCTGAGGTCACTTTGCACCAGCAGAAGCTCATATTGCTTCATAATCAAACTTGCTAACTATTGACTCGGCGTAAAAATAAAGAAGCGTCATCGACCAAGGTATATGTATGCATGTACCATTGGCTATGCATGAAGATTTACATTTGTACATATGTATGGAAATGGGAATTTTTGTACGTACAAGAACTAGTAGTAAATATGTAAGGAAGACGAGCGATGAGCCAGCCGATGTGGATAAGTGAGAAAAGCACAAGTTTACATGTACTGGGACTGATGAGATAATTTCTTTGGTACAGATTTCATGTGATGGTTGGTGGGTGATCTGTAGCAGATCAAATAAAAATAGTCCGAATACATACAAGGGGAAGGATTAATTTTAGTTAATGTGTTTGGAATGCTTTTGTCTATTTATGTGGTATGGAGCTAATCTCCTCCCTCATAGTTGGGCAGTAGATGCACTTATCTTGTGTATCAAAAGAGGTGAATGCCTTCCATACAAATATATGCCGCCTTTGAATGGATGACACAATGGATGCTTAAAATAAGATTCATTTCATTTTCACTGGACACTATTCTGGTTTGATCTTTCGATCTTATGATATGAACCTTGGATCGTTTTATTTATAATGCCATGAAATTAAAACAATGCGAAATGCGTGGTCTAATAACAATGTACTTATATGATGCGATCTAATAGATAAATTGCACAGCACCCCAACTGATGCAGGTGTGTTTGATCCTGTCTAGGATACTTTTTTCACTTTGTATATGTATTTTCCACATCAATGAACATGCAATTAACACATGGCACATTTTTCCAAATATGTATACACGAGTCTGATCATATTTAATGCAGTTATTCATGTGCATAAATTGGAATATTTCACTATTACAAAACTTGGATAAATTGCCATAAAACTCGCACATTGCAACACAATACTCGGTCCATCTACAAGTTTAGCAACTGTATCTCCTTTGTTCACCCCTATTAATTCCTGCACAGAAGCACACTGAAGAAAGGCCAGACAAAGTTTCAATATGTAAGAATTGACATTTTCCAACATGAAATCTCTGTCCAGTCTGTGCGTTGCGTCAGACATTGGCACTCGCATTATTTGAAGCACGTCTATAGTCAGCGTCTATGCGTGTATTATTGTTACATAATGTGCAAAGTTTTTGAGACAAGAAGAGTTTAAAGTCAGATGAGGTACTCAATTTCAGGTTGCATCATCTTTTCACAATGGATGTGTAATAAAGGATGACAAAGGAAGAAGACTTATCTATCGTACAAAATGTACGCAGCGCAAGAAATGGAAAAAATGTACTTTCAAAAGCTGCTTGCAGTTTCCTTTTAAGGGCAGTATTTATGCAGTCATTCCCCTGCTATCTCCACTGTCTTATGATCTTATCAAATATTATCATCTAATTGTGTTATATGTGCATCTTGGATCACTCGCATATATAATTTTCGCCCTCGTACATACAACCAACACAACAAAGAGTGATAAATTACCAGCTTCAGTTTTACCTCGTACTGTGCATCCAGTAAAGAAAATAGACCAGTCTGCTATGTCTAATTAAATATGAACACAATGATTTTTATAGTATTATGTGTATTTTATATATTGTTGATGATGATGATCTAATGCTGGTGGAGTGATACGCGACGAGGTCTAACCACACAAAGTTGGCAGTCATTTATTTTAATCAAGAAGCTTTAATTATTCAGTCAGCAGCCACCAATTAAATCGAGCACTTGTACGCTAAATCAATTTTAAAGGAAACGTCTAATGCGCATCCACTGATTGACGGTTCGTGACTATAGATCCATCTCAGTTTTTGTTAAATTAAAACAGCATCATCAGCAAGAATCTTCGTAACTCACTGTCAACTTAACCAAACCCGTGGTAGTAAGTTGTGGTGGGTGGGTGGGCAATTCATTAAATCCCTGTGCAAGAAACCAATTTCCGTCGCATGTGCTAAGAAAAGAGATATTTGAAATTGCAGTAGAATAATAAATTGTTGGTCGTAAACCAGCAGGTTAGTTGTTAAGATATGCGGGAAATACTGTGGCTTGTAGCTGAACTGACGCCCCAGAAAAAGTGCATACTTACGCATGCATAAATACCCAATTGGTCCACAGTTTTAGAATTTCTTTCTACTCAGAGTCAAAAGTTCGTGCTCTAAAATTATCCAGAGAGTTTCCACTAAATTTTAGTTTAGATTTCCAAGTTTGTGTGACTCTTTCCATGCGACGACCGAGTTTATGAAGAGGATGTTTTGAGTGGGAGTTTTTAGTGAGTTGTTTCATAGAAGGAATATTCATCCATGGAAAAGTCTCTCTCATCTCCATTTGTATGTTGTGTGGTGTCGTTATTTGTCCAAATATATTTTAAAGGCAAATCAGAGGGGTGTGAAATGTCAACAAACCAATGGATGAGTTGACATGAGACAAAATGACTGCATTCAAAATAGCTCAACTTCTACAATGTTTGAAACCTTTCTTCTTCGAGGGATTATGCATAGTTTGGCTATGTATATGCATCCACGCACACTTTTAGAGGCACAACACAAGCATCCAGCTCACAAAGTTGTTGCCGAGTTGGCTGGCTACATAGCTCAGAGACAGACTAGATTCGTCATGGGTTAAAGACTTCTAATAAATTATGCGGGGAGGAACGAGGTGGAAATAGCAATAAAACTTTGGGAATACCGGAAATCCAAGAAAAGGGAACATGAACATTACATGACAGCATTTGGATCTGGCTGGATGTGAATCATCCGTTTTTTAATGCTCCTCATAAAAACGTTCACATTACTTTTTGATTTTAGTCCAACCTAGAGACGAAGCTGGCGAATTTTTGCTCACAATCAGTTGCAAGAAATTATAACCGTTTCAGCCCAACCAATACAGTATGGGAGACAACTCGGAGAATCACTACACTCAAACCATTAACAAAATAAATGTAAACTGTTCCAGATGCTTGCAAATATCCGCAAAACGGCGAACAAACGAGCCAATAACAACTGGATCGTCTGCAAAGGCTTGGGTTACTATACTACATCAACCCCTTCTTGCATGTTCTCATCAAAATTGCGCTGAATTGTGTTCGCAGATAGCTAATTCCACTCCAGTAGTTGCAATTATTTGATGGCACTGGAAATTATTGGGGTCTAAAATAAAGCACCCCATAGACATATCCATGTAGCTGTCTTTTCGCTGGCGTCTATTGATTCGTACTTTATTACCACAGACACCGTCGATTGTACGTATGGAAGTGAACATGAATTTGTTTTGATGGAAATAACGCAGTTGTATCGGTTCGTCTCTAATGGCATCAACTTTCCTTCAAACTTTGCAAAGTATGACGACTGTGACCTGTTAGCTTGCTTTTGTCGACAGTTCTTGTTCCAGTAGTGAAGCGTACTACTCTTCTGAGTGAAAATAACAATAAATCATCTTCAATGCGAAATTACGTCATGTTCAATAAATTGCTGCTCCTTTAAAATTTACGCAGTGCAATTACAAATGTTTTCAGAATATAAAAACATATTTCTTTAAAAATCGTGATTCTGTACTCAACATTTTCATCATCACACCAGAATTATTAATTAATAAAATTAAATGGAATTAAAATTTATGATGCACGTTGAGTATGTTGGCGGACATAATGTTTTTAATTCGTAATGTATAACGTTCACCTCGTGAACCTTTTAGCCATTTCAGCTGAAAAAATGTTGAAACATTCATAAAAAGAAAAGTGTTTCATGATCGCGTCTCACTTTCATAGGATGTTGGCGAATTTTACAGCAATCAAGTCATCATCGCCATCGCCAATTTAGTTCCCTGCTGCGCCAGATCAGAATCTCGTCTTTCCATTTTGTTTCCTCTTTGAGTTCTCGTCAGCTAAATCTTTGATCTTTGTCTCACAGAGAGAGTCGACGAGTATCTCCATCCGACATGGGGTGACATGGCACACTCCTCGTCGTTCTCGTAATTAGCTTATTCGTGCGAACATGAGACTTTGCACTTGGTTTGTCTCTCCTCACGTCTTGAGGCTTTTGGCCCGACCAACATCTATTATCCATCCATGAAACTGCACAGTAATCACAATCTTCACCTTCCGACAGCAGAGATATTCCAACTATAATTTCATCCCATTTATAATAACTACAACATATGTACAAATATATATATATGCAATTAAGGATGTCGTGCAAGTTATTCTCCCAAAATTAAATCGAACTTGACACGAACGACGGAACAAAATATGGAACAAACGACTTGATACCTTCCAGTAGCATAACGAGTTTTTATTTCTTGCATGGCTTAGTTTTGGTTTTGTAGTAAATGGCCAACTAAATATCAGACATTACACAATTTATGTTGTGTTGATGAAGGGGTGTTAATGTTCTGGACAGTGTATTATTACAGTTGCATAAGCAGCCGAAACGCATGAATGATCATTTTTAAAGCAGCAAAAATGTTTTAGTTTCTTTTGTAGACACAATAATAAGCAATAATAAGAGGAGGAAGTCGCACCGGTAAAGGAAGTCGTTGATACAAAAAAGAGTGAAATCTAATAAGAACATTTGTAAAGTCTATTTGTTTCTACGTGCGACAAGGTCAATCAGGCCACTAAAATTAAGATTTAATGTTTGACGTAGGTTTGAGTGGAGTCACACATTTTTGGCCGAGACAGATACGCATAGATCTACGTATGTATGTAGACATTACTTACGTAAGTGTACGTATTTGAAATGGTAGGATGAAATCTCCACTCTTAGACAAAGACGAGATAATAATAAGCCAGGTAACATGATACGATGCTTTTTAAAAAGTATGATGAATTTGAAGAGAGGAGGATACTCTGAAAGGGTAAATATAGGTGCGTCTCTGGTTTGTTCACCTGCTGCTGTATTGGCCGTATTCCATTATAGAACTATTCCCTCAAGAACACAGTCTTGGCTTAAACTTTGATTTCGTTTTGATCTTTCCTCGGGCTAAAATGTCTTTTATGTAAAATTGAAGTGCATATTTGGTCACGGGGTTCGGCCAAGTGATTTACTCCTTCCATTCTTTCCTAGATGGAATGGAATTAGGAGGATGATGAGCATCCAAAACTTTATCACTTCTGGTCAATTTGTTGTTCGTGCGAGATTCCAGGGTTTCACCGGTCAATGTGTGTATTGGTTGCAAAGAAATTTCAAACCTGTCTTCATTTCGTTGTACACAAGATCATGCGACCTAGTTTTGTTTGACCTCGGCGGCCCTAATTGTTGGTTAATAGGGTAATTATTGCAGACCAAATGTACTATTTCAGGATAAGTTAAATTGATTAAGTATCAGAACCCCCTCTTTAAAATGTATATTTACTACACCAAAACGCTACTAATTTATCTGCTACTCATTCTGCTACTTTTGAAATGCGTTGAATGAGACAAGATCAGGTCACTTATTTGTGCATCCGTGAAACAACATTATGAAGAGGAGCATGGGGGCCAAGTGTGTAAAGCGCATAGTTAAATATAGGTAATAAATGTATTTATTTGTAGTTTAATGGGAAGTCAGCATCTCATTTCGGAAGTATTGTAATGTTGCGAACCGAAAGCGTGGAGCAAAGGGGAGCAAGCAGGGTGAATTTGGGGATGCAACCATTGTGTCCTCTGATCCTTCTTTACATGGTGATAAATTCAATCTTTATCCCCGAAAAGTCTCCGTTTGGGTGTTGGAGTAATCCAGCACACTCAAAAGGGAACTGCACAGCGAGTTGGAGCAGGAAAGTTGGCCATTGTGTTGCATTGGTTAGTGGAGTCTTCCCGTTCCACTTCTCCAGGAGATTCGGAGGCAGAGAGGGGCACCAGCCAAACCAGCGTCAAGTTGGTGAAATCTAATGTTGTAATGTATATCTGTCCCAATTCGCAGACTCCGACTTACTTTGTCGATATTTTCGGCGCCACACTGGCGGCTATTTTTTTTATTTGGTATCTTACGCTACGTATCAAAGGGTGGAAGTGGGAGTTGGGGAGCGGAAGGAGAGATGGATATGGAAGTAATATAGTGCGATGGGGGAGGTCCAAGCACCACCAAACTTATCCAAAACTTTCCGATGAAACCAACAACTCCAATGCAAAACTGTTCTCTGACTGGATTTCTGTGAAACGACCAATATCTCAACACTTGGTACATTTACTATACGTTCATGCTAGCAAAGAAATGAACCATTCTTGAGTGACTGCACTTAATAATGGCTTTCATCTTATGACTCAACTCGGATTAGTCACTTTCTTCACACAAGCAGCCAAAAAGACCATCATCACTGGAAAATTTCATGTTTATCCTGGAGGTTTATGCTGGATAGATAAGTGTATAAATTGTTGTGGTTCACTTTTGGCAAACACAAAAAACGGAACCAACTTTTTGCTTACTTTTTATTTGTTGTTTATTATTGTTAACTTAGGCCGTCCCGTCTCGGATGAGAAATGAGCAAAATATCTTTGTTACATACAACGAACGATACATCCCGTTAAAAAAGATGAATTGCTTGTATGGGGATCGGTATTTTGAGACAACTGCATATAATATTTTCGGCGTAATTAGTAAAGAGTTCAACAACTGGTTGTCACTCAATTAGGTCCATGTAGTGGGGCCATTAAGTCGTGCATTCGGTCGTGTAGACGAAATCTTTAGTAACCATATTGGATACAATGGTTCATTCAATGAATCATTAAGTTGTCATCGCCTTCCTTAAATTTCTTATCGGGCAAGACATGTATCAAATGAGCTCATCACTTCCTTACCAGGAGAAGAGCACATTACTCAACATAAACTTGGTGAACATGCAGTTATACAAAAACAGACATAGTACGAGACAAGGCTATGTGTAGTAAGTAGGTAGGTAGTACAAAAACGGAATCTTGATGTGTTAGTCAACAACCCATCCAAGAGTCAACATTAGCGAAATTGCCAACTGGAATCAATCTTCTTTTCCATTGCGAATAAAGTTTTAAATGAAAAGTTCAAGCTTTATATAACGACAGAAATTCGGGGAGTTCCGGAATGTTTGGGATTTCCCTGGCATGGAAATTGTATTGTATTTCATAGACTTGGGGATGCTAAGTTTCAACAATGCATCATATTATATGCAGGACATTTTTTATTCTTCATTTAACTGGATCTTGATGAATCGGCACGTTTTTTTAGCAGTCAAATAAACGCTCCATGTTTTGACAGTCGTCAATTTCGACCCGTCAAAGAATAGCCGCCGATTAAGAAATGACAAGTTATTTTCTGGTTAATACTGTCATACACCCCATACAGATATTTATTAGCTATACACTTTGCGTGGACCTGGCTGATTGACTTTCTGGCAGAGACCTTACTCCGTTATCTCCGTGGTTTATTGTCCACTGCTGGTGGTTCTTTGGGTGCGCGCATTTCATGTATTTGTGTGTCATTAATGGCAAAATGGCAATTCATGTTTTCATGTTCATTGATCACAATTTGAGTTCCTTGCTCCTTTTATGACTTAAAATAATCGCGAATCCGACAATTTTTTACCCAAATTGGCATCTCTCCAATGGCTGGCTGGCTGTCTGTGTGGCAGACTCTAAAAGATATTGGAACACATAGAGACAAACAATTGGAGTTTCTTGGTATAATGGCTCGCTTGTTGGGAGACAGAGTTGTTTGGGACCAAAGCAATACGAAAACTGCCTTCTACCACCAATTCACATCAGTAAAATGTAGTGAGTCAGTCAGTGTTGACTGCACTTTCAATTCAGAAACCTGGTTTATGGTTAGCTTGACTCCCTGGTTGGATCATTGTACTTAACTCACCATAAATCTATGCATGCATGTATGTGTTCATGCCCATGAATCTAATTCTTGCTTAACTGCTTGGCTACTGAAAGAACAACCTTGCATGCTGTTAAGAAAAGTATGTCTAGCCCCAACTTTTAGCAAAGGAAACAAGATTACAACCATTTATGCAACACTATTTTTTAATTTGCGAAATGATGTCATTTGATCCATACAAAAAACCAATACACAAAACTTATATAAATTATTTTTTGGTGTCCCCTCTACAAAATACGTATGACGATATTTGTATTCATTATCGTCGAATGTGTGCAATGGGCCATTAATTCGCAATTAATCTGTTCAATTCCAGATAAAACAACTGGCATTGCATGTTACGCATATTATCTCACTGAAATCTGGAATCATAATGTGAGTGCAGATCAAAATGCCGGAATTGAACTACATAATCACGCATTGGAACTGCTTAGTTGTCACGTGCAATTTACTACTCATCTCTCAAACGTCATTTTAAATTCAAAAGTGGTTTTAGTCAGCGTGCTTATTGCCTCACTCGGCAGAAATATGTTCACGGAGTTTTTTTTAGTTGAATACACAATAAAGCTTTGTGTTGAAGATATGATGCTTCCAAAAAGTATCATTATCGTGATCTCCAGCACAGTTCGATACAAGTCAGCGACGTATAAATATATGTAGCCATCAGATTTTGCCATCGGTGTGCAAAAAACGGACAATAGCACACACGCTGCCTGGCACAAGTTGTCACTTTCACTTGGTGCAGTCCTGCTTCATCTCCATTTGGTCCACTTTCTTTATAAGATGTGACGAAGGTGTTTAAGTAGATAGTCTAACTGACACCTATGGCGCTTCTTAATTATACTCAGACAAAACCTATAGCCAATTTTACAAAACGTCCTCCAACTCTATTTTTAAGCAACTTTGGGAGATATCTATTTGTAATAATAATATTTGTAATAACATTCCATTTCAATTCACACTCTTCATCAGATTTAGGAAATAAGCAATATGCAGATAAGGAGAGAGTTTGCAAACGGATGAAAAAGTTTATTTAGTGGATGGATGAGTGTGCACCGTAATATGCTAAAAGCTGAGCGAGATCTCATGAAAAGAGAGTAGTTTGGTTGGTTCGACTGCATATTTACTGCTGCTATCCAGCCAGGCTTTCAGCACACATAGTTGATATTGGAGTGGATAGAAAAAGTGTTGCTTTAGTTTAGTTGTTGTTGTTGTTATCTCTCGAAAAGTGTCTCTTTAACTTTGGTTTCCTGCTTTCCACTTCACACTCACAACAACAGTTGCCTCATCTTCACAAGGTAGCCAACGGGAGAGCAACCTCTTCTGCATTCTCCAATTCCCGATAGATGAATTGATGGCCAAACTTGAATATATTCCACTTTAGAGAACAGTCCTGTACTTTGAGAGTAATCTGGCAATTCCAAATCAAGTAAGTAAAAGGAGTAGTCCAAATCTGGTAAAATACTGCGTCTCATCTGATGCATTTCATTGGAGACCGTCTCCCGAGAAATGCTCTCATGTTTGTTACAAGTGTATTTTCGTTTTCTGTGCAGCGGAAATACAGATAATTGAACAAGACAATTTCATCACGCACGTTCTTCTCCAGTTCTTAGTTCCCTCTATCCTATGGAATTAATCTCTATTGCCAATATTTAACTTATTCTCTGATAAAAGCTGTCTCAGAACAGAAAAGAAACTGCGCTGCGCTTGCTTATGGACCAAGTGTACGTTCAAAAAAGATTTGTCGCATAAAAGCTGCTTGGAAGAGTTGAAGGAATTCCCGACGCCAAGAAAGAACGAAATATATCCTGCAACCTTTTAAGGCTTATTACATCATCTTCTTATCTGTACTTGTTACTTTATCCTCCTTATCGTGCATTCACTTCACACTTCTTCCATTCAATCAGGAAAATATGTGGTGACTCGTCCTGGGTGAGGTAAATAAATACCAACACGCATACAGCCGACACTTGAAATTCTGAGATTTCCCAACATGAGTATAAATACACATACCTTTCGCTCATGACAAATCTGATGAATATTCTGTGGAATTCTTTGATAACAATTGCAGCAAATATTTAGATCACAGAACTCGTTGTGCTATGTGCGTAATTAAGTTTTAATTTAAAACTTTTAAATCAATTACATAAAAATTAATTATTTACGAGCATTTACATTCTGTACGATGCATTTAAACCAGGTTACTGCAATAAAATGTGTTTATGTATGTACAAAGTATAAAGTCAATGCTAAAATCAAACCACTCTACTGCTTCTGGCTCTTTATCAAATAAAACATGTGCCAAACCAAATGTTGTCAGATAATTTACTGCATTTAACATTTAAGTACGACGAGCACATGTCCAGGTGGTTTGTTATATGTACGTATTTAGTTGTGTGTTGGAATGGAAAACGGATGAGTCTTGATCGAGTATAAAATCTATCGATTCTAAATATCTCATCATCAGGACAACTTCCACCACCGCACGTTGCAGCGAAAAGGCGAATAACATAAAGTTCTGCTATCATTAAGCAAGAATCTCTTGGCCTGATTTGTTCCGGATCTTTTTTCCTGTCTGTCTCATCTCTCTTTGAAAAATCGTCGCGTTTATTTACTTTGCAATTCATTATGCCAACTCGTTGATGGAAATCGAGCATCATAAAGTGTCAATGGTTAATCCGTTTTTACTTGTACTTCGAGGCGTTAACATTCCCGCTAGTTAGAGATGAAATTTAGCTGTATGTTGATTGTGGACACGAATGTCATACAGACTAAAGGACAGACTTTGCATTCATGAACCCACAACACAAAAACAGACTTTGCATTCATGAACCCACAACACAAAAACAAAGTAGCAGCATTTTTTTTCCGACAAACTAGGACAAGTTAGTAGTGGGGGAATCGGCGAACACTTTGTCTGCTGCGTATTAAGGTTAACAACTGGAACTGGAACCCCATTTCGGAAAAAGCAGCCCCATTATAAACGTCATATATCACAGAGGAAAAGCATACATACGAAATCGCCCAATGTTATTCTTTGTATACGTAAAAATTTTCATGAATTCAATTTTATGGCATTTGCAGCAAAAACTAAGCATAGATTTTGTAGCACTCAAAAAGTGGTATATTTATACATACCTACCACTTTTATCCACTTTCCAATTTAACACTCGCTAGTCGCACAACAAACTTCTTGGAAGGCTGAAGAAAGACGACGAATTCCATTGAGTTGGCAATAATGCGGTCCCTTTTATGACTCAACCAAGCGATTCCAGCCTCACTCTCTCATGGGATCTCAAAACCAACCCATCTCGCACAGTTCTCGACTTTTGACAACAGGCAGAGTTCTCATCTCATTCCTCTATATTTAGATTAGGCGACGCTAAGTGCAAGTCTGAAGTTTGTCAAATTATTACGAGATCACCGATTCCTCGTCAAGCAACTCGCCAACGCATCCAAATTCATGACGCCTTCCTTTGTGCTTCCATTTCCTATGTTTCTGTTTTGCTCCCTTGAAGGCATGAAATCAGCTAAAAACTCTCCAGTCAACAAGTCAAGAGAAGATGGATGAGATCAGGAAACAATTTCTAACTGCTTTCACCAAAAGCTCACTTGCTCACACACACAACATCACCAATCTCTCATGGTTTCCAAGTTGTCTAAAAGCCATCCATGCATTTGTACATGCATAATAAGAAAGATACATTGCAATTCGATATATTTATATTCGATTACACACAAGGACACGTCGTGATACATGCAAACGCAGATTTGCACTTTTTACGTATAATTCATTCATAAAACATGTAACATATGCTTACATGTATTTACTATAGAATAAATACGCAGCAGATATACAATTAATCGGCAAATCAGACGCACATATTATTATTCATATTATGTATGCAGTTTTGACGATGAGACGACTTCTAACCATATACTTTCTCTTGACTTGGTTACTATTTTTCTGAAGAGAAAGCGGTTATCTAACCACAACGGTGGTGGTCTAAATAACTTTGGACTGAATCCTTCGGTTAAATCCACTTAAGAATGATCATGAGTGAGACGAATGAGTAGGAAGGAGGACTTTCAGGTTATAAAAAAGAGCGTTCGAAACCTTACCCACAGCCACAATTGAAGCAACGATGAAAAATATGAAAGTTTGGTAGTTGGCATATTTTGGGAGCTTCATTTCTTTTCATTGGTAGGGATTTTTATGTCGTTTGCATAAGCAGCGATCCTTTAGAGCTAGGAAAGCATGAAGAGGTGTGTTCATATTGTTGATGACCTGCTAGCTTGCTGTTTCTGGAGAAGAAGATGGCTCGCTAAGCGGACAAAGCTATTCCACTCTCTGCCTCGAATGACAATATGGTCGCAAATTTAAATTCAAAATCTTGGACTCATTCCTGATAACCTGATCAAAACTACTGGATGTTCATGCGATGCTGAGAATTCGTAATGAGTGGAGAAATGTGAGAAAAATTGAGGAAACCCATTAGAGTGGCTTTTGTAACTAAATCTCCTTGTGAACATCTCAGCCTCACTCATGTAGATTCTCAGCCAGAAGTGGTGGTTAGTCGGTCGGATGGGAAGGCTTGACGTCTCCGAGAGGGACACGCGGCATGCAGAGAGGACGAGAGGCAATGCGTCAATTCATTAAAAGGATTTACCTGTCTCGCCTCGCCTCTCTCAACAACCTCGCTTTCTTGGCTGACAATTTGGGGCTGATGGGATCTTTTACTCACTAGTACTACACGTCGTCGTTCTCGTCGTCGTCGTCCATGTCTGATTATCACGGGAAACACAATGACATGGTCCGGAATATACAACTTTAAATTGCGTATACCCTTTTCCCCACAGCTTCTGTCCCATTTATTTACAGCATGAGTAAAGCCGTGAATTACTATTTAGTGAGACGGACATTGAGTTTTCAAAAGTTTAATCTATCAAACGCAACTAACTTATGTTTAGTCATGAATACTGAAAATTTTGTAAGGTTAGTATGCAAGGCGAACATGTTTTAAGTGGATATGCATGTATATTACGTGTTGTAGATAATTTACTACACGGCGAAGCAAATTTGATGACTGGTTCGTATTTTAAGAAATAAATTATAATTGTTGGTGTTATTTCGCAACTCATGTCTTGAATCATAATGCAGTGTCATCTCATTATTCATTCATTATCAGTTAATGGTTTGCTGACAAGTTTGATCCGATTAAAAAAAATGTGTCAAAACTTTATTACAAACTTGGAGGATTTTATATCATTCACTTCGATGGACCAATCGAAGCTGCACTGGTTCCTGCCTGGCCCTGTTAAGTGGTGGGAAAGGTGTGCTGCTCTCGCTAAAGATTTAAGGATTATAATCAAGTTAACAGCATCAATTTACAAGTATAATATGCTTTCTCCCCTTTTGAGACTTTGTAGACCTGTATTTCCTATCTACATCCATAGTGCATACATATATAGCAAAGTAATTGATAATGTATTAAGCAGTACATACTCTATGCACTTTAACTCTGAGATTTCTCCAACCATTTACCAAACAAGGGAGAAGTCAACACTAATTATCAGTGGATACAAGGTGACGCTATAGGCAGAATAGTTGCATAATCCGATTTCAACAGAGTGTGGGGCGAGAAACAATAAATAGATTGGACGCATTTAAGCTAAAATATGATGACACAGTTTGTCCATACCATGAAAATAATTACTTAATGTGATAGGCAATTGTGTTTGGCGAGCACGAGGAGGCAGTGAGAATGTACATAAATACGTAGACAGGATGATGATGCCCCTTTCTCCGACTTGTATAAAGCTTTTGAACCAATAAAGGTGGACGGGCGAAAGAGTCAGGGTCTCTTCCGGGAGTTTCTCTTCTGAAATGTGGCATAGATAGCGGATTTCATAGAACGGAAGGTGACAAATTACATTGACAGACACACTGCATTCACTTTCTCGAGCTGATTAATGCATTTGTGTAAGAAGTCATGATCAATAGAGAAAAATAACAATTTCCCGAGAAAAATGGTTTGATTTTTTTTGGTAGCTTCAATTCTTCTTTTTGGCTTGAACTATGTATAACTGTGCATTTTCTCACAATTCACATCCACAACTCGAATCCATCAAATTAAATTTAGCAAATTCAGCTAAAGCCATGTTCCGGGAAAGTCAGAAGAAGTTTGCCTCGCAGGCTCATTGTGATGATTGTGCCTGGCTTTTGAACTAACTATTGAGCGAAATGAAGATGACTATGCACTCTTCTTCCAATTTCTCCACTCGTCACAATTTATAAACTTATAGCTGTCAGTCAGCCGTATCCTCCTGATGAAGCAGCGACAATCTAAATTCACTTCCACGCTTTCTCCGACAACAACTTTCATACATAAATTCATCCTCTGCTCCTCTCGAAATGTATTTTATTTCATGTCAAAGTTGGCATTCAGACAAATGCGCCCGTATTTTATGGCTTAATTGAATCACAAGCGATAAATTAGATTAATCATTTTTTATGAACTAAACTTTCACCTTTGTTTTTTTTCAGAAGCCGGAAAATGACTTGGTTTTCGAGGAAAATGATGGGAGTGAACTAAATTTAATATTATCAGACCCTAAGAAGTCCAGCCGTAATGTCGGTGTGAAACCACACTCGAGCAAAAATGCACATTGGAAGAGCAATTTCACGAGTAAAAGTAGATTTCACTGGGTGGACAACAACAACCATAATCGAGAAGTGCAGGAGGATTTGAACTCCTTTGGATGGTCGCCCCGCCACCATCAACTGCATTCACCACCGGTGCATAAACACCATCGTCGTCCCCTGGAATTGAATCAACGGAAGGTGGCCAGCGTTTCCAGTACAAGTGAAAGCTCACTTGGGCGTTCGACACATGACGCGGAAAGTGCTAAACGTCGAAGGACCCGAGTCTCGGAAACTGATGACGAAGATCTCATTTTCTCAGGGGAGGACGAAGACGGTGGCTCAGGTGGCTTCCCGACCCCAGGAAATGATATCTACCACTACCGACCAAAACCTTCGGCCACGACAAGTAGATCAGATTCAGATATTCCATTAGGAAGCTTTGAGAAACGTATGAAAATTTGTTTGCATTTTTAAAATATACGGAAATCTTTCAAAATGCTCTTTTAAAAAACAATTATGCAGGATTCTACCGCATTACGCTCACAATTGGAAAGAGTTGGAGCCCCGCATTAGAGTCAAAAACATCGTCCATTTTCAGAATCTACCAACAGGAGTTAGAAGGTCAAATTCAAAATTCTATGGGCTTTGACATCGAGGGATTTTATGTCACAAAATTCACGTATGATATATAATTACGTCGAACTAACAGTTATAATAATTACACATATTTGTATATGTATTTTATTTAAAAAATTATTGGTTATGTTGCAGAAATATTCAAAATCCTGCATTTGTCTTGTGTGAATTTGACCTTGGGTTGGTGGGTATGACAAAGGACCAGGTTAGATTTTTTTTACTATAGCGCACTATTCCGAGTTTCCAGACAGCAATCTATAACTCAATGTGATTCCGTCCTAGGTCGAAGAAGAGTTTTTCACGTATTTGGAAGTCGGAACTATTGGCTCTCTTAGCGTACAGAGTAATGGATTTACTGTACGAGATGTCGGTGGAGGTGAGTGGATTGATTGGCTGAATGACGTTGTCGAATCTTATCTAAAGTACTGGAACATAGTACAGCTACATACGCATCTAACTACGCGAATGATAAGGTTGTGAAGTTGAAATGCATGGATGGCATTGACATGCATAAGAAGCTATCCAAGAGTTCTTAAACTTTTTCACAATCAACAAGTTTCGGTCATAAACTACTTTGGGAAAATTAGATGAATCCAGATTTACGCAAATAGATGACGATGTGTCGATCGATATCGACTCGAGTTTGCCGCATTGATAAGAATGAAAGCGCAAAATTGTTTTTTTTCGCCGCCATGTAGTTGAGTTTAGAAGATTGGCAATCGTGTATTATATATTCTTATTAGTTTTGCATGGCTATTGAATGCAATTTGCGCTTTTTAGTACCTGATGAAGCTTGTACCGACGGACAACTCCAATGTCGAAACGGTGTGTGTGTCGACATTTCTAGCCGATGCAACTCAATAAATGACTGTGGGGCCGATGATAATACCGATGAACAAGGATGTGGTAAGCAAATATACTATACTTACATTGTGTGTCGCGCATTCATACCATGACTATGCACATAGACGCATATATCATCTGAATTTAAATTTTGAAGTTGTGAGTTGAGGTTTTCTACGAATTCAAATCAAAATTGTCAAATATTAATTTGGTGAATATCTAGTGTTGGAACTGTCAATTATTTTTTTTAGAAATTCTCAAACTCAAAACCATGAACAAATATAACTTACGAGTGAAAGTAGTGGGGATAGAACCTGCAAAAATTGTCAGCGGTGCAAGGAAACTCATGGACCTCGTCAATATATTGAAAATATATTTTTTGTATTAAACAGTGTTATTTCTTTAATAAGGCTACATGAGTATTTATTTGCGTGTCCCTTGTCAAGAAGATATCTAATTGAATATTTACGGTTTCCGTAATACTATTTCATTTTTAAAGCAACATTTTCTAATTTCATATAATTGTTTATTTATTCTGCTTACTATAATTCGAATATTTTAGATTTGCACAGTTGACATGCGCATATGATTTTTTTGCATCCAAGTGTGCGTGAATTTTTGTTGCACTTTAAAAGCGTGTATGATTTATGTACTTAGCTCCCTCAACGACACCAACAACAACGACGACCACGTCGACAACTGCAACGCCGAGGACCACTACAGCCCGGCCAACGCCTCCACCCCGATATCCCACCTCGGAGAATGGGTCTTCCGTTGTTCATCCAGGGCCGCACCCCTCTCGCAAAGATGGGTGTCGTGCAGATGATCAAGTTCGATGCTCCGATGGATCCCCAGTTTTTATTTGGTTTGCATTTTCTATTAATTTCCTTAAAGTTTTATTTCCGGGGAGCTTATTGCGCTTTCTGTGTACAAATGTGCACATAAATTTAAATATTTCCTAAATATAGCTCCGATGAACAATGTGACGGAATTAAACATTGCCCGAATGGCGAAGATGAAGCGCAATGCCCTGGTACTTTCCACTTTTTTTCTATATACGTATTTGATTTGTACTTGATTTGCTACATGCATGTCCGTGCTATCAACTGAAATTGCATGGATAACAAAGCTGAGATAAATATGTCTGGAGGATAATTGAGACTCCAAGCTCTTCAATACGGCATGTTGCTGTCGTTTTGCTTTCTGCTTTTTGACCACTTGTCTTCTTCACACAATAATCAATGTAATGACTTTATTGGCGAAATGAATTAACCATGAAGACATAAAGTCCTCTAGGCAAACGTTCACTAATATAAAGGGTGAAATATACGAAGTAAATTAAAATAGCCACCATAACACTTATTTACACCATTCACGTCTGAAATTCGTGATGTCTATTAATTTTCCACTCACTTACTGAGCACACATGGAGAAGGTGCCAGACTGTGGTAATGAAACTAATACACTTTTTTGGTGAGGTCAGGGCACAGCTGAAGTTGTTCCATAAATTTTAAACCATTATGATGTGAAAAAACGTATAAAAATAATAAATAACAAATTTTCATCGTTGCTTTAATGGTAACAATAATCCGTGATGACTAATTTATATTCCAGAGAATGGGTGTGCGTCCCACCAGTTTCAATGTGACTTGAAATGTATCAGCAACTCTAAGAAATGCGATGGTACGTTTGTTGCAGCAGCTAAAATATAGAATCTGCACTATCATGTCAGGAAATTATGCACTCACAATTACATAATATTTTGTCATGATTTTCTATGCATGTAAAATGTGACGGACAAGGGGAATTGTGGGATCAATAATTACAATAATTACTTGCGAGATAAATGGCCTGCGTATACAAGTACGCGCATTTATTGTATGGTTGGTTTTTGTTTAGGAAAGCTAGACTGCTTGGACAGGACGGACGAGCAAAATTGTGAAGGTAAGTAATTGATTTGCGATTATCTTAATTTTCCTGTCTGTAGCATAACCAAAATTTCTGGTCGTAATTTACTCATATAAAAATATGTATGCACATTTAAGCACTGACTTAACTGCAACTATAATAATTCCTTTTTCAGTTTTGGACTTAAAAAGCTTTGGAGTGAGTTTAATGATAACACGTAATGTTGTATGTATGAACAATGGGCTACAGTTTTTAATTATTTACGACATGTAATACAACCACTGCAAAACTTTTGCACGGAATCATGTGGGTTGCTAATTGATGCCTTTGGTTTTCGGTAACAAATTCAAATAACTTTTAATCAAACTAAGCAAAACATCTTCACCACGATATGTTTTCGACATGTTTTCAGATATTATTTCTTTTTATGAAAAATGTTACGATATTTCAGTTCGTTTGGGGGAAAAACAATATACATAATTTAATAACTGAGGCTGAGATTAAGGTGCAACATTCATCCATTAATACATACATAATGCGAAGAGTTTTCTTTATTAAAAGCGCATGAACATGAGTCTGCCTCCCAGGTGGCCATTCAACAAATCATAGTATGACCATTTACATCACCTAATTGAAGTTGCATTAATTGAAATTATCATTTTTTACGGACAACACAATATTGTAGCCAAATCAGGCCACATGTCCAAATCTTATTAAACCTTTGGATTGACTCTTAATACGTATATAAGGCATGGGGGAAATTTGATTTGGCACGTCGCATATGTTCAACACAAACTACCGACCGATTAAGTTACTTATAGATAAACATGATGCATGTGCTTTTATGTTTTCGGAGAAATAAATGTCACCAAACAATCAGGAATCGAAACATGATAACGGAGCTCGTTCGTGCTCGTACTTTCAGTGCACTGGCTCAGACCGTGCAAACAACTAAATCCGTGGTGTTAAAAAGAGTTGGGAATGATGACGGACTTTGCAAAGCAGAGCTAATTGGATAATTGACATTTTTACGGATTTAACTCATTATTACTGGTCACAAACAACGTTGGTTGTTTGGAGTGAATGATCGTTGTCATAAAAAAACGAAAAGGAACCTACCAGTCAGCTAAAAAGTTAAACTCTATTATACAAAATGCAGGGGCGGACGGACTTAATAATAGAGAATCACGAGAGAGAGAGGAAAATGGAATGACCACACTTTTGTGTATTTGTATAATACAGCACGCATAATATATGAATATCAGTATTCACTCCCACTTTGAATTACCAACCAACTCGATTAACCCTTCAAACACATTCATGCGGATCAAGCTACATACTTAGAATGCATCATCGGAAGCTTTTGTGCATTTTCCAACCCCATAATCATGCCACAGTAAAAGTGCATGCTGAGCAAAGAAAGCATATTCTTCTTCCTGAATCCTCTACTCCTCCACTGTCGCACGGCCTTTAACATTCCGTCCATTTCCAAGTGTGAGATGTGAGTGCATGACCAGCTAGTAAACATTTTGTTATTAATCGAGAATGCATTATGCACTCGACTCGTGCATGTGTGTATCTTATTTGATATCGCTGATCGGGTCTATCCCGGTCCCTGGGTCGGTCGGTGCTGCTGATGCTGGTAACCACTTCTTTGGCTGATGAAGGATTTGCGATAAGATGAACCATTGAATAAGAAAGGGAACTTGACGGTTAACTCGTGGTGGAAAGATATTCAGTTCGTAAAGTGTGTGTGCCATGGCGAGCTCTTTTGTGGGCTGGTCGTGGATTTATATTTTACACTGCCGAGTTTCTTTCAAATGCATGGTCCATCTCAGCCAAAAAGCTCACAAACTTATGTACATGCTTGGTCCACATCACTCACATTACATCACTTACACTGGTTAACTGAGCATTATTGTGAAAAGCGAGGTCCTCTCTTTCGGTTCAATCCACGATTCCTCTCCCAGCTCTCAACCACTTTTCGCTCTCTTGGCTTTTGAAAGAACAAAAGTCAGAACCCTCGTGTGTTTAACTCTCCCTTTGTGATTGACATCCTGCGCTGGTGATCACCTCGTTTATCATCATTTACACGACCAAGTACGGAGAGTCAAACTGTTGTTTAATTTCTCCCTCCAACCCAACAAATGGCCCGAAAACGCTAGCTCAGAACTTTCCAAAAATGTCACCCAGAAATCTATCTGGGGTGAAAACCCCAAAGTGCATTATTGTGCTTTTCGGGCTGCTGCTCTTCCTACCCATGAACAACATCGTATCTGCCCAGAAGCAGCAAAAGCAGTTGAGAAGGGATGTTGAAGGTATGTTTGTTGTCTTACTTTTGGAAAGTGTATTTTTCAGAACGCCGAGCTAGTTGACTGATATATCCTCCACGGAAGAGCAAAGGATTTCTCATTTTGACAAATTAGACTGTGTTTCAACATTTCAACAGTTGCCAAAGTCATTAAGGTGGACTCGGCAGCGTATCAGTGGTCTCATGAATGAATTGCATCTGTCGTCGAAATATATTTTAAGAGCTGAGCGCATGTATGCATGCATAAATGGTGGACTTGTTCACATGTCATATCACCACATTGAGGGGATCATGTTCCACAACTCTTTATGTAATTATGTGAGAAATGGCTAGAAAAACGGAGGGTTTCGGATGGTTTAGCAGAATTTGTTAATGTGTAACAAATTTCAAACCTAACAGAGTATTTACAGAGTCTAGAGGAACATGTCATGAGAGAGACGAGTCGAGTCAGTCAGTCAGTCAATCCTCTTTTTTTATTGGTTTATCATCTTTGAGTCGTCAAAGGGTTTAAACAACACAACCACGCAACTGACGGCTTGTTGTAAGTACACCATACGAAAAGTAAAGCCTTTACTCAGTTTTTTTCTACGTCCTGAGATCAACATCATGAGAGATCATTTAATCTGGAACAGTTGTACTCCAACTGACTTGGTCGGAATACAGATTACAAATCTAGTCAATTTTCCCATGTCTCTTTTCAACACAGATTTTATATTATAAAATTGCTTTGTTCAGAATAAAGAGAATTCTAATAATGGAGAACGTAGTGAAATTCCACATCCAACCGCAGTTTAAAATTCTACTCACTCGCACTACTATCTGGACATTTTGAACTTCTCGCATCTTCTCCCAATTCATCTGTTGAGGAGTGAAAGTAGTCGGGTAGAGAACGGTCACTTTTCTTCACTCAACAGAATTTCTGCATACATAAAACGAAATGTCTCTTTCCTTTACATGGTTTTGTTCGAATTATGCAAGTAGAAGTAGCTTTATAAATATATGAGGGTGCATTTTAGTTTTGACTGGTGGCCAAAAATACAAAAAAATCAAATTGTACATTCATTCATTCGTCATGCATTTTTTTATATTTGCAAAGTTATTCGCTACCCAGACGAAATTAAATCCTTCAACAGCACAGTTCTCTAGAAAATTGGCTCGTATTAAGAAGAGTGACTATAAACAAATATAAGTGTGCATGTATAGATGTGCCCATGGTATACCAATACAGAATGTATGTACATAAGCATTTCAATTTCGAACTGGAAAATAATCAACACATAAGAATGAATGTTTTTAAATTAAAAAATGATGTAATATGAACTGGGTGCATCACGATGCGTCGTCGAATGTGGTTATAGTACATGAGAGGTTGTCGTGCAACGAAAACTATCAAGTCAATGTCGATGTAAACTAAAATCAGGGAGTGTTTGATTTAAGTCTTGAGTGGAATTGTATTTCTGTGTTGGTTTAAAATTACTTTGCACTGCAAAAACTGTAATATCCATAAACTTCAGGAGGGTTTCTGACACGAGCGTGTGCAGCGTAGGGTGCACATACATTTCTTGAGAGTTAGTGAGGTACATATGGTTCATTCCCAGTGTGGATTAACAATAATTCAACGGGCTCAGCTCGTTAGAATTCGTTGTACATGTGTTTATGACTACATATTTTCAGGCAGAGTCTCATTGTAACCTTTTAATTTAACATGGTTGCTTCATTTCGTGATATCTTGCATAATTTTGACAGAGTCCGGAGCAACATGTAGATCGGATCAATTTCGGTGCAATGATAATTCTTGCATTGATTTAAAATTCAAAGTAAGAATAAACATTTGGTAACTTTAGAATAATTTATGAAATAATTCACTGTTGATCTTTTAGTGTGATGGGACAAAGCATTGTAGTCTTAATGAGGACGAGCTAAAAGATTGTCGTATGTTTTTTTTACCCGTCAGCATTTTCTTCTGAAAGCTGCGTTCAATGTTAATATTAAAATTTATTTATGCGCGTTCATGTGTTATTCGTGTGCCTCAGTAGTCTGAATGTGCAAATGCCTTACGTATTTAGGAAACAATAGTGAAAATAAGTTGAAAATAAGATGGTGAAGGGGAGTTCAGGGGCGAATCAATTGATCAACTTAATGTGTAGTACTTTTTGGGGTGGGTATTAGGCGTATAATGTGGTTGTATGAGTGACATATTCGAAATGGGTGAAATTAGGAATAAATAAAATGCATAATAAAAAGATTTGCTTAGAAGTGGCTAACAAACTTACACAACTGACAACAGCAAATAAGACGAATGAATTTGAGTTGTATGTAAATCGAATAACATTTGGTGGTTGGTTGGTGGTAACATAACAAGGCACTTAATCTGCATAATCTTAGTTATCTAATCCTTATCTAATTTTAACTTACATAAACCTACTCACAACAACACGCTTCTACTAGTAGTACTTACGTGTGTTCATGTATGTATGATGGGTTAGGTTGCTCACTGCATATAACTACGTCCGCGTACCATTTTTTTTATTAATTTTATGGTCACGACTTTTCTTGGTTTTATTTTCAAGCTGCTCGGCAAAATAACAAAAAAGCTGAAATATATACGCAACGTGTTTAAAAAGCTAGCAAGGCTTGAAGAATGTTAATACTGACAAGGGAACTTTAAGTACTGTCTCATCTCGATTTCTTTCGGATAGTCTTAATTGATAGATAATTTAGTGCAACTTAATCCACATTTAATTGCAAACATAAATATAGCCAACAATTCTGAAAAATAAGTAAAATAAGTAGACTAACATTGGTCGTTACACCTTTTTTCATGAAAAGTTGCGAGTTACAATTTTTGAAAATTTTCACCCATTTTTGTATATTTTTTGAAAGCTTTTTTGCAATGCTAAAAAAATAAAAGAAGTTTTAAATTGAAATTTTGTTGAAATAAAAAAAACGAAATTCAAGTTTAGAAAATTTTGCAGATTTTCGCAATTTGGAAAATTGGCAAATATTTGTGTGACTTTTTTTAGTTTTCTGCGCACTGATGATCAGCATGAAATTACGGAGTATATCAATATTCTGTAAACTTCATTTCATCCTTCTGAAGGCGGTTGTCCATGTTAAAAGCATTGGAAAAATTACACTTTTCGGTACAGCTTTCGCTACATATTTTGCGAAAACGTAATTTTGCACCGTATGTTCAAAGTTTAAGTTGCGCTAAATTATCTATCAATTAAGACTATCGAAATAAATCGAGATGGGACAGTACTTAAGGTTCCCTTTTGAGCAGCTACTAATAATGGAAACGCAAACCATGTTCAACTCAGATCTTTTTGTGGCCCATGTAGTTTGCTAGACCCAATTACATATTTCGTGCGGCACTTGGGCCGATGCAAAATTCAGGGACTTGTGGTCGCCACAAGTTCGCGAAAACGCTTGCATTCTCACGCAAAACTGCGTTATTACTCTTACGAGTCTTACTATTCTCACTTCAATTCTCCCACTCCCACGAAAAAAACATGCGTTCCTTTATTTTAATTCTGTATTTTTTTAAATTTTGGCGCAAGTTGAAAATTCAAAAGCATGTATTCTTAGAATTATTTACTTGCCTTATTTTTTTAGTGCGCTATAGAGAATTTTTATATTTTATTTCAAAAATTTAGGTAAATTGGTTTTATACCGATGTCGGCATAAACCCGACTTGTCGTGGTATGGGATTGAGCGAATTAGAGGGAGAAGTGAGGGTATATAATAACGTAATTTCTGTCTGAGAAGTCAAGCATTTTCGCGAACTTGTGGTTCACAAGTCGCTGAATTTTGCGCACAGTTGGTCTATCGAAATTTGAGAAACACCCGAGTTAAACACGGTTTGCGCTCCGGTTGTAAGAACTAATAGACTGCGAAATCAACTAATGTTTGCTTCTTCTTGCATATTTCGTTATTACAATTATTGTTTATTTAGTTTTGATTTCAGTTTAAATTTTTAATAGCATGCAACCCTCGAACACATTACCAATGTGATTCTGGTTTCTGCATCTCTTTGATTCATCAGTGTGATGGATTTAGACAATGCAACGACGGGAGTGATGAGAGTGTGAAAGCATGCAGTAGCAAAAATACGAGTAAGAATCCGACACTTTCTCCATTCTTATTCCTCTGCTGGAAAAATTTCTCTGGTTATGGGTGGCACTTAATAAAAGGGGTTTTGGTGAACTGTTTTCATCCTCGGCTTTACCTAATATTCAGTGAATATTAAATACTTTGTGCAGCTCAGACTAAGCTGATGTATGTAATAATGATCGCTGGTGGTTAACTGGATGGATTTTTGTTTACTCTGGCCCATGCAGCAGTTCAACCCATTAGATGTTCGGGCAACCAATTTAAATGTGTGGATGGTGAACTCTGTGTACCAAGATCTTCCGTTTGCAACCGGAAAAGGGATTGTGCTGACGGTTCAGATGAGCTGAATTGTCCAGGAATTCGACCCCCTCCTCCAGAACCAGGTAAATATTGAACTTTGTCTCTCTGTATCCGATTTCTCTTGGAGCAAAAACAAATGCTCTTATTTATTGTAGAATCAGATTTCTCATACCAAAACTCCAAGAAAGATTGTAGGTGCATCTATTGTAAACCTCATGGTGACGTCGGGAATATCTAGCCTTACTTGAACCAGGCTGACTTTCCTTGAACCTTTCATTTCTGTAAAGTAATGTATTTGCGTGTGGGAAACTGTCGGATGGGTAGATTGTCAACATTGATGGTGAATATCTATGTAGAAAATGGAGTTGAGATTGTTTCATATCACAACAGCCTAAAAGTTAATCAAACATTACAAAAAACTCTAAAGCTATATTACATGTGTGCATGTCTGATATATTCACGAATTCTGCCGAGAATCGTGCCACCGCTTGTGGCATAATCAAACTGCCTTGAGCAATGATAAACATTATATATTTTCAGTATGAACAAGGAACTAAATATGAACTAATATTTGTGTTCATATTTTGACTCTGGGTGTGTGTAATCCTACTACCCTTGGCTTCATGCGTGTTTATGTAGTAGATACACACATACTATTTAGAAGGGATGCAATAAGCCACAAATAATACTACGGCACATTTCTTTGGTTCCTATTTCAGTGACGTGTTCGAGTTATGAATTTCAATGCAAGGATTCGTCGTGCGTGGATAAGAGTTTGATCTGCGATGGCTATCCGGACTGCCGGGGTATGTCTGCCTAAGCCTCATCAAATCAAATGATCATTGAACACTGTTTATCTAATCCTGTACCAATATTTTTTCTCAAATGGTTTTCAGACGGCTCCGACGAAGGGCCAAATTGCAAAGTGTTGCCTGGTAAGTTTATTTTCGCCTTCTCAAACTGTATGAACTGAACGTTGCACACATTCAACAACTATGCGTATCACTCACCAGATTCCCAGTATCCCATTTCGTAATGATATGCAATCCATATACATCGTGTCGATTTTTCTTCACTTTCGAAATATTTAAATATTACTTGCTTTAAATGTTTTATTATTATTATTTTTGTCAACGCTTTGGTTCGTCGCATTGTAATATTGGTAGCATGAATGTATCTCGAGGTACTTATGTAAAGGTCTATATTTTACTAGGGGCTTGTTCCTCGTCCGAATTCCGTTGTGGAGATTCGAGCTGTATCAGTGGGGGACTTCGGTGCAACGGTAGAAGTGACTGCAGCGATCGCAGTGATGAGGAGAATTGTAGACAAAGTAAAAATGCTTTCACTACATAATAACGAGGGGGGAAATCTCTTTTCATATTTCCTCTGGGCTTGACATAAGCTGTCGCGTCCTAGTCCGAGACACGATCATTCATTCGCTTTCTCTCCCTCGTTTGCCCTTTTTCTAAACTTTTTTGTGTCCTTGTTGCTGCATTATTATTTTATTTTATATTTATGATGTTGCTTCCGTTTGGGCAATAATAGTTCCGTGTCGACCGGATCAATTCAGATGTTCAGCTACTGGAGGAGGTTGTATCCCGAGCAGTGCTGTGTGTGATGGTATCCCTGACTGTGACTCCTTTGCCGACGAGTCCAATTGTCAAGGCAGGTTCATTTTTTACAGATCTTAAAGTGGCCCAATTTGAGAAAAAAACTTTCCTTTGCTTATTGTGTCATGTATGCTTTGTGATGTTATGCTGTCTCGTAAATATTGTTTCTTTTTACTTAATAGAAAGTCCTGAAAAGTTATCACGTATAGTTTTAAACGGCTGCATACATTTTTTTAAAAACAAACCTTCTCGTAAACCTCAAAAAGTTACATAGTGGTACTTTGTATTATTTATAAAAATGAAATTATTTACAATATTTACAATCAATAATTCAGCTCCTCGCTTCTCCACTTTCTCTAATTGAGACAATACACAAGAAAAAATATTTTCATTTAAAATAATATATTTATTTCTAAAATTTGTCTCAGTTACATGCAAACATGATCAGTTTTCTTGTGGGGACAACACTTGTATCCCAATTGGTAAGACTTTTTGTTTATCAAGCAAAGTATAATTTTGCCGTATGCATTACAAGATATGATCGTACTTAAAAAAATGATATAAAAATGCAAAACTTTGTTAAATTGTAGGTTATGTATGTGACAAATACGTGGACTGTCCTGACCAATCCGACGAGGGCAATTGCACCGTGGGTGAGCCTAATTATATGTCTATTTTCATGATCATAAAGATAATTATGAAGATATTTACATGCGAATAAACTTTTAGCACCACCTCCAAAGCCGCAATGCACTGGAAACCAGTTTACTTGCCACGCTGGGTCGACATACTGCATTGGTAAGATAAATATCTTTTTGACTTTAGATGATGTCAGAGCTATTTGGAAAAACATCGTAAAGATTTCATGAAGATATTTTTGAAAAAAACTTGTAAATCAAATGATTCCTGGTTTTATAGACGTTCGAGCAAGATGTGACAATAACTTTGACTGCCAAGTAAAAATGTTTATTTTCTTTATTGATATTATCGCAGTTTTACTTTTGCAAACAAAGAACTCATTCAATTCATAAATCTTGTCTGAATTAATTCAATAGGACGGTTCCGACGAGCTCAATTGTACAGTTGGTAAGTTGGTAGAGCAATATATTTTCTTATTGGGTTATAAATTATCTGATTAGACGAATCTGAGACTTATGCAATCTTATGTAAGTATTGTCATCGTGTCAAGTGGCGTCTGGTCCAATGAAACCTTGAAAATGTTTGCAAAAGTACCAAATTTCACATAAGCCCAGATTTGTAAATTATGATTACCAAAAGCCTGAATTGAATAATATGCATTAAAAAATACTTAATCTTATTTTATTTTCGGCATTTTCAGCAACAACTCCCAGACCACCCAAATGCAACCCACAAAATGAATTTACATGTCATAGTAGGGACCAATGTATTCCTCGCTCTGGAGTGTGCAATGGAATTGTTGAATGCAATGATTTTAGCGATGAGCAACTATGCGATAATCTGGTTTCTCCTGGGGGAATAAATTTGAAAACATACCCTGCTGAGCAGACAATACGACAAGGTCAGTCTAAACTGATCTAAGGGATGGTTAAACATGATTCGTCATTTTTGATTGTTCATACACATGCAGGTCACGAGGTGGTATTCCAATGCAGAGATGAAGGACCACTGCGTGTTCCAGTTAGATGGATGAGTGGGAACGGCCAGGCGCTCCCACCAGGCTCCAGAGACTTTAACGGACGATTGGAAATGCCCAACGTTTCTGTGAGCTCAACAGGGACTTATATTTGTGAGGCAATTGGTTATCCGGCTGCTACCCCTGGATCCAGAGTATCCGTCTATCTAAGGGTTGACCAATGTAAGTGTTTTGTAAACTTGTGACCTAGGATTAAATATAAAGTGTAAAATTGACACTATAGATAAACCTTCTTTAAAAAACATAAACCAAAATTATATTTACTAAACTGCAATTAAAACAAGCTGCTGGAGGAAAGTCGCCCTGGAGTCCTTCAGAATTGTCTCATTACGATTTTTGGGATAACAGGCAATGGGAGTCTGTGTATTTTCCCCAAAGTGATCCACTAACATATCCCACAACAGATATTGGTAGCGTGTCTCACACTCTGCTCTATTAATGAGTATTATTAGTTCTGCTTCTTAATTCGTGTGGTATAGATTTATAGATTACTTCATCAATCTCTTATTTTCGCTCGATTGTTGATTGTGAAGAAGGCGTTTTAGTACCTTTTAAGTTGCTCGTAATTTTGTCATGTTTTTTACTTAACTTGGGGAGACGTGAAAATATAATCATTTTGATTTCAGATCAAGCCCCACCCACACGTCCTCCTAGTGCGTGCGGTATTTTACAAGCAACATGCAACAATGGGGAGTGCATTTCCAAGCAAATGGTAATAATACACATACCTTTCTTGTTATGTGCACATGATTGTGTTATCATATGATATGTCGAATTCTAGATATGTGACGGAGATCTGGACTGCAGCGATGGTAGTGATGAACAGCGGTATGCAATTTCTCAAAGTTGCTCATTTCTAATTTTTTAATGACTTGGTTATGAAATTCGACAGGTGTCATCACGGTAAAGACGGCTGTGGTAAGACAAATTTGGGGCTATGTATATCATTAAGCAATATCAGTTACATTGACGTGCATATAACCTCATTTCTATGACTAGAACCAAACGAGTTTCAATGCGGTAACCGACGATGTGTTCCAAAGTAAGAAAAACTCCCATGCATAAACTGTATTACATTTGAGGCATTTTAATATTTTATTATTTTAATACTCTTTTAGAACCTGGGGTATGTCAAATTATAATTACTTAATTATGAAAACACGTAAGGATATTTTTAATTTTATGTATTAAATGTTGAAAAAAGCATGCGACGGTGATGACGATTGTGGTGATAATTCAGGTAAGAATAAGTAGTTTTTGCCAAAGTGGTTTCAATTTAGGGTTGATTTCAGTACAAGAGAGTAATATAAACTCTTACAGACGAACAAACGTGTGTTCAGAAGCCTGTGGGATCGCCCTGTCGTCACAATGAGTATCGGTGCTCTTCAGGAATTCAGTGTATTCCTAAAGGTATGTCATCTATTTTATCGTAGTATTATTATTCATGAAATTAATTTCATACTTTTTTAGCATTCCATTGTGACAAGGAATTAGGTAACTGATAATAAATTATGCCAATGAATATATCGGATATGAACATACAAATTAATTTTGGGGTCAGATTGCGCGGATCGGTCGGATGAGCTTGGTTGCTGTGAGTTGTAGCATAAGATTTGATACCTCTTGATTTAGTTATAACTATACATTCATTTTTATGATTGATTGCGTATATTAATCTAACCATTCCAGTGGCTCCAGTTATCAACAGACCACCACCCCCTCTGATTACTGTCGGAATTGGTCAGTGGTTTAATGTTTCATGTACCGCAGTTGGACAGGTATTTCTTTGGCATTGCGATATATGTATGTGTGCGTATGCACACAGATCAGAACGGGGTTCTAATCAAATTAATGTGTTGATCTTTTCGTTGCTCAGCCTGTCCCGGAGATTGTCTGGAGGTAACATACTTAAGTGCACAAGATACGACTTATTAAGAACGTTGCAATATAATAAATATGTATGTGCTTAACCAGATTAAATTGGGGACACATTCCAACCAAGTGCGTCACGTATAGTTCCGACGGGATCGGATATCTTTCTTGTCCAGATACTCAAATTCCTGACCAGGTATGGAATGCATGCGTGAAAATTATGTATGGTCCACAGTTAATACAAAAACCTCAAACATGATTATTTTTGTTTAATAAATAGGGTGCATACTCATGTGAAGTAAGTGACATATTAATTAATCAATAAAATCTGAAAGTTTAATGCTAAAATTATTAATCTAGGCGATCAACGTACTCGGGTCCACTTTTGCAATTCCGGATTGTATTCTCGTAGTGGAAAGACCTCCAAGCGTTTGCCCCACAAGTTACTTTAATGACCTTGCAGACACAACGAGAGATTGTTTGAGCTGCTTCTGTTTTGGTTAGACCCGTGTTTTTATTCTTTTCATCTCCTAACTTTATGTAACTCTATGGGTTGAAAAGCCCGAAAGGGTAATGAGATTAAATAAATATCTATCTATCTATCTCCTAAGTTTCCTTCACATAAAACGTATGCATGCAAAATATATGTATATGTATCGATGCCTGAGTTATTTTTCATCCATTCAGGTCATACAACCGATTGCAGCAGTACCAAATTGTACATTTCTCCCGTGAGTTTGTATTTTGCTACGTCCCAACGATTCCTAAATAAGCAAGTGTTATAATGCAAAATTTTTGCGTTTTTAGATGCCACCACCAGAGTTCAATTTCCGATTGGTTGGAGTATCACAGGTAATGTGAATATTACCTGTGATCACAGGATCAATTAAAACTATCACAATTACTTCCTTACAAATTACCTCTTGTGATGTGTATCACAGGATCTTCTTGGTAGTGGTCAAATTGAAATCCAAGACCACAGTTATGTAATTCCAACAAGTGTTTTAAGAAATGTGAACCCGAGGGGAATTCAAGCAACGATTCCAAATATACGAACACTTGCAATTCCTGAAGATATCATTCCATATTTTGCACTTCCTCCATCCTACAATGGAAATTTGTTAAAAGGATTCGGAGGATATTTAAGATATAATTTAAGGTATCGAGGTTCTGGACGACCACTGCGCGCTCCCGATGTCATAATCAATGTATATTTTCATTTAATACTATTATTTCATCGGTTATGCGTTTATGTACAACAATTTTTCTTTAAATTTCAGGGCAATGGCATTACTTTACTTCATGTAGGGAAGCAGCCCATGTATCCATCCAGAGAAAATGCTGTCTCGGTCAGATTTTGGGCTGGGGAATGGTTCAAGCGTGTTCTTGGAAAGCCGGGTGGCGATGAGCCTGCTGCCGGTGTCGAGCCTGCCACTCGAGAAGAGATACTAATGGCATTGGCGAACGTTGAATATTTCTTAATTCGGTAAAAAAAAACAGCAACAATGAATGACAACATTTCAAGTTGTAGAAATTTAAATATTTCGATGAAATAGAGCTCAATATGACCAAACACCATCTTTGGATACAACTCTCTCTGATGTGAAACTTGATGTCGCCACGTCCAACAATATTGGGCTTGGGACTGCTGTATTTGTTGAAGAGTGTCGTTGTCCTATCGGTTACGTAGGGTTCAGGTACATAAGAATTTAAAATACTATGCAGGGTTTTCACGTCCAATTAGTTGATGTAATTTTTTTACCTAAATAATACCCATTTTTCCAATAAGTCGATAACAATATAATAATTATAATAATTTCAATTTTAAAGTTGTGAGGATTGTGCTCCAGGATATCAAAGACATCAACAAGGTAAAAGGGTATGAAGGATCCTGTTGATTGGTTTTCTAATCGATCATTTTTTATCAACTCTCCTCAACAAGGTTCTTGGTTAGGAAGCTGTATGAAATCTAGTGCACAAGTGAGATGTCCTGCAGGAACGTACTCTGATCAACAGCAATGCAAGCCATGTCCATGCCCGAGTGAGGGGCGTCGGTATACACACAAACTCATTTCTATGCATTTAACAATTAAATATATAAATATGCATGCAAGATTTTCTTCAAATTATTTTCAGATATGGAACTTCATGTTACAAAGACACCGATAATCAGGTTACATGTGAGTGTAATGAAGGACATGTTGGACGAAACTGTGAGCTATGCAGTCCTGGATATCAACAGAGCCCAACTTTCCCCTATGACTGTCGACCCTCAGGTAATAACGTCATTTGAAAATGGATGATATTTAAGATTGAGAAACACGAAATTAAACATTTCCAGGAAGTACATGCGATACGGACGGCGCAGTGTCGCCTTACCCAGATCTCAGTACAGGACGATGCGTTTGCAAGGTATAGTTTAAAGATATTTTACTTTTACATTGTTCTAAATATTTTACCTTTCTATTGCCTCTCACAAAAATATGGACATTTCTGGTATGAGCGTTTGATTTCAAAGTTTTGAATGGATTAATTGAATTGTCCTCCATAAATAAATTATGGAGGACAAAATATTAAAGAAGATGATACGAGTGTATAGTTCTAATATTGGTGTTTGATATTAGGAATATGCCACTGGAACATCATGTAACGAATGCAAGGTACAAACTTATGCAGCTTACAAATACATATATTAAATATGCATAGTTAGGTACTTGCAAATAATACTTAATTTGACATAGGAGGCAACATTTTTTCTAAGCGAACGAAATCAGTACGGTTGTATTAGCTGCTTCTGCATGGGCGTCACCAGTTCGTGTCAATCTAGCAGTTTGTATCGAACTCAGGTTCGTTGAATTAATGTTCAGTGACTAAAATACTTTGCTGTTCATAAAGACATCGTTAAATGAATCTTGGGTTCTGAATCTGTAGGAGACTTCAGTATTTGTCAACAGTCCTCTTGGATTCACATTGGTTGACGAAAGTCAAAGAAACACTATTCGAGATGGATTTGCATTTGACCGAAATACCAGAGAACTTGGATTTAAGGAATTCAACCGCTATCCTGCCGATATCTACTATTGGCAATTGCCTTACAACTATCTAGGAAATAAGGTCACTTCGTATGGGGGTTACTTAAACTACACTGTTCGATATGTTCCTCCACCAGGGGGTCAAAATTCTCCTAACACGGCTGCAGATGTGGAAATAAATGGCAACGATATTCGGTAAATGCATACATGCATAAACTGGAAGCATTCAAAGACCTTGCCTGAACTATCTGTCAGTGATTACAACAAATATGACGCCTTTGTGTTTCAGATTATTGTACTTTAGAAAAATTCAAGTACCAGCAAATAAGCAAGTTGAAATATCTGTCCCATTTGTCGAGTCAAATTGGCAGAGACAGGATGGCCAGTTGGCTAACAGAGAGCATCTAATGATGGCGTTAGGGAACTTGGATGCTCTTTTAGTAAAAGCAACTTTCACCACTAGCACCAGAGAAGCATTGTATGAACAGCAGCCAAATATTATTTTTTCCTTGAAATTCATGCTTATTTTTACTTGATAATTTTATGATTCGACAGTATCAGCAATATCAAAATGGAATACGCTGTTCAGCGAAATACTGGAATGGAGCGAGCATACGGTGTTGAACAGGTAATTTATATTTTCAACAAAATTAGCACGAAATGAACTAGCAATGTTTTTACTGATGCTTCACAAAATAAAATTTGCAGTGCTCATGTCCAGAAGGTTATGAAGGTACACAAAATAATATAAATATGATATGGATTTCTTAAATGGATTTTTAAAATATATTTAACACTCATGAAGGTCTGTCATGCGAGGAATGTGCCTTTGGCTTTACGAGGTCCCTTCGAGGACTATATCTTGGTATTTCTGATTACGAACAATCAATTATATTTCGAGCTGATTGCTGATACACTTTTTTAGGTTTATGCGAACCCTGTGCTTGCAATGGACATTCTGATGAATGTGATCCTAAAACAGGAGTTTGTAGGGTAAGCGCTTATTCGTATAAAACAAGTAATATAATTACTCGATAATCACTGGATAATTTCAGAACTGCCGAGATTATACGTCAGGAGATTTTTGTGAACTCTGCGGTATGCTTCAATTAATATCTATCATGATAACTATTTAGATCTATTAAAATATTAATGCGTTGGATTGCGAGCTAAATTACTGGTATTTTGATTCAATTGTTTAGAGGACGGCTATAGTGGGGATCCTCGAATTGGTGGATGCAGACCCAGTGGAATCGGAAGATGTTCATGCGATCCGAAAGGTGCTGTGCAAATAGACTGTCCGGATGGCAGAAATTGCGTCTGCAAGGTAATTATACATGTTACACAGATTAAACCGTAACCTGAATCCACCTATCCTGTTACCTCTAACAGGGTAATGTTGAAGGCCATACATGCAACATTTGCAGAAGAGGAACGTTTGCTCTTCAATCTTCAAATCCACAAGGGTGTCAGGAATGTTTCTGCGGAGGCGTTACAACCGAATGTTCTTCAGCAACATTATATCGATCTGTTATTTCCTGGAATTTGTTGACAGGCCCACACGGAGTTACATTAACTGATAGGTAACCAAATTATTTATGTATTTAGGTGTATTTTTTAAAGTCATTTTTTTAAATTTTATTTATCGATGTCAAATTATAATAGCACAAGAACATTGCTGGTTGATGACATCGAAACAGATATTAATAACGGAGAACTTTCGTACACGTACCCATACGGGTCTAAATCGGAAAGATTGTTTTGGTCTCTGCCATCAAAATTCACCGGAAACCGGGTATTACTTATTAGTTAGCAATAGTTTGTTGGTTATAATAATTTCTTTTTATACTAACGCTTTTATTTAATTATAGCTGACCTCATATGGTGGAAAACTGCGTGCTACGCGTCGCTACTTGGTAAGACCTGGAACTGAAGATGCACCTATTGAGGACATCGACGTTATTATTGTCGGCAACAACGGTGTGTCCTTATTCTGGGTTTATGGAATTAATGCAGGACAAGAAGTTGTGAGTTCATATTCTATGGTGTTCGTGCTAACAATATTAATTGATAAGTTTATGTGTGCTTTTATAGTCGCTCGAGGTCAGTTTGAAGGAAACGTCAGGTTGGAAGCATCTGGAACATGCTAGCAGAATTGCAACTCGTGATGACCTACTCACGGTTCTTGCTGACTTGCAAGTTATTTTGATCAGGGCATCTTTTACTGACGACATGGAGGCGACTTACATTAAGGACGTAAGTGCTATTTTGATTAGGGTGCAGTATTGCATGAACAGTCACACACGTTAGTATCACGCTTGTATATAATAAATATCTAAGAGTGAGCTGCATGCAGTAATTAATAACAAATAATTTTAGATTAATCACAACTGACAATATTTTTCCCCATGTCTTTTAGATCACTTTGGATGACGCTCAGAAGCATTACAGCCCGAACGGACTAGTGGTTGAAGTTGTAAGTGGAGAACGGGATTGAATATTATTCTGATCAATTTATTACTATCATAATCTTGCAATAATTAAATTGATTACGATTTTAGGAAGAATGCAAGTGCGGCACTGGATACTCTGGGCTTTCTTGTGAGTCATGCAGCACAGGGTTCTACCGGGATTTAAACAATCGGTCTCGTGGACCTACCGGAGCGTGTGTTCCATGCCCCTGTGATATCAACTCATCTGAAGGTTGTAATGTGGAATCAGGTCGTGTAGTGTGTGTCTGTAAAGCTGGGTATACCGGTCACAATTGCGAAAGAGGTAATTTAATAATATATATGTACAATATCAAAAGGTAGTGTGCATTATACAAGTATATTCGTTAAAACAAATTGTTTAAAACCCTTGCAGCTGGAACTTCACCTCTGATACCCGATAGAGAAATCCAAGTACACATTACTGAATCTATTGGTCAGACTCCAATTCCCGTGGGGAGCACGGCATCTTTCCGCTGTACAGCAAGGTCTCCGTCTCCAACCACCCAATTGAGAATCACATGGAGTCGCGAATTCGGAGATCTTCCTTATGGAAGATCACGCGATGACGGTCGAGGTAACTACTTGTGCTGAGATACATATGTACACAACCACGAATGATTTTATACGGGAGCTAAACTGTGACATTGTCCTGCAGGACTCTTGGTGATTAGTCAAGCCCGACCAGAGGACAGTGGAAGGTAATACATAATCAAAAGAATTCGGTACGAGGTGGTGTACACATTTGTTACTGGAATGTAAAACGAACTATTGTGCAGCTACATTTGCTCCGTGACTGATGGAACTGTGACCAGTATCGCCACTACGGCTTTCACTGTTTCCGGTGGTCAACCCAGTTTTGGAACTAAACCTACTGTTTCAATTTCCCCACGTTATACAAATGTGAGAGTCAACGAGGCAGTCCAATTCCAATGCGCCGCTGCAGGGGTCCCCATTCCCTCCGTCACTTGGAGTACTTCTCGTGGACCAGTGCCATCGCACATAATCGTCATTGGAAGTTCATTAAGGTCTGCAAGTTCCAAATAGCATCTATCATATTGTAACGCATTCTGTACTACGAACTTATTAATTCATAAGCATATACATGAGACTTCTTCCGCTTCTTAATCTTCTTAACTGTAAGCACATTTGAAAATTTTGTTCATTAAGAATTCCGGCAGCAAGGAAATCAGACGCGGTTGAATATATCTGCACTGCTCGCAACAACATAGGCACAGAGTCAGCTAGGTCAATTTTATACGTGCAAGGCGAAGAAAGTCAAGCCCCCACCCTCCCTCCTGTCGGACTAGTTGTTTCGATTTCGCCAACGAGTTATGATGCGAGACCAGGAGAAATTGTTAGATTTAGGTAACAATACTATTACTTATATCAATTGTACATTATGTGTTCAACGTATGTACCCACGTACACATTTGCATTCATAACATTGAATATTAAGCTGCTTGGTTTTAACATATAGATGCGACACGTCTGCAAGGAATGCTCAAATGCAATGGTCTAAAGTGTCTGGAGTTTTGGTATGTTAAATTCATACTCAAGCTGATAAATAAATACCCGAGACTCATAGCTTACGACCAACTTACAGCCCCACACAGCTACACAGGGCCCAGATGGGTCACTTACACTATATTCTGTGAGAGATGTCGACATGGGCGTCTACGTGTGTTCAGCCATTTCTGAATCAGGCCAAACTACGCAAGCACAAGCTAGACTGTCAGTAGCATTCATTGGGTAAGAAGACGAGCTATGACTTTATCCATTGAGATTACTAAATATGTATAAAATAATATCTCTCGTCGTTTATATGTAGATCTCCACCGTCAGCAAAAATCACTCCAGAAAGACAAACAGTAGCTCAAGGAAACCCAATTGAAATTCTGTGCACTCCAACCGGAAGTCCTCCTCCACAAATTGAATGGAGCAAAGTGGGAGGTTCACTCCCGTCAAGTGTTCAGGTAATCTGCTGCTTGTAAATACGTAGCCCTACTACCTGACTCTTACTCGAATCGTTGCCTCACAAATTTCTGTTCTTTTTTAAAGCGGAATGCCGAACTACTTAGAATTGACACTGCAGAAGTAAATGACCGTGGGGTAGGTTTAGTTGCATATAATATATGATATATGTGTACAATATTGAAATAACTGACGTAAATGTAGGTCTATGTTTGCCAAGTGGAATCTTCAAGTGGCAAAAGTCTTGCATCTGCAATTGTGGAAGTTGAGCGCAGAGAAAGCCCAATGATTGAAATGTATCCTTCTGGACGCCAGACAGTGGTCCGAGATGGAAGGTTTGTTCTCATGCGTAAATAAGTCACGATGTAAAATCTAGATAAATAATCATTAATTTTCATAATTTCCATTGTTCAGTGCTTTGTTCCAATGTCGAGTAACTGCTGGAATTCCATCCCCCATAGTTTCATGGGCCAGGGGGGATGGGCGTGTGCTATCCAGAACGGTCGAGGAGATCGAAGGGGGAGTGTTGAGGTTTAACAGGTTTGTCAAAATTAATCTAATTTATTTGAAGGCATCACAATGATATTAATAATTGCACATTTCCCTACACTTTTAATTTCTGTATTTCAGAGTTACTGGGGAAGAGAAAGGTATACAATTTCTACTGTGCATGCTAATTATACGGTAGAATTTCTAACAAATCTTGGTTTGCTATTTAGGACAATACATTTGTAAGGCTGAAAATATAGTTGGAACAACTACAGCAATTGCTACCCTTGATGTAAGATACACATATTTTGTTACTTTAAAACCAATTTATAAACGATGTGGAACTTCATTTACAGATTCAAATTCCACCAAATATCACAATCACCCCGGATTCACCACATCGAGCGAGGTCTGGAGAAAGCGTTCGTTTGGAATGCAACGCACAAGGTGAACCGATTCCTACAGTCTCGTGGACTAGATTGCAGACCGGAAGAGAAATCGAGTATGATTTTTTCCAACTTTCTTTCTACATTTTTTCAGAAAAACTAGAGTTAATTCGATAATGTGTGTATGTAGGGACAGAGAAAGGTTGCACGGCGTTGGGACGCCATTCCGTGCCATGTATGACATAGCCCGTGTTTCAAAGAGTGACGAAGGATCATACAGGTACGAACAACAAACATTATTGAAATTGATAATAGTTAATTATCCTTAACCTTGTGAATTTCGCGATTAGTTGTATGGCTAAAAGTGAAGCAGGACAATCTGAAGAAAGATTCCAGGTAATGTTGTAAATAAACTACAATTTGAAGTATTGAATAAATACATTAAATTGAATTTTATTACTATACCAGTTGCTCGTTGATGAATTTTCTGAAACGGACTACAACGTCATTCACCCATATCCGCCCACAGTACGGCCACCAAGGGAAGAAGTTTACTATTTCCCAGTTGGATCCAGAGCTGAGCTTCGTTGTATTCAAGGTTATTATTAACATGTTTAAATTTACGTGTATTTTAGAATATGTACATGAATATGTGTATGGTAAGTCCTTTTTTCGGAATGCAGCATTTGAAGGGGATGTTTTTGACCGATTGTATTTGGACTGGAATCGCTCTGATGGAGGCCGCATGCCAAAGGATTATGACATTAGGGACGGAATTTTGTAAGTTAATTTCCTATTTATGAATTTTTGTGAACTAGTGAAAACAAAATCACATTTATATTTGACACAAACAGGTACATTAATGACTTGTCACATGAAGATGCCGGTTTGTACAGTTGTTTCGCTTCGAACCGACAAGGAGAAAGAGCATTCACAATCAGTGCTCGTTTGGAGGTCGTTGGGAGTAAGTGCAACGTTTTTGCTTCAAAATTACATTTTCTGTGCCAATGATTCTTTAAATCTTCACGTACTAATTGTAATGAATGCCAATTCTTTATGCTACTTTGGGAAAAGGTGAAAAATGTGCAAATTACGCAGGTGAAAGTTCAAGTGCTTTCTCCAACATGTTTCCTTCCCCATATTTAATTGTTGAGTCGTATTTAAATTATGGCTGTTATGTTGTGATATATAAATACACATATTTTATAGAGTATTACTGAAAATGCTTATTTCATCTGCAGCGTCTCCTCCGAGAATTCAATTGGAACCGGCGAGACAGACTGTAAGAAGGGGAGATACTGTGGTATGCATTACGGAAACATTCAACAATTTTAAGATTCGTTAATCATAGAAGAAAATTGAACTAATTTTAAATTTGTAGACCATCAACTGTCTTGCAACGGGAGATCAACCAATTACGCTCAATTGGTACAAAATGGATCGACGACCATTTCCACCTTCCGGTAAATTGCATATTTCACACTTAAATATCAATTCGGAACATTAAAATACCAAATCCGTCTAAACTTGACTTTTACTGTTGGCCTCGTCTGAAACTAATTTGTCATATTTTATTATAGTTTTGGTCAATGGTCAACAACTTGTGGTATGATCTCATAATATAATTTTTAGCATTTTTACAAAAAAATTACTATTCTAAACGATTATTGGAAATGTACAGTTCAGAGGAATCGAAGTGACTGATACTGGACGTTACGTTTGTCAAGGTGAGAAATACATATTTTAGAAATCTTTCTAATTCTGTTTTATAATTTTTCTAACGAAGAATAAATATTTTGCTTTCCTTCTGGCCCAGCTACGAACACTGGAGGCACTTCTGAATCAATAGGTAATTAAAACTATGCAGTGTGCTGGGAGAGAGTCTATTGTCTTTGCTTATTAGTTGGATAATAAGTTGGATAATTTGGATAATTAATTTTGTGAAAGGATGTTAGTTGTAATACGTATTTAATTTTTAATATAAAAGCCGAGGTCACTGTGAACACGGGAAGTAGCAGTGCTGGTCCCGGTCATGGTGCAAGACGAGAGCAGAAAGGGGTCGTGGGGTCGACGGTTGAACTTCGATGCGGCATCGGAGGGAACCAGTACGACTGGAGAAAGGACGACGAGGAACTCCCAAGGACGTCCATCATGTTCGGACCAACGCTGACTCTGCTGAACCTACAAGAACAAGATGCTGGTTCGAAATTCTATCAGAACCAATGATGCTAGTTATTGTAATCCGTGTTTTCACCAAATATGGTAATTTCTAGGTCGTTACATTTGCACGAGTGAACAGGGTTCTGATTTCATCGATCTTAGCGTTGAAGGTAATTCAAGTTTCGATTTTCAATTAGCCTTTTTAAATTTTGGCATACATTTTGTATTTATTTTGCTAAATTTAATTTTACTAACAATTCTACCTTACTTATTTTTTGTACTTATATTTGTCCATCATACTCAATCGAACCAATATTTTGCATCACCAGTTAAGACGAAAAAGTTGGGAAAATTATCTCGATGCATATGTACTTAGCCTGTTAATATAGGTTTTGGAATATATCAATGTGACACAAATGAATTACCTTGCTTATCTGGAGACCAGTGCATTCCGTTACGTCAGAAATGTGATTCAATTCCTCATTGTGTTGATTATTCTGATGAGATTGCCTGTGAGTTTCGTAGCAGACGTTATAGGCAAATTAGAGGTATAACTTTCTAACTCAAATTAACGCTTAATTTGTGATTGACGCTTTCCATGTCATGCATTTGGTTTGTTATACATATGTGTGCCATATATAAATGTAAGCATAAAGTTTGTAACCTGTGTTTGTTTGAGACATAACTCAATACCAGATTATGAATAACATTATTATGTATTATTTATGGTGAATTTCAGGAGTTCAAAATGTCCATGTTCGAATTATACCAAGCCAAGAACTAATACGAATCGGGGACAATGTGGAACTTAATTGTGACGTAGAGGGTGACCCACAACCCCAAATCAGATGGAACAAGATGCACAACGGGGAGTTCCAAGATAATGTGCAAATCTTGGGAAGTAGAGTAAAAATCCGAGACGTTAGAAATGAAAATGGTAATTGAAGCAATATAAATATACAAATTTATATAGTACAGTGAACTGTATTAATTTTTGATTAATCTATCATCACTGAATTAATAACAAAATTGGATTTAATCGATTAGGAGGAGTTTATCGCTGTACTGCAAACACGGTTGGTGGGATTCACGAGGAAGACTATGCGCTAACAATTCACGGTATTTTCTGCGCTTATTCGTTCGAGTTTTCCATACGTTGCTAAATTTTACTTACATGATTTACTCTTTACTACTATAAAATAGCAAATCCAGATAGAATTCAAAATTCTGCTCCGATTGAGACACGATCTGTGCCATATGGAAGCACTGGTAAGCATATTGTATACTATATGCATATTCTTAATTTGTTATGTCATAAATGCTTCCAATTCCGAAATTAGTTACAATGGATTGCAAAACCGAACTTGCTGGCCGAATTGATTACTCTTGGAGTAAGCAAGGGGGATCAGTTAACCAACCGTTAGCCAGTGGACAAAGTTTGACGATATCAGGTAAAGTGGATTTCAGAAGCGATGAAACTAGTAAATATTGCATGAAATTATACTTTAACTTTCTTTGTGGTATTGTAGATGCAACTGCGGAGGACGCGGGGACCTATATTTGCATGGCTGCTTCATCACACCCACACAGCTCCGTAGATGTGACCACAGTGTTGGTGGTTACAGGCGCAGTTCCTCATTTTACACAAAACCCGTCGTCCTACATGTCCTTGCCCACGCTGCCAGAGTCCTACCTCAAGTTTGATATTGAAATATCCTTTAAACCCGACGATCGAAATGGTATGTACCGCATAATGTATTGAATCATAGTTTTCTTCAAAAAACCCATCTCTCAGGTCTCATACTCTATAACGGACAAATGAAGGATGGTAGTGGTGATTTTGTGTCATTTGGAATTTCCCACGGTATGTTTTTAAATGTTATTATTACGTACAATAATTACAGAAGAGTCACTGGGTTGGTCCGTTTATTCAAAATGATTAAAGTTCATATCAAGTGTAAACAATGTTTGGACAAGTACAACAAGACAGCTATTTAATTTTATTTAAAACTATTTAATGAACTGTAATGTATTACCAATATATATATATGTAATATATTGGTAATAAATTTCCAATGGCAAAACTTTTATGTTTACTACCTACTGGGCCCAGGCAAGCTGAAATTAGCTCTTAATTTCATAACCGCTGGAGATAATAAAGATTTGATAAGTGCATTGGATTCCTCGTGCGATTTTGCATAAGTAAAACCAATCAACTTTTAGCAGCTAACAAAGGATATCTGTAGGGAAAATCGTGAAAGGACGCAGGCGGCGATAATTTTTCACCAAAAAACTCGGAAGAAAAATAGTTAATTTGAAAAATACTAAGGAAATCGAAAGTGAAGTTTAATTTAGTCCAGCGAACTATAAAAACGTTCATTGGGATTGGGTCGACTAAGGACGGTCGAAGAAGAATTTTTACAAAACCTACAAAGACCACACCCATCGTGAAGGCGCTGAAGTCTAGAATTCGAAGAAATTCTCGAAATTCTAACGGAAACTAGCCTCACAGCTGACACGGTTGATGCAAATTATCCATCGAGTACTCAAATTGAACCTTGAACTTCAGGCTTTGAAACGTTATACTTTATGCATGCTGAAAATTCCCCAGAGGAAAACCAGATTAAATAAATGCAGGACTCTCTTGCAGCGGTGCGCACCGAAAAAAATTTAGAGGATTCTTTTTAAAATGAGTAGATTTTCATGTCAGAGAAATATTTTAACAAACAAAATGATCCAATCTACGCCAAATCGGCTAAATACATCCTTCAATATAGGCAAAAGGTCAGAAGGTCAGATTATCCAGGTTTTGTGACGGTTTGGATAGGTTAGAGCTAATTGGGGTAATTTTTATGCATTTTGTTGAAAATCGGGGGAAGGTGAGGGAATTAAATTTCTTAAAATATGTTTCCGGGTTCATGGTACATCCCCTCAATGAGATTATATTCAATGGGGTCGTCTGGACCTTGCGGCGGGACTCAGCACTAGCTCATAGTGCAAAAAACGATCTAGGCTAAAAAATAAAAGTCCGGATTTTATCTCCAATTCGGAATTGCTATTCCCCTCCTTGGATTTGAATCTCGAACTATAAAAAATTGTAAAACTTAGAGGCAAAGATGTGTTCTAAGGCTGGTAAAAGTGCAAAGGTTTTAAAAAAATCTTTGACCACGGAATTAGACAATTAATCTACGGATTCAGTGCGCACTTTAGTCGAGGACTCGAGGCCGCTTCTTCAGCACTGCGTTAATGTAGGAGGAGGAAATTTCGAAAGATAAAAATTGTTTTCTACTCAAAAATTAACTGGCTTTCCACTAAAATTAACTAGAAACGTGTAACACAAAAACTGTGGTAGCTACAGCGTTTCATTTTACTACCAGTTTGCCTGGGCCACCTAGTACATGAAACGACATTCCCAAATTAACAATTATCATTTTGCGAAATATGTAGGTTATCCTGAATTTCGATTTGATGTCGGTAGCGGACCTGCAGTTATTCGTGGCAGTAGAGTTCTCGAAACTGGGACTTGGCATAAAGTTAGGTTATCTCGAAGCAGAGCAAACGGAGAAATGGTTGTTAATGACGAAGACACCTTCACTGGAACAATTCATGGTTCGTTTCAAGGACTCGATCTTATGGAACCTCTTTACGTTGGAGGCCATCCCAACTTTAATAACGTCCACAAGTTGGTTGGTCATACCAAAGGATTTGTTGGTAAACATAAATTTTATTGAAATTAACACAACTATTCTATAATTTTAATTACTCTAAACTAACCATTGGATTTGTAGGATGCATCAGCGAATTAGTAATTGGAGGCAAACGCACACAACTTTTTAAAGACTCCCAAATCTCGCGAGGTGTGTCGTCTTGTGACACGTGTGATTCTAATGATTGCACAAACGGAGGTGTATGTCAGGAGGTACGAATGCTTAATTTGTACATATTTAATAGAATTAGTTAGTATTTACACGTATGCATGATGTTAAAATTTGTTTTAGGGGTTGAGCGAACGTGGATATAGTTGCATATGTCCTCCTGGTAATTCAGGTAATTCAATCTGGCATCTTGCTGGCATAAATAATAATCTAAGTTAACCAAGAAATAAAGACATATGACAAGACGCATAAAGCATCAATATCTTCATTTAGGAGCAAATTGTGAAATTTCTGGACAATCATGCTATGCAGGAGCATGTGGGGAAGGTATTACTTTAAAAAAAATATAGTCTGCTTGACAAGGATGACTAATATTTTTTATTGCTTTAACAGGAAAGTGTGTCAATATTCCTGGAGGCTTCGAATGTTATTGTCCATTTGGAAAAGTTCCTGGCCCTCGTTGTGAACGCGACGTTGTTATTTATGAACCACGGTTTAACGGCCATGATTCATACATGGCATATCCAACCCCACAAGACTTAAAGACATTGAAAGTTAACTTGAAAATTAAGCCGGATTCCGATGAAGACGGTTTGCTAGTTTATGCGTCACAAACTGATGACGGTCTTGGTGACTACACATCTTTAGCTATTAAGGATAGGCGGTTAGAATTTCAATATGACACCGGATCTGGTAAAACTATTGATCAAATGTCATTTAATTTGTGAAATATACATTTTTCATCCATTTTTCGACATGTAAAACCTAGGACCTGCAGTTATAAGAAGCAAGAAGGAAATTGCCAAAGGAGAATGGATCTCGGTAAGGACTACACAACATGGTTTTGTGTAAAGAGTAACTAAGCGAATGGATACCGCTGACCCTCAGTTTTGATTCGTGTGTAGGTGTCCATTGAACGAAAAGAACAAGAAGGGGAATTGAAAATTAATGGTGGAGACTTGATTAGAGGAAAGTCTCCTGGGGTAACTCGAGGTTTGAATTTGAAGACTCCGCTCTACATTGGAGGTCATGACCGTCATCGAATCCAGCTGAATAGCAACGTCGGAGTTGTAAAAGGGTTCTCCGGATGTGTGTCGGAGGTTAAAAGATCTTAAAGCGATTTCTTAATGTAGTGATTTGGATGATTGAAAATTGTTTTTTTGCAGATGGATGTTCATGGGATGGAACTAGACTTAATTACATCCGTACAGGAAGGTGCAAATGTGGGTAAGATATTACGAGATCAATTTGTATTAAAATTATATGTGGAAACAAGTAAGTAATTTAGGTTTTCTTGAAAAAAATTTGCACAGTAACTTTTGTTTGCATAAATACGTATGTAGGAAAATACGTATATCTGCATTTGTATTTAAAAAATATGCACAGTAATTACATAAAAAATAATGCATACTTACTCTAAATAGACACCAACAACAAAAATAAGAATATAGCCTTGGTACAGGACCCATTTCTAGAAAACTGGTAAATTAAATAATTATTTTGGTAATATAGACAACTGTGAAGGAGGGTCCCAATTTTGCACGAAAAATCCATGCCGAAATGGAGGAACGTGTCAAGAGAATACAACTTGTTCTTGCCAGAGTGGATTTTCAGGAAGGTTTTGCGAGACTCGAGATATGTGCAGTCTCAAACCTTGTCTTAATGGAGGAACGTGTTTCTCCATGAAAAACTCCTACCGGTACGGTTTGATATTATTAATTAGCTAATTAGTTAAGGAGATGAGGAAGACATATTCATTCAGCTATTTTACATCATTGATTTTATTGCAGTTGCTCGTGTCCTAAGGGATTTTTTTCGAAAAACTGCGAGACTGGTAAATACTGCATTTTCATACACTTGGCAATTCGTTAGAAGTATACATTGGGTAATTTTTGCATTAATTTACTAGCAATGGGGGAATGGAGTCAATCTGTAGCTTTCCGAGGCGAAGGTTACATTGAGGTAGAATAATAATGTTTCGTACCAGTCAGATTGCATGCATTTTAGGCTTAAAACGTGTTAATATGTTCCAATTAAATTGCAGATTAATAAATCGTTCATGTATCGAAGTGGACCATACGTTCCCGAGACCGTAGAGTTAGAAATTTCGACTAAGGCATCGTCTGGAGGCCTAATATTTTGGCATGGTCCCACGCCCACTGAAATTGACCCAGACGACTTTTTTTCGATTGCTGTAAATAGAGAAGGGAAAGTTGAGCTTCAATGGGATTATGGATCAGGAGTTGCTAAAGCTGTCTCAAATTCCATCGTAAACGACGGAGAAAAGCATTTGGTATGTTATAACCAGACGCATCTTAATACTTGCAGTACGGCATGTAAAATAAATAAATATGATCTTTCTTCAGGTTGTAGTGAAAAGGCAAGGTCGAGATGGGACGATCCAGGTGGATGGAGAGGACATTCCGTCGTTTGCTATCAATAATGAGCCTGTCGAGGTACTTTATCTTTATTTCAACCTTTACGTTCTCGGCAATAATTTTTCGGATTTTCTCAGACCCTCAATCCCCACGGAAACATATACGTCGGTGGTGCTCCAAACTGGTATGATTTTTTAATTCATATACTTTTGTATATAATGTGGTGATGCACATGCATTTTTGCATGGAAATGTACAACAATTGTATTTCGAATGACGGACATTTAAATTAATTTCCAGCTTTCAAATGACTCATGGTCTGTACCATAATGGATTTATTGGATGCATCCATTCCTTAAAAATTCAAAACGGTGAACCCATCAACCTGAATGAAAATTCAATCTCTGCGGTCAATACCGGTCCCTGTTCCGAGTAAGTGCTTTGTATAAAAAGTTTATATTGGTTTGGACTGATGAGTGATAATTACAAAACTTGTTACTATTTACATACAAATTACTAAATCCCAAAGTTAACTGTTTTGTGTGCAGTGTTAAATGGTGGCAGGCTCTCGCTTCGCATACTGACTCTGACGATTCGGCATCAATAACCACTACTGCTCCTGTTGCTTTTGTCCACTTAATTTTAATTTTATTTTTAGTATGTTCACAATTTTTACTTCACTACGACACATAACGAACATTGTCTTCGAATATAGATCGAAATAATCAGAGTCCCGAAGGTAACGTGTGTCCATGTTAGAACTACTTTTGACGCTTGTTTCTCATGATGACTGTTTTGGGTTTACTTTTGGTTTTGTTGCTGAAAATTTTCTGCTAATCGAATGGCATATTGTAACGAAAACTTTATTTCTTTTGATTTGCTTAGGGAGAAGCCTACGCTCGACTTACGCCGACCCCATCAACACTCAAATCATCGAAATAATAACAAGCATAAAAAGCCGGCTGGACAAACTCATAATCTGAACGGCCACCGTAATAAGCATTCTAAAATCAAAAATGAAGTGACGACTGATTATAATGATTATCCTGAAGAATCTTTCATCGAAGGGAGACACCGACTCTCAAAATAATCTTTCAATTACTTAAATTTTATGTTATTTTACATAGTTTTACATATTTTATTTATGACAGCAATATTCATGCACAATAATTATTGACTATACAACTGCAGATAATAATTTAGTCATCCATAAAGAGTATATAGATACTTGTATAGTGATAATAATATGCAGCCAAAAATTCCATGAATATTATTATTCAGATTACAAGAAAAGTCCATTAATTGAAATGTGCCAAATGTTGTGGACCCATATTCATAAAAGTCGTCGTTCGCAGAGCTTGATCTATTAGACTTATAAGGAAATCCAATCAAGTCGAATATGATAAATTCTCAAAATAATTTTACTTAAAACCGACCTCATATTCAGTATGCATCCGGCAGTGTGTTATTCTTGCATGTTATATGTACATACAATTTACCATAATAGCTGTATAAAATATGTAATAGTAAATTTAGTGCAATGAGATTTCTCATTATTAAAACTTAGGAAATTAGAGCCAAGGAGTAAATAACCTTCAAAAATAAATTGCTGGAGTGACAATAAAAAGTAAAAACTCTGTACTCAAATCTGTATTATACATAGTTGTACCAAAAATAGTGTGAAAAGAACAGAGCAGACATTTCGTTTTTATTTGATAACACATATTGCAGAACCTGTTAGCTAGTATCCCAGGAATGTGACAACGTATTCGACACCGTGTGTCATTTTTGTGCCTTAATTTAGGTTAACGAACGTCATACAATTATGAATAAAATACTTATTAGTGAAATATGAAATATTGCGTAATATAGGGTTTAATATTTCCTCTTGGTGCTGTTTTACACGACTGACAAATCTGTGTGCTTCACCTTAAATTTATTATTAATACTGATTTCATGTATTTGACATGTCCTAATATACACTCACAGGTATACCAATATGATAAGTTATACAACTTGTTACATTTGTCTATAATTTGTCTCATGTTTATTCAACACTGCCGTTTATTAGATTTGTCATCAACTTATTATTGTACTGCCATTTTTTGTGTATTCTAGTTTCAAAAAAACATAACTATATTTGCATACAATGATCAATTCAAAGTCGTTTTCTGGTAATAATGATATTATTGGTATTATTAAAAGTTAAAACGTGTCCAACGGATGAATTCATCATGAACTGACCTACAATACTTGTATGCTTTATGTAAATGGTAATAAAATTGATTTGTTATAATGATGTCTAAATGCATATATATGAATTTCATAAGTGTAAAGGCATTCGTATTACTGTTTAGCATTAAGAAATAACTGGTATGAAATTGTTATATGTGACGCTCTCATAAACTTTTAAAAATTTTACAGTCTGACATTGTCATAAAATATGGAACAAATAACTCTAGTAATTTTTAAAAACACGCTTTGAAAAAAATAGATAAAAGCATCTTCAGAGAATGTGCATTCTATACAAGCTCCAAGTAACAACGGTTAATTTCGGCACAACAATCCATAATGACGAATTTGACATGGGTAAGCAAGATGGATATTCAGAAAATTAGTATAGGCGTTGATAGTAAATGTGATTCTAGGTCTTATGTATGGTCATTGCCTTTGGGGTGTGGATTCCAGAAAGTGAATCGCAACGACGGTTTCATCGACAAGCACCATGCACAATGCCCGGGACATTTCCTCACCCCACCTCTAAAATCCAGGTAAATTGTACAACTCTGCTCATCTGTAGAAGGTTTCATTTTAAAGCACTATTTACAATTTTAGTACATCAGGTGCATTCGAATTCGAGGAAGGTTGTATCAGTACATATTCACCTGTCCACAACCCGAGTCACAATTCGATCCTGCAACAAAAAAATGCGTTTTGAAGGGAACAAGTAATACCATATTTTGAGCTTTGGCATGTCGGAGTCTTTGCAGTCGGACTATTTGATATAGTTATAGCCTGAACAGAGGCACTAGTGCGTTAGACGCTAACTTCCGGTTCTACTGATTTTGCTAAGCTCTGACCATGATAATAATTGATCTTAATATTTGACAATATCATAAAATTTAGTTACAGATGCCCCTACTACCATTACCCTTTTTCCAACTACAACAATGACTACTGTAACAACCCTGCCGACGAGTACAGGATCTGAGACAACTAAGGGATCTGCAACCACGACTACTGGCCCTGAGACGACAACTACGGCCCCTGAGACAACAACTACGGCCCCTGAAACAACTAGGGCCCCTGAAACAACTACGGCAGCTGAGACGACAACTACTGCCCCTGAGACGACAACTACGGCCCCTGAGACAACAACTACGGCCCCTGAAACAACTACGGCCCCTGAGACGACAACTACTGCCCCTGAGACGACAACTACTGCCCCTGAGACGACAACTACTGCCCCTGAGACGACAACTACGGCCCCTGAGACGACAACTACTGCCCCTGAGACGACAACTACGGCCCCTGAGACGACAACTACGGCCCCTGAGACGACAACTACGGCCCCTGAGACAACAACTACGGCCCCTGAGACGACAACTACTGCCCCTGAGACGACAACTACTGCGCCTGAGACGACAACTACTGCCCCTGAGACGACAACTACGGCCCCTGAGACGACAACTACGGCCCCTGAGACGACAACTACGGCCCCTGAGACAACAACTACGGCCCCTGAGACGACAACTACGGCCCCTGAGACAACAGCTACGGCCCCTGAAACGACAACTACGGCCCCTTAGACGACAACTACGGCCCCTGAGACGACTGAGACGACAACTACGGGATCTTAAACAACAACTCAGGGTTACAAGATCGTTTAGAAACTAAACTTTAGATAACACTCTTTACGTTATAATTATTTCATCGTACATATATGCAACAATCTATCGTGTAATATTTAGTATTATATTTTTGTCTGCATGTTCTCGTCGTTAATGAAATGTTTGTTTTAATTTGATCCGTGGTTTAAACTTTATTTTATATTACATTTAGTAACAATTAAAATGTTCGATAGTTTGTAAAATCATTTTCTGTAACTTTTAATGAGAAGTCCTAAAAAAGCTAAAATATGAAAAACAAAATATAAGCATATGAGTAGGATGAAATCCAAATGCAAATTGGACTCGTCAAAGTTGTTGGCGTTAAGTACTCCAGCACCAGTTGAAATGCATGGAATGGTCACGTCAGATTTGCACGCTGAAATTTATTAACGGACTTTATGCAACTTCAGGTCTAAACTGTTACGTTTCGTGTTTCTTACATATATTGGTGATATTCGCCCATTGACTGACTGACATTGCTTCATTGGCATACATGAACCAACTCAAGGATTTGCTCCAAGACAGGTAGCCAGGAAGAGAACTAAATTAAAAGCCATACATGAACTCACGATATCTCGCATAAAAACTGCATAAACTCCCTTACTCCAGATTTATAAAGATTCCTAACAAACCAAATCAAAATCAACAACAGTTCATGGAACAACCAAAATCGATAGTTTAAATACCTCCAGTAATCATAAGCATGTAATCAAATGGAATCAGACAAGTAATTGCAACTGAGACCGAGTCAAACACAGCAGAGAAAAAGCATCCACAAGCAGCTGCCGTATTCGCAGTTAACAGAATTACGAGACACGTTTGCAAAAATGCCGTCATTGTTGCCCGAAGTCCCACCAACCAGTAGGCCACGGTCACAAAAAGAAGAGGTTCTGCTATAAATCCCGGGACCTGGCAAAAATTACATTATTCCACTTAACCAATATTTAGGATTAGTAGAAATAAATGACACCGCTTTACCAAACTAATCATTTTTGCCAAATAGTATGTATCTACTCGGTAAACTCCATTCTTGTTTTCTCGTAGAAATAAAGGCAGCTAGAATAATGATATGTTTTGTTAAGATTAGTCTCGATTTTAATATATGTAGAACAACTCACTTCATGGGGAAATACATGGAGAACGCCATACATTGATGGAAAAGTATTTTCAGTGATAAAAATAAAAATCGCTCCTTGAATATTTTGAATTCCATCCTGGTCCAAATTGACACCAAAAAAGCAAAACCCGATGAGCAATGCCATAACCTGTTCATCATTATTGTTATTTACCTAATATCTGCTGATAGTAGAACAACAGAAAGTGACATTATATTCATAAACCCAATTTAAAAATACTTGCAATTTTTTGAACCGTTCGAACTACGTGGACGTTTAGATTTCTATTCGATTCTAACAGCGATCGCCACGTTAACCAGAACAATTCAGTGTGCCAGTGAGGTTTTCGACTGGAATAAATGCATCTGTAAAAGTTTATTTGCATAATGATAATCTATTGCACAGTAAAGTCCGTCTACATACATGTGGCTCCCAATGAGGGTTTCTTCTAGGAAGGTCTGCAAATAATTTCATGATACTTTATCTCATTGCATATAAACACTAGACTGCACGTGCAGCTTTTGACAGGGTTTTAAAAAATTGTATTAGTCATACCAAATCCGAGGATTTAGAGGAAGATATTGATGTAGTGAAGAAATCGTATTTAGCCAATTGTTCAGCAATCTCATCTTGGATATCGTTGTACTCTGCCGAGTTAACAAATGTGTCGCAAATCAAGCTAATCTTATGTCTGCTTTCTTTCTCCATTCCTGGTAAAACTGCGAGTGAGCGTATGTAAAAGTCTGCCGGATTATAATGATCTGGACAAATATGGCCAAGTTTTGCGAAAAAATTCATGGCACCCTTCGTATCCCCAAGATAGGCCGTCCTTCCCTCAACAAGTAGACACACTTGGTCAAACATTGCAAAAACTTGGGATGATGGCTGATGAATAGTGCACATGATTGTTTTTCCTTTTTCCTTTGCCAAATTCTGCATCACGGAAACAATGCGTTGAGCTGAAAAGCTATCGAGGCCTGTGGTACACTCGTCGCCAAAGAGCACTGGACATCCTGAAATTGCCTAATAATAAATAATTTTATGCAAGTTGTCTCAGATTTTTTAGCATTTGCAACATCAAAAGTTATGATACCTCAGAAGCGAAAGAAAGTCGCTTCATTTCTCCACCAATAAAATTTCAAAAGATAATGATAAAAAATAGTTAAATGTTTTTTGGAGAAGTATTTTTAAGTTATAATTTTCAACTCACCAGATATTCTCTCGATCCGTGTGTGTTCGCATTTCTTTAAACCAAGTCCTGTTAAGAGTTCTTCCACTTGTCGTGTTCGTTCCCATTTTGTCAAACGACGATCCAACTTCATGCGTGCCTTCCGTGAATTAAATTAGCATTTAAATAATCATATGAACAAAAAAGATGCCAAAAATATGAAATTTTCATACCATGAAATTTAAGTGTTCCAAAACCGTTAAACTTGAGAAAAATAGATCTTCTTGATATACATAACCAGAAATTTTTCTCATGAATTTTCCAATGGGCAGTCCTAATGTATTTGTAAAATTCTGACATTGTCAAATATCAATAATACGTAGTTAAATCCTTTTGTTTACCATTGACTCGGATGTCTCCATTAATTACAACATTTTCTGAAAATATAAATTTCATTTAACTAATCCTAAATATTTAGTGTGTGATTAGATGTATTATTTTAGGCTTAAATTTACCTTGTACACGCTTTGCTAAAACATTAAGAAGTGTCGTTTTGCCTGCACCTGATGCTCCTAGGACGGCTAGAATTATTCAAATTTATTATAGACTGAGGTTGAGACTAGTATGATAAATAAGGCCTCTTACCCATCATAGTTCCAGGATGGACTATGCCTGTCACTTTAAATGAATCACATTTCCAAATTATTAACCATTTTCAGCAAGTAAGTATATGCCAACCCCTTTACCATTGTTAAGCACTCTTTTGAACGGTTGGTGGACATTTCGTCTCTGGAAGATTCCTTGGCGAGGGGTAGGGACATAAGCACTGAGATCATGCCATGAAAGTGTAGCCCCTTTTAGTCCAACAGAGTCTGACTCGGAGGGATTTTTTAGCTTGAGTGGTAGCAAAATAGGAATCTCAAAAACAATATATCCGTCTTAATTCATAGTCGTTAGTGGAGCTTTAAAACTAAAAGTTTGAGAACGTTTCTTACATCATCATCTCTGTGCGAAAGCTCCAAAGTATTTCCGGATCTATTACTATAAAAACTTCCAGTTGACTCGATTCGCTGAATTCCCATCGTGTACAAGTTTTAGGAATCTATACTTATATTTCAAATAATTCACAATTTTACCCAAATTCGCAAGTTTTTTTATGCCTCACTAATTTATTATATTCAAAACAAAAAAACGTGTGTGCTATCTTAACGCTGTTTGTCGAAATCGAGACAGAGTCAAAATAATGGTCTTAGGAATTGTATACCGTGATTTTGTGATATGCATACGTATGTAAATGGGAAATGTCAACTTCACGAAACGAATTCATGTGTGTAGAGATTTTGTAGAACTGGACCTAACATAGGGACATGGACTTGCTTCTTCATCAAACACAGTTGATCTATTTATTACATGTTTAATATGCGAGTATGTTAATCAATGACTTAGGACCTAATCACAGCATAAAACATCATCCAAGTCAAACTGGTCTGGAATTGTTTGCTGACATTCTCTCGAATAGCCAAATACAGTTAAATTGCGTCTGTCTGGTTTAAACTTTATTAGTTCTTCGTGAATAAATAAATCAAAGATACTTCGTTAATTTGAATATCATAGCTAATGCGTTTTAGACGTAATATAAACATTTTGTAACATCAGAAGCATAACTTTAGGTCATTTGAGATTCATATGAGATTTTTGAAAATATAAATCACACGAAAGTATTAAAAATCACATTTATTATTTCTCATTTTTGTCAACTTACAACTTTTTAAGATTGCCAAAATCACCATGATTGAGAGCATTAATTTACAGTGGGGCATTTAAATAATATACCAAAATAATAAATATTCAGGTCTTCCTGTAAGTCTTAGCCAATAGGGCGATGAAGGCAATGACCCTGTAACCGATTAGCAAGGCGACTAAACTGACAATGTCTATTGTCAAGTTATCCTGGAAAATAAAGTAATCATATAGAAATGTGAAAAAATTATAGAAAGTTTTTAATTGAATGGAGCAAACTTTGTCGCCATTAATTATGTGAGTCAAGCATCTTTAAACAAAAATATTTTTCGTTTGACAGGTTCCAGTTTAGCAGGTTCAAGTCAAAGAAACTGGATATTTTGATCTGATCACATTCACATGTACATCAGTCTCACCTCCGTTAAATTGAATAAACTAGTGTGTTAAACTTCTAATTAACTACTATAAAAAACTTGTCTTTTGAGCTGGTAGAGTTATAAAATTGATGACAGGATATCATCGACACTCTGCTAAACCATCATGCAGTCTATAAACATTTGACTGGTTTTCAGGCATCGACTTTAACTTAATCAATTTTAATCTTGATTTTCAAAGTTTGCTATGCATTGTACGGCTTGTACGAGTATAAAATCTTACTTTCTCAAAGTTCAGAGTTTCCAAAATTACATCTCCATTTCTCGGACACGTTAAATTTGAAACATCACATTTAATGTCATCCACACCTCTCCATTGGTTTATGGCTAGAGCTTCATTTCCGTAATTGAACCAACTTAGATATCTCAGCCAAACAAAGTATACTGGTATAGAACTATTCAATAGAAACATTTTAAAGTTCCGTGTAATCGTAGTTCTTGATAATTCCTGTACTTATGTACTTATTATGTACATAAATTACCCTTTGTTTAAGAAGAATCCCCCAAACAGCATGAAGGGGATAATTAATGGAGGGGCTAAACTTAATGCCATCGTCACAGAGCCGCTGATGCAGGATATCATGTAACCTATAATGTCAAAAAAGTTGCGATAAATCGGGTGAAAATAAATACACTGCCAAGATTGTTTTTTACCAAATGAACATGCAACATTTGCTACGAGAACTACCACGAGACAGGCGATTAAGAAACGGTCGAAGTCTGGATTAAACCCCACCATGTAATACGTAATTGATATAAAGCCGAAAGGGAAGAGAATGTAGAGTGGCACTTCCGCTAGCGTTTTCGACAAAAAGTAGACATCAGTCCGATACATGCCATTAAAATGTTCACGTAAAAATATTGGTAACTCCACACAGAACACCTACGAACAAAATCATTCAGAGCTTCAGAGGACATCTATTTATTTGATTTGAGTTTGGATTCAGCTTACGTTAATCACAGCAAACACATTTTGGAAAGTCATGTTTGTGAGGAAAAGAAAAAGAGCACCGTTCAAATTCATTACGCCTTTTTGATCCAATTCTTGGCCAAAATATATGGCACCTAGAATGAGGGCAATTACCTGAATTGCAAAGTACATAGTAAAGTGGGTTTGAGAAATGGATAAAACACTGGTTGTTTGTTATGTAGTTAAAATTTGTAAATACCAAAGTCTGGATTAGCCGTACTCGTATAACCTATATAAAATCGGCAATATTAGTGTCAGTGGCGTTTCAATCAATTGTTCATAATTTTGACTATGATTTAAATAGTACCATTGGCTCCTTAATCATAGACATCCAACTACGCCATAGAACTGCTCGAAATTGTGCCACCCAAGATGCTTTATATGGAGAACGACTTTTCATGGCTGCTTGCATTTCAAAAAACTCCACGTTTTGAGGTGGAATTTCTTCTACACTAGTCTGTAGAGTAACAATAATTATGTATCTACATAAATAAAATATATACGCATGTACACCCACATGTAAATACGTATGCATTACCTTAATTGCTCGTGCAGTATCACTAGAATCGAAAGAGTTGCAGATTTGTCTCACATTTTTTAAACATTCCTCTTCGATTCCAGATTGAATCGCCAGTGTTTGAATAAAAAAATCTGCTGGATTATAATTTGGAGGGCAGGGATATCCTTGACTAATAAAAACGACAGCAATTTAGGACCAAAATTGGCATCAACGTTATTATAACATTTCGCAGTATTCACCCACAGTTTAAAGAATTCAACAGCTTCCTTGGCATCTCCTAAAAATGCACTTCTGCCTTCCGCCATTAGTAAAACTCTGTCAAACATTGCGTACACTTCAGATGACGGTTGATGGATTGTGCAGATTATTGTTTTTCCTTTACTTGCCATTTCTTTCAGTAATTCGATAACCTAATTAAATTTATCTGCATATAGGATTGTTGTTATGAAATTATATATCAATAATGGAGTTTAGTACATTCGAAGCCATATAAGAATCTAGCCCGCTGGTAACCTCATCACAGAACCATAATTGGCAGTCTGTTAATACCTAGAAATCCATCAAAACAGTCGAATACTACAATTTATTCATCTGAAGTCCAGGACGACTTATGTGATATATATATACGTTGCTACCTCAGATGCGAAGGCCTGAAAAAATATAAAATAAGCCAGTAAGGTTACGCAGTTTATAATTAACTACTTTGAACTGCTAATATAATCACTAGTAAATATAATCAATGTGATTATTCATTATGATGATTATCGCCCCCTTTGAAGATTAATGATGTTGGGTCTCATAGACTAAAGAATATTACTACCAAAGTGTGCGATAATTATGCTAATTTGTTTAGTAAAACTATAATTATGTATAATTTGATAATATACCAATCTTTTCATTTCTCCTCCGGAAATGCCTTTCACTCGTCCTGGCATACCAATTATTGTCTCAGCACATTTTGTAAGCCCCAACTGCCACAAGTTTGGAAATTATTAGTTTAATATTTCATAGTCTTCTCTGCAATAATAAATGCCACACATGAAGGATTACCTCTTGAATAACGCTGTCTACCCTTTGCATCCTCTGTTTGTAGGTCAGGTGTTTATCCATTCTGACTAGAGCCGTGAACACGAGGTGCTCTCTCACGGTCAATGTTGAGATAAACAGATCCTGAATCATAATAGATACAGCCAGTTATTGTCGCAGATACTTTTATTCAAATATAACAATGGACATGGTATACTTCTTGTTGCACATAAGCGGAAACGGATGTGATTATGTCTGGAGACACAGCCACGCCATTGATCTTTATTTCTCCGCTCATTTTGAGCTTGCCAGTGTTTCTAAAGGTCAATTGGTTCAATAATGTTGTTTTTCCAGCACCTGAATCATGTGGGGTCAAAATCCTTTAAGGTTCGGCTATTTTAGTGCTGTCAGTATGTTAGTTATTGCTAGTTATAAGGTAATATGCACCTGAAGCGCCCATAATGGCCAACAGTTCACCAGGTCGAACGATCCCAGTTACTAAAAAAACCCAATTTTAAATTCTTATCCTCATTTCAACAGTCTTATCTTTACGAACAACTAACCATTTCTAAGAATTTGCTTTGAAACCACTCCGTTCTTCTTCCTGTTAAAACAGTTGAAGATACCACTTTCCATATCGACATCATTTTTTTCATTCCCATTTTGACTGCCCGAACCTACCCACACATTTACCTAAAAAAATAATAAAAATCCAAGTCCTTCTAGATCTCGTTTTGTATCAAGAGGTCTAATTTTACATTATTCCAGGTGTATGTGATAGGCTCTGTGATTGTCAATTTCCCGTCGCCTTGATTGCCAGAGAAGGTTGTAGAGAACGGGACAATTGTAGGGTTAAGCGTGTCCTGGTGAAAATTTTTTAGAATTAGACAACTTTTACCTCTTAATATATATTTTAGCAGAACTAATCCAAACCTTGTCTTCCTGATACATGGTAAAATAAAATGCTTGTTTTGGAAAATTTTAATATCTTGACAATTTTTATCAGATATATGAAATACAGACCGAACAGTCCGAGAAATTGAAAATTGTGGCGATCTACATTTATATATACGTAGCAATACCAATGTAAAAGTGGTAGTATGAAAAATTGCATGCAAATCACTCGGTGGACGTTGTAACTCACAACCATGAAAGAATCGATATTCAATAAGGTTATATACGCACGCACACCAACCCGGCAGCACTAATGCAATCACGAGAACGTGTAGCATAATCTAGTCATGTGCAATGGTTATCTTTTTTATCAAAAGTACAAAGTAATTTGCTAATTGGCTGTGAAAAGATTACAATTTATCGTGACACTGACGTGGTCTATAGTATAAATGTACTCATAAATGTGAGTACATTCATACTATAGACTACTGTGAGTATCACCAATAAGCCCATTTATTACACTAATTATAGAGATCCTACAACTTTACCTTATTTGAAGTGTATCCCGTAAATTTGCCTTTATTCAATAAGCACGTTTTCTCATTGATGTCCATTTTTATCAACAGTACTGTGCGTATGTATCGTTTATAGGATTTGCCTTCACAATTAAAACTGGAGTTCAACGGGTAGATTTAATTTATGCATAGTAAATAAATACATACTTATGCGTTTGATACTTAAACAGTAGCAATTTTAAATTGATGAATTTCTCACTGCACTATTATTTAGCATAATTTATCACTCAACACAAGCTAATATTTACTTGCTAGAACTACTGTATGAGGGTTCGTTTGTCCCTGAGATGTTTACATGCACTAAATTTTCATGGAAAGAGATTCAACGAACTGTAAACATAACTTATCCAAACATACATACTTCTTTGGTTTAAGAGTTTCCATATACCAACTATCTTGTCACAAAACAATTACAGCCTGGCCACTTCGATCAGTTGTATTGATTTGATCTATTTTGTGTCATCTCAATGTAAGAGCTCTAGTTGTTGGTGATACCTTTCTATTATGCAATTCTGAAACTGATGAAATGACACTTTCTGCTGCCTGTCTGAGATCCAGATTACAAAATTGATAGCTATAGAAGTCTAGGAAAACGCGTTTAGTTATGTGAACAGGTTTGCAGCAAAATCTTAAGCAAACCACCTGTCAACTATTGCCCGGAAGAAAAAAACATGATCTATAAAAAGCATAACTTTAATTATTATAGGTTAGCTTTTTATTACCATTTACATTTATATATAATAAAATATAATGCTCTCGTTAATTCGAATGTCATATTTTGAACAGTCTATTTCGTTTTTACATTAATATAACTTTCACGAGTCTTACGGATTGGTTATTTTCGGATCTGCAGTTACATATATGTATGTATTACTACTTATTTATTTATTATGCATAACTTGTTTCTCCAATTTTCCCATGATGAGATTGACAACTTGCAATGCAGCGACTGGGATTTTAGTTCCTATAAATATAACACAATTATATGTACGGAGCTATTTGTAATTAATAAGTATCAGTATAAAATATAGTATTCAAACCTGGTCCAAATACACAACATACGCCTGCTTTATATAGCATGTCATAGTCTTGGGGTGGAATTACTCCCCCACACACGACGAGAATGTCCTCTCGGCCTTTACGTTTCAAGGCTGTAAATTGAAAAATATATTATTATTATTTGCATTATCTAAAACACTGTGATGGTTCAATTACTTCAACTTATGGGGCAGCTTTAGATAATGATATGCAAGTGGCAGAATGAATGGCAATCTCGGCTATTTCTTTGTACGAAGTCATTCACTAGGTTCAAATTCACAGTTTCCGTTTTGTTAAGCATTTCTTAAATAATTAATTAAATATGAAACCAGCCACATCTTCATCCAGTAAAACCACACCTTCTCCATCTGCATCTCCACCCATTAAAAGAAAAAAAGTGCAAAGTGGGACGGAATCCCAAAGGAAAGGATGTACGCTTCTTCTCACAGGTAAGTATTTATGCATGCATATTATTATTATGTAACACTGATTATTAATAATTGTGCAGGTTTGGCAAAATCTGGAAAATCTTCAATTTCCAATGAGCTAACCCAGATGCTAAAAAACAGTGGCAATCCTGTCAAACAACTTGACGGAAAAAAGATGAGAGGTGGACTCTGCAAAGAGTTGGATTTGGGCCAACCCCACCATCGTTCTTCTTTTGTTCATTTGGTCAGTGAAGCTGCCAAATTATTTACAGAGGAAGGCTTCATCACTATAATTAGCATTGTTGCTCCCCTTTCACAAGTAAATATATGATATGCTCATAAATTTGTGGAATGAAACTTGTGCAAATCATAAAAGTTCAAATTGTATCATTTTGCAGGATAGAGAGAAAGCACGACTTTCCCACCAAGAGTCCAATTTGGCATTTCTCGACGTTTTTGTGGATCGTCCCAAAGAGGAATGCGAGAGATTAACTGGATTATTGAGAAATGGTAAGTAAAATGGTAAATGAGCCATTCCTTTCAATATGTGATTTTCATTCTGTTTCATAGGTTTAAACATTGGTGCACCTATTGATGCCAATTACGAAGCCCCCACATCTGCTGATCTCCATCTGAAACCAAGCGGGAGAAGCACTGCATCGATGTGCAAGGAGATAGTTGACACTCTTATAGCAAACGTGAGTGAAAGAAACAATGCAACCTCTCATTTTATGACCTCATTTTCATGAACTATTTTTTTGTAGAATATAATTCCACAACCACACATTCCACTTATGCTCCCACCACCTTCTCCTACTTCTCATATGCAACCAAGTCCTTCTCCATCGTCAAATTATGACGCTTCATCCACTGCAGAGGATGATGATGACGATGAATATGATGGAAATGTCAGCAACGTCAAGTTCAAGTTGCCGCAAAAGAAATCGGCACTACTTGCAATCTTCAACTACTGCAAAGGAGAAATTATCAGGAGGAGAAAGTTACAAAATAACCATGCAGAATTGAAGGACGAAGATGTGGACAAGGATCCAATGTTTCTCATCATCATGAATGAATGGAAGAGCCATTATGAGACAAATGTTGGTGAAGAAAGGTTCTTCCCCGTCCTTATTCCTCAACCAGCAAAGAAAAAAAAAGCTACATCCACAACTACTCCAAAGAAAGGCACCAAGACGCCAGTAAAAGAGAAACAGGATGAATTTATTCCTTTTTACTGGGACGGAGAAACCATCAAGTTTGGAAAAATAGGCCCAAAACAAGCATTTCCTCCTCAAACGAAATGTCGACATTGTTGGCAGGACACAAGACATTGCAAAACCATTGGTACAAGCAATTTACATTTTGCAGTATTGCAAGATAATCATGCATCAGTGACCACCGTCATGATGCAACAGCAGCTACGGAATAAACAGGAGTGGACAAACGATTTAGTAAGAAAAATTGGGACTTCATCTAATATGACACTTTTACTCAAATATTTGGACACTCACCCTAACACTCTTTTCACTGAGAAATACGCCAAATCCCTTACGACATCTTCATTGGAAAGGTTGCCAATAATACATACTGTCAAAGTGAGTTGTTTCTAATTAGTCATTATTATTATGCACACACTTAATGAGTGTAATGTTATGTTGCTAGTTATCCACTGCCTTAATCTGCCTCGTCCGTAACTTGAAGAGATTAGAAGATGTAACCCTCATTCAACCCCATGAACTACTTCAAAGTCGAATCGACATGAAGTCTGCTAATTTGGATGTGATTGAGCGAACATTAAATGAAAACGGCATTACTTTTACCGTGAGTGATGATGAAACTCAACCACCATTGATGAATGAAGATGTTTTCTCCTGGGGTTTACCCTACGTGTATTGTGGAAATGAGCCTGATAGTACAATCAGTATCGGATTGAAAGTTGCAACTGGTGGTTCAGTTGGAAGTGATTATACCCAGTAAGACCAAATTCATATAACAAAGCTACATATTGCACAGTAATAATTGCTAGTTTTGTATTACAGTAGCGATGCTTTCTCTGCCGGAATTCTGTACCAAACTCCATTGACCCCTACTCAAGTCGAAATTGCAGATTTCGTCGCCCCTACTACTCCTCGAGATACGTGGACCTCTCAACAAGTAACACTTGTTGATGCGAAACCGGCTCTTCGGGAAAAAGTTGCGGCTGATTGTAAGAGGAAGGAAGCATTAGGAATTACAGCTCTTTTGATTGCACAAATGAAAGGCGAATCCCGTGATGGCATCTCTATTATTCGGAACAACCAACACTATGAGCATATCAATACTGCAGAAGAGGGAGATCTTTTGTACATACAACAAGTGTTCAAATTCTTAACAGGCCGTGCACTCTCTATTTCTACTACTAATTCAAATGATTTGAGTTTCAATGATGAATTTATTAATTGAGTCAGTACTTATTCTATGAATTGTTAATAAATGAAATCACATACCTTGGACAAGTTCAGGTACAAGAGTTCGATGACCGGCAGCAAGAGTTGACACGCCTACCACGTGTACGTCAGCGTCTACAGCTTGCTGAGCAACTTCATCTTTAAGTACATAGATAAAAGTATTAATATACTGTGTACAAGAATATGTTAATATATACAAAATTTAAGCTTGGAGGTTGAAAAGCTATTGATTCTGTAAGGATCAGTAGAAAACCAGCGAATTAATCTGCTGGACTAGGCCTAAAGTTATTATTAAAGGAATGCAAATAGTAGCTCATCATTGACGGTGTCTAAATTTCCGCTTATAAACCCCCAGATTTCATTAGGACTACCTGGCGTTTGAAACAGTGGACCAATATCAACATCAAACCTAAAAGTTAACGTAAACACCCATAATGATTTTAACCTCTGCAAATATGATATGTAAAATTTATAATGCTATAATTAAATAAAGTATTTTAATAGTACCCTAAATCCGCAAAACCAGTTGCAATGACCTAGAAATAGGAAGACTTAAATATAGTAATGAATATATCAAATATAACAAACTTGTATATTTTACTTCTGTACCTTAGCACCTCGGTCGTGCCCGTCTTGGCCCATTTTGGCAACAAGGATTCTAGGACGTCTCCCTTCAACATCTTGAAACTCATCAATCTATAAAACATAATGAAATCCAATTCATACTATGTATACCTAGGATTATATGCCAAATAAAATTATTTACCCGATTTGCAACTGTTTCTAGTTCTTTATGATTGCCGTGCTGCGACTTGTATGCGCCTGAAACTAAACTTCCTGAAGCAACGTGTCTTCCAAATACCTGAATAGAATTGAATATGTTCATTGTAATATTAAACTCCATAATCGGCCAACCAAGAGGAATTATATTTGTAGGATTCGATCAGATTATGATTAGATACGTATAATATAAATAGTTCATAAATGGAACTTGGTATACCTTCTCCATCGCTGAACTAATTTCACCCAAAGTGCATCTTGCTCGTGAAGCATCAACTGACGCAGCAAGTAAATTTCCATTGCCAGATTTTGAAATTTCTTGAATTTTCCTTAAACAATCGTTAACGGCATCCTGATTTCTCACACTTCGTAATTTTTCCAACTTGGCAACTTGAGATTTTAAAACTTCATTGTTGTCGATCATTCTAACATCAATTGGCTGTTCATCTTTGAGTTGATATTTGTTGACACCAACAATAACCTCTGGTGAATAGAATAATAAATACTGGAATCAGGGTTACTCAAGCTAATTTTCATTAATTACAGAATGAAGTATATACCTAGACCAGAGTCAATCATAGCTTGTCGTTTGGCTGCACATTCTTCAATTTTTAATTTGGGCCATCCTGACGCTGAAAAAGCAACGTTATTAATCGTAATTTTTCGGTCCACCTTTTCCATAACAAGAAAATCAGGCGATTATTGAATGTGTATTTTGGACTCTAAGCTGGCCTCAATGGCTCACCACACGAGAGCTTTGAATTTAACAATATTTAACCAACACATAGCTATTGAATAAAAAATGTACGCACCCACCGCCTTCGCCATGCCACCCATTTCTTCGACTTCGTCCACAATTTGTTTAGCCTTTTGATATACTTCTTCAGTCAGAGATTCCATCATAAAACTTCCAGCTAGAATAGAGGATTATGAAGTCGGCATATATTTAAAAACGTACGTGATTACTATACAAATATGTATACCCCAAGGATCAATCACTGCAGGAATTCCAGTTTCTTCTTGCAGAATGATTTGAGTATTTCTGGCAATTCTAGCCGAGAATCTGAGAAGACATAACCAAGGGCATAAGGACACAATTGCTAGAATAATACACTGATTCTAATACTGCAAAGTTGTCTAATTATTGGTTTACTTGGACGGGAGTGCCAACGCTTCATCAAATGCATTAGTGTGAAGGCTTTGTGTTCCACCGAATACAGCAGCCATAGCTTCAACAGTCGTCCGTACAATATTGTTATAAGGATCCTGCTCAGTAAGTGACCATCCTGAAGTTTGACAATGTGTTCGGAGCATTGTAGATTTATCACTTTTTGGAGAAAAATTATCTCTGATGCGTTCAGCCCATAATCTTCGAGCAGCTCTCATTTTAGCAATTTCCTAGTACGGAAATAATTTGATATTCAAAATAATGTAATTTGAGCCTATCTAGGGGACAAGACAACTTTACATACCATATAAAAGTTCATTCCAATTCCCCAAAAGAAAGATAATCTTGGGGCAAATTCGTCAATGGTAAGCCCCGCTTTTAATCCAGTTCTACAGTATTCTAATCCATCGGCAATGGTAAATGCCATCTCCAGCGTAGCAGTGGCTCCAGCTTCCTGCATAGATGAATTGAAATCAGGCTTCAATTAATACATAATAACTACTTGTTTTACCTGCATATGATATCCGGATATGCTGATTGAATTAAACTTTGGCATGTGTTTTGATACCCTAGAGTAAGGGAGAACAAAGAATCGCACATTAATCACGGTGAAATACTCACATTTCCCCGAGTCACCCACGGTGAAAATTTTGCAACAATTTACTGCATATGTAATCCTCTTTTACTACTTCTCACACAGCAGCAGCAACAACTTAATTTTTTTAAACACTTTGTATTTTTGTTTTGTTTGGATAACAATGGAGGGGGACGAGTCATTTTCGGACAAAGACGTCCCAACGCGGAGGACGAAACCAAAGGTGGTTAAGAAGAAGGCGAAATTAGTGGAAGCTGGTCCAACTAAGTCTGCTGCTAAATCTAAGCCGTTAGTTTTTAGTTTCCTCCTCCTCCTCCCCCTACTTTGTATTTAATATTTACTCAATATTTTTATTTCTTTGTTTTTAGTGACACCGGAAAAACTGCTACACCCGCCGATGAGCCTAAACATTTGGTCGTGGAGACTACGAGAGCCGCAGACTGTGCCGAAGGGGAATTAAATCCCCGTGGAACGGAGGATAAGGAGAAGAGAAAGTCAGTCACCACTACAAGTTCTGCTCGTGAAGACCAGACTTTCCAACCCGTCCCGTGGTCTTACATTTCTGATGAGGAGGAGATGGAAGTGGGGGAGGAAGAAATGCGACTCAGGGATGGGAGGGGGATTATTCCTAGAGATGTGGATTTGGCTGAAGAGTTCCAAATAAAGTACGTGGGTTCGTCGAATGCGAGACTTGGCACAACTGTCAAAGGTAAAATAATAATTACCACTTGCATGATAATGATTAGCGCACACTATATAATAATATGATCATGTTATATAGGTGAAGGGGTCGATCAAATAAAAAAGACGATTCTGCGGTTAGTTGGGCTAGTTCCGGATGAAACCACTCCGTCTGACCTCGATGTTTTTGAAGCGTCCCCACAACTAGTCTTGAGCCAAGAGGAACAGGGATTGACCAGTGGACAGAGGGAGACTCTCTTCCAGGAGATTTTCCGCAGAGGAGGTCGTGTTGATGTCGAAGACAAACCGGGATGGTTTTTAATTATTCACAAGGCCCCCACCACCGGGTTAATTCATTTGTGTTTGGAGATGGCTCATAAATCTAGAGGAGCATCGATCTATGTAGCTATAAGACTTTGTACGAAACCAAGTAAGTATAGTTAAGGTGGAATGTGTTCTATCTGTGATATATATTTAAATAAGGTGTCATTCTCATTAATCAGAATGTTACCAGTACAACCAAACTCTCTCAAGTGATGTATTCCCCAAGTGTATCCAACATCAACCCAATCCTATTTATACCGTGATGAAAGTTACTGATTACAATCGAAGGGACGTGTTGGTGATTTTTCACTTGAAGTTCGTAAGTTCTGTAGCGTCAAATGCGTCCAATCAGAAGAAAGATGAAGAGACTGAAATGCAGATTAATCTCATATGCTCCGGTCAACCGTCGTGGAAAAATTATTGTGCGACGGAGGATCTAAAAACTCGACCAATCCCCAGATCTATATCTAGACACCACTTTAACAACGAAAGCGAGGCTCTAAGGATGCTGTCATTTGAATCGGTTAGTGAAATTGTGTGAAGCATAATGTCTTGAGTAATGATTTCATCATTAATATTTTGCATTTATAGACCATTGGCATGTTTATGAAACTCGCCTCCGGATCTCAGCCCATCATCAACTTGGATGATGTCATCCCCTTGTGTTACGGAATGGAGGGTGAGATCGATGCGCGACTAAAGGAGTTGGGGATGGAGCTCAAGATTCGTCGCCACTTAACACTGGCGGAGAAAAAGAAGGTCAAGTACCCATTTCCGGGAGAGTATGTTCTTGGAAGAGCAGCAGCAGCAAACCAACAACCGGAGAAAGGGAAGACCTTTTTTTATACCATCATGAGTTGCGATATGTGGTATTTTGGCTGGACCAACACCCCCGATTTCAAGAATCGCTTAGTGTTAGTAGGGGGGACTGATGGTGCTAGGGAGTACAAACGCATTACAGAGAAGAGACAGAAAGATAGAGAGTTAGAGATAGGGGGACTGCAACAAAGAGATAGAGAGTTAGGTAGAGCAGAGGAGTTATGTATCTATCCACCCCCACTTAAGGCTCCTACCATGACCCCCTACCTTCTCGCCAACTGTGAGGATGATGATAAGAAGGCCATGAAGACCAAGACCATCGAAGCTAAGATGATAATAGCTGGATATGTTGCATATTTGTTGGGATTTCGTAATCCTATTCGTCCTAATTCTGATGTAGGTTATTCTACTAATAAGTGTGTTTTTATTAGTTTAGTTGATTCTAATTCTTGGGGCGAGATTTGTGAATTTGTCAAGTTATTCTGGGGGTTTGAACCAATGTTGAAAAAATATGAGAGAAATTGAATTATGTTATTAAATAAAAATTATACGGAATAATTTACCAGCTAAAGATGTCGCCAATAATCTAATAAAATTAATGGTTGATTGCAACAAAATTATATTAATTAAAAATATGTAGTACCGACTTACTTTCATTGATGGTTCTGGTGGATATATATACGTGTTTCGGACCATAAATTCTTTAAGAATATCATTTTGGATTGTTCCTGCTAGTTGTTCCGGTTTCACTCCTTGCTCTTCTGCAGCTAAATTGTAAAACGAGAAGATTTTATGTATACGTTATAATAAATTAATATTCTATCCACCATTACTTACCAACGATAAACATGGCCAGCACCTTATTTAAATAACAGCACCATTAGTACTTTATTATGACTTAGGATTAGTATTGTGTCATTTAACTTTGTCTCCTTACTGGAATAACTGCACCATTCATAGTCATTGAAACTGACATCTTATCAAGGGGAATTCCGTCAAATAAGGTCTTCATATCTTCTACCGAGTCCTGCAATACCGTGGCCACTTATTTTTGCATACTCAGACTTTAATACATAAATTATCAAATTGTCTAACGAAAACGTACAATCGCAACGCCGGCCATTCCCACGTCGCCTTTCACCCTAGGGTTATCCGAGTCGTAGCCGCAATGGGTAGCCAAGTCAAAAGCAACGCTCAATCCCTGCTGTCCTGCTTTAATATTCTCCCTGTAAAATCGATTACTTTCTTCCACAGTTGAAAATCCAGCATATTGTCGGATTGTCCATGGTCGCTGCACATAAAAATTGCTAGAATTGTCATTTCAAGTAGTGACAACTAACTGTCTTATGATTTTCATTCTTTCTACCTGACTGTACATGGTGGGGTATGGACCTCTGGTGAATGGAAACTTTCCCGGAAGCTCTTTTCCCAAACTAATAAATACCAAGATAACACCATATATTATACCGATTAAATGGGTTTACATTCTAATTAATTTATTACTCTTTAGTGTCATCTTTGGTGTAGAGCGGCTTCACAACTACATCCTCGTACGTGTACCAAAGCAACGTCTCCGGGTCCTTTCCCTTAAGCTGTTTCTTTGCCAGGGTCGACCATTCAGGGTCCAAAGTCACTGCGTATGCTCTGGAGAGGATTCGAACATGCTAAAATTCACACCAACACAAAAATATAAATTAAGTAGTAATATATGGCAGAAATTGCAAATTTCATAATGGAGAAAGCAACTTTCACTTTATTCCGCATATACATATTCTATTAACAGCACTTGTACATATTATTAAAATTTCAGCAGGTCACGATGCAATATCAATTCTTACAACTAGTTATGTTATGACAAACATAATATTTACCCAGAATTTTAAAATCGTTCGCACGTGTTTGTCCCCCAATAAACAAATACTTTGTTGAAAACCCTTGCATGTTCAAGTTATTATGTGGTCAAGTACCTTTTTGCATGAGGAGAAGAGCCCTTTGCCAAGCAGGTGGGACGATGAGAGGACCATGATCCCTGGGTTATGTCACATCACCGTGGGAGAAAGCTTTCCCCGATGGAATCTCGTACTATTAAAGCAACTGCTGATGTGACGTCCTTGGGAAGTGGGGGCAGGTGAGACGCTTTCACCCCTTCACTCACGCACTCTCTGTGAGGAGAAGGAGTTGGCAGCACACCAACACGAATTATTCCATCACACGATCTTGGCACTCGGCTAACTCAGAACTGGGCTCTCCTCACTATTCTAATTTGGTTGCATCAGATCACTCGCTCTCCTCCCATAAAATCGGCCCAATTCCAGGTAAGTCTTGATTTTCACAATTTTAATGAAAAACACTATTTAGACTGAGAAAAGAGCCAAGTACGGCTGTCCTATCGAAGGTCTTGCTGTAGAAAGTTCTTCTTAAAAGTTTTCGGTAATAATATTTAGTGAGTTGGTTAGTTAATATATGGGTTATACTCTTACGATTATTGGTTAGAACAGCATTGAATTAGGTTGAAGTATGAAAGCAAGAATCTAGAACAGAAAAATATACAATTTGACAAATGGAGTTCCGCATCCTGTTTTGAAAACTGTGATCAACTAAAAACTTTCGCTCTTTAATAGCCAGATCAGACAGTACGCCCTGTCAATTTTTACCATCATTTTTACTTTGTCCTGTTGCTCCCCATTATGTAATGTTTCATGTACCATGTGCATGAACAATCGAGTGCTAGACACATGGTTTCGTCTCATATTCCCTGTGATAGGGATTGCATAACGACTGATAAATTAACAGTCTAGTGGACTTGTTACGTCATCAGGCATGGCAATGGCACACGATCACGGCAAGGTTGCTGTTGGTTGGTGGCCTCTAACTATAATTGATTAAATCATACCAGCTAGAGACCGAAATGAGAATGATGAGTAATAATAAGGTAATGTAATGTAATTACACAGGTACACTAAAATCTCGACTCAACAATGGGAATTCCAGCCGGAGATGTTGAAAAGGGAAAGAAACTTTTTGTTCAGAGGTGCGCCCAGTGTCACACAAGTAAGTTCATGTCATCTACTACCAGAGATCCGTGATTAATGAATTTTTTTCTGGGATTAAGGATTAAGGATTAATGTTATTCCGGGATTAGATTAATCCGGGATTAATTAAATAATTCAATTTGGTGGGATTAAGGATTAAGGATTAATTCAAAATTCTCTGAGATTCGGGATTAAGGATTAAGGATTAATTAATCCTGATTAATTCTTGATTAAGGATTAATATTATTATTATATTACTCCATTTAATGCAGTTTAATTGTTTATTGTAGCACATAGGAATATTGAAACATCAAATACATACAAAACAGACAATGTATAGGACTTTTGCATGTCAAATGTGAAGTAAAATTTGATGTTGGCCTAATATTAACACCAATTATGGCACACATTGGTGCAAAAGCTATGCGCCTGGCTTATAAAGAGCCGCTGAATTTGTCAATTTGTTCGACATCAAACAATCTGCCGGTGAAGATGAACGGCAAATTTTTCAGCTCAGTCAGATCACTGTTAACCATGATTAACGACTGAATCAGTATTTTTACGGAAGCAACAATTTAAAGTTAAAGAATTCAACACATCTTAATTTCGGGAGAGGACAGTAGAAAGAGTGGAAAAATATCGTATGTTTGAGAATATGTAATGTTAGTGTTACTTCACTCCATTCTCAGTGATTATTCTCTTGCGAGACTTAATCCTAATCGTGATTAAGAATTAATAATTTGGATACGCTTTGTCGGGATTAAGGATTAAGGATTAATGGCGTGGAAATATTTCGTCGGGATTAATGATTAAGGATTAATTGCATACAATTTTTTGTCGGGATTAAGCATTAAGGATTATTAATCCTTAATCCCAATCCTTAATCCGTTAATCACGATTAATTAATCACGGATCTCTGTCTACTACCGATTAAATCGTTGCAAATAAATAACTCTAAATCGCTCAAAAGCTCGGCATTAGAAAATGAGCTTGTCTTCGTAATTGTTTAGGACAAAAGCAGTCAAACACGCTAAAAATGTATAAATCGTAATCAGGCATGCTGCTGCCGGTGGTTCGCAGTGGTTAACAGCGAAATCATGCAAGTTTTAGTAAGCTACATAAGTACTAAAATATTGCGCTTATTTTAGCCGAGTCTGGTGGCAAGCATAAGACCGGTCCAAACTTGAGTGGTCTTTTCGGAAGGAAGACCGGCCAAGCGTCAGGGTTCGTGTACACGGACGCTAATAAATCGAAAGGTACGTTTACTGTTATATATCTCTGCAATATTCTACTAAGTACCTTCATATACTATATATTTCTGGTGTGACATATAACTGATTTATTTTGGCAGGTATTACTTGGGGAGACGATACCTTGTTTGAATACTTGGAGAACCCTAAGAAATATATTCCTGGTATGTATTTTCAACCATGTTAATTAATTGCTTGTAGAGTAAAAGGGGTTTATAAATTATGTTCGATCTGAACATCCCAGATTCTGATATGCACTGCGATATAGTACTTTCACCTTCGCTGTATTTATATAATCATATTTTAATCATTCTCAACTCCCCACTAGGTACTAAGATGGTGTTTGCTGGTTTAAAGAAGCCCAACGAACGTGCAGACCTTATCGCCTATCTACGCTCTGCTACAAAGTAAAAAATGATTAGTGATATAAATGTTAACTTAATGAAAGAAGGAATGTTAGAAAGTGAATGACAACCATCAAAAGATGTTCTTCATGCAGTAACATTATTAACGTAGACTATACGAGTAGACATTTTTTTGATTTGAACTGTGTTCACAAAGATTTATTGGTTTTGATGTTACAAAGAAATCTGGACAAAGCTTTAGTTTAAAATTGGTTATCCTCCTCAAGTGTATTATTTATGAATTGCATAAGTGCATACTATATATAACTTAATTTGTCAGTAGAAAAAAACATTAGAACTGCAGGATTCAGTTTAATACAGTATACTTTTAAAAATAAATAAAAACTGATTTTGTTGAACATACTGAAATACCGAAATCTCAAGTTCATACAATATTTATTCATTGAGTCTTAAGTTATACAATCTGCACATCTAGTTTTAATTTAATATTTACAGACGCCAACTGTTCAGTCAAATACTTGAAAACATAGGGGATCTCCATTACTTCAATCGAGTCTTGTTTCCCGCATAATGAGCATATTGGTTTTGGTGTTTCTAACAATGTGGTCCCGGTTGCCATTGGTGGAATTATAACAATTGGTGACACGATAGAACCACAATCTAAGCAAATCTGTGTTGTTGTTCTGTCGGATCCATAGAATAATCTGTCCTGTAACAGGTATGACGCTCCATGGGACAATAGGCAGTCCTTCTCCATCTCACCGAAACGCACCCCTCCACCACGTCTCCTCCCTTTGTTGGGCTGATGTGTAACAGAGTCAATTGGACCAGTGGACCTCACCTGCCACTTCTCAGAGACCTATAATTAAAATCATGATTACTAATAACTTGAACAATCACGCGTTAAAATAATGTTAAATTTCCATAATCCAATACATGTACGCTATTTTCACCACTTACCATGTGTCGAAGACGTTGATAGTGAACAATACCGAAAAATATGTCAACTGTTAGTTCTCTGCCGTCAGTTCCACTGTACATCCTCTCTGTTCCATAGTAGTTGTACCCCGCTAGAAATGGTAATTATACCCATACCGTAAAAAATATTTCAGACACAAAAACACCAGTCAACAAGAAATATCAAGTGTTACCTTTCTCTAAAAGTTTTCCAAAATAATCAATAGCTGAATCGTCTTCTGAAAATTTGAATGGAGTGGCATCATGGACCAAACCATGTAACGCTCCTCCCTTACCAGCCAGAATCTCGATCATCATGGCTATCACATATCAAATTAAATCACATTTTTTACCAAATTGTTATTTAATCTCTCACCAATAGTCATTCGAGATGGAAAGCCATGAGGATTGAAAACAATATCAGGAATAAGACCGGATTCTGTAAATGGGAGATCTTCCGATGGCCAAAGGTAACTGCAAATACATTATTTGAGGATAAAACAAAAAGAAAATGCATGATAATCTCGAATGTGCCGATATCAGGCACCACCAAATAGAGGATTTGTACTTAAGAAAATTCACAAATTGACCGACCTACAAATTCCTTTTTGTCCAGCACGACTAGCAAATTTGTCCCCCATTCTTGGGTTTTTCTACGTCAATATATTTTCATTCATTAGTCAAGTTGTAAATATTTGATTCATTGTTGACAGCAGTACTTACGGGAACACGAAAGACGATTACGACATTTGATTTCTCTAATGATCCCATATCGTTGCCTTTCAGCTTGATATTATCCACATAAACTCTTTCCATCCCCCCGAATTTTTTCACAACATACTTTCCTTCTTCTGCGTTGAAAAAACTACACCAGCCAGATTCAACGAATATAATTAACTAATTGGTACCTAATAATTTTTAGCATATGTATGTTACCTAAAGTATGGATCTCCTTTATCTAACTCTACGCCAATGTATGGAAGTCCGTCTGGTCCTAATTTGTTTGCAACTTCTGTGTCCAACGGATCTCTCATGAATGTGCTCTGTTAAGGGAGTTTTTCAATTGGGGATAAATACAGTTAACAGAAGTACTCTACATTTATGGATGTATTTAAGTCCACACTTGGAATAATTGAGTCTTAATTGATCACTTCGGTCGACATTTTTCAAAAATCATTGTTTTCGTTTAAAACAGACAACAAGACTCCATCATATAAATTAGACAATTATCAGAATTTTTCATTCAAATATTCATACCTGGGTTTTTGTATTCTTCAAAACATATTTCAGGTCGATATGTTCAGATTTATAAATACAGCCATGGCCAAATCCTCGTTCAAATGCTGATTTACTAATAATCATGGCATCTTCCATGTCATATCCCTAATAATATTTACATAAATATTGTTATTACAATTTTGCTTGCAATTTGTATTTCTGTAGCTATGTAATATAATTACTGTATAGGATATGACAGCGACAATTGCATTTGTTCCCGATGGATAATCGTCAAGTTTAAGATAATCGTAATGTGCAGGACGGAAGAATGGGGTTCCCGGAAAATACAAACGATATAACTTGTTTTCTGAAAACCTGTGATATGTGTGATACGGAGTTCCCATTGTCTGTTTCCCCATCTGTAAGAAATAAGTTAATTTTTGAGACCCAATTACATTTCCGTTATATCTATTATCTACCCATCGGTACCAAACGTTGTATTTTCAATGATTATTTGTATTCCACTAATCCTAAATCTGTTGTGTATATTTTCATACCTGACACTGGTACATGTTTCGAGGCGATTGGTTATTATCAGGCATTGGTATAAGATTTGCCAAGTGACTTAAAAAGCTCTGTTCATTAATTTCTTGGTGAGTAGTAACCTAAAAAATAATTGAAGTATTTATTAATCTCGTCAGCAACTACTACTACTACTACTAGTAGCATATTCAATTTAAAGAAATTGAATATTGGATATATTGCTAAATTGCTCCTACGCCTGGGTATGCTTCTTCTGGAATGATGCAAATGTCGAGGTACAGTTGTTCCATAGTACCGATATATTCAATTTCATTTGCTTGTAGGTTAATTACAGGTCGCATCATTCTTGCTAGACTAGTATATAGATATAAAGCAGGGTGTTGGCCCTTTTGGCGTTTTGGAATTAGAATAATTTCAGTGTATGTTGGGATCTATATAAATTTAAAGTTTATGATCAAACGATATATGTTGTACGAATTTATATTATCTGACAGTTACTGATAATACCGACTCACCTTGTCATTCTTTATTTTCATTAGTCTCATTTTGTCTACTACTTTCTTTGCTACCTCGTCCGGAATATAACCAAGGATTTTTCCATCTAATATCACTTTGTAGCATTCCTTGATAGGACATGGACAATCTTGTCCAATAGGAGTCATTCCAAATGAGATTAACAAACCAAGAATATGAGTAGAGTCTTGAGTTTCTGTCACAATTCGACAAAACGCACTTAAATGGTTTAAAAGGCCACACGGAGCACCGTCAGGGGTGTGTACGGGACATATAAAACCTGAAAATCAAATTTAACCAACTAATTAACTACTTATTCATTTTGATTGTTCTATTATTCTACAATGTACCCCAAGCATCCGGTTGTAACTGTCTTGCATCCGTTGTTCGAAGTTCTTGAAAAAACGCACCTCTGTGTACTGACCGAAAATGGGCCAAGTAACGAAGACGGTTGAGGTTTTCTACTACAATCGTAAGGCCTGGCAATATAACAGTAAGGAATTTACAAATTTTGTTATATATTTACAATATAAATTATTATTATTAATCATATTTCGTACCTGTTACTTGAGGTAGTCCCTGTCCAGTGTTTAAAGGTACATTTCCAGTCGCTATGAATGCTTCAAAATTTCTTTCAAACTGGAAAGTACTAGCAACGATGCTACCCATTTCACCTAACACAACAACGAGTTCAAACTTATACAAATAATAATGGTAACAAACATAAAATAAGGACTAACTAGGTTGTAATGAAGATGTTGGATCTCTGCATTTTTTTAACACAGCATATTGAATACTCGTCAGCCAATTTAATAATTTGTCTTTAATAATTTGGAGATATAAATGGCCGCCAAGTAAAACTTCTTGCTGCAATGCAAATGAGAGAAATACATTGACAAAAACACTCGATAATAATAAAAACAAAATCATACAAATTATAAGAACTTGTTAAGTATTAAGGCTTTTTCTTACAGTCATAACATGATCTGGGCTCTCTGGACAAGACATATCTTGAACACCACAATATAATTTCTGCATTGCAAATACGAGGAAGTGGAACTTATCCATTGGAGCATCACACTGTATTGCCACGCTCTTCCTACAAATAATGTTACGAAGTTAATTCAATTGACATTCCACATAGATACACGTACATATGCATAATGGAAACCTTACTCTAAAAGGTATTCACAACATTGGGCACTTGTTTTCCACTCTCCAATTATTCGATGAATACGAGACTCGAACTTTTCACCAATAAATTCTTTCGCCTGGTGATGAGAATGTACACCCTGTCGGTGAAGATCACGTAGCATATCAATAATGCACCTGTAATTTATTTAAGGTCAATTAATGAACTCTATAGCTCAAGGTTGCATTATTGATGGTACTTATTATCAAAAAACATACCCCTTCATGAATAAATTGTCGTCATATCCAGCTACACACTGTTTATAAATAAATTCATCCGTCACATCAACCAACGCCTTCATTATCATCATCAAAGGAACAAAGAACAGCTCTCGTCCGACATTGAACATGAGTTTTACGCCACCATCGCTCAAGTAGTGTAATACATTGTTCTGGAATTATTGCATAATCAGAAATCATAATTTGGGTTAAGACAAGGTTTGCATGATTTGAGGAGTTCCAAATAAAGTAATCGTTGTCCAAATTACCAAATAACTACGGTCTTCTCTAACACATCGAATTAGTACACCTTTGTCAGTAAACCCTTTCCCTCGAGATTCCCACGATGATCTTAGCAAGTAAATAGGATAATTTGCTCGTGTCATTAATAACATTCGAATCAATTTCTCGTGTCCTTTAACAATGAAGTATCCACCCCACTCGGTTTCATGCTCTCCCTTCTCTACTAGTTGTGGTGGAGCAAGATTATGTAGGTTACAAAGTTTCGACTGCAGAAACAAAACGAAAAATTATAGAATCAGGCCTACTCATATTGATGTTAACTGTAAGTATTAGTAAGTATCAACATGTGACACACCTTCACCATTACAGGAATTGGACCTAAACATTTCTCTACAGTTGGTTGTTGTGACCCATTTATCCACCACGTCAAATATGCGTAGAAATCACCTTTATACGATGAATATCTCTGTCTACATTCAGTTGGATACACCTTGTAATCCTTACAGCCAATAGCTCCATTAGGGACTTTAGGGGAAGTCAATCGTGCATCCTGAATAAAATTACAACAATATGGGCTTCAATTAAATTACAACGATGCACCATTGTCATAAGACTCGATAATGCATGCCAAGCAAACGTACGCTGATACTCAATGTGATCCGATCTCTTGACGGAAGTTCGAAAGAAATTGCTGGCAGCTCTTTTATGACTTTCTTTAGACCCTCGTTGCACGCCCAGTTAAAGGAACGAATATGTGGACTTCCCAGGTCATCCAAAGCCTAGAAAAAATGTATTGTTGAATTCAAATCAAACATCATCAAAAATTTCTCTTCCTTCTGGACATACCGGTTCTGAAACTTTAGGAACTCGTCCCCACTCTGGTTTTAACTGTGTTAAGCGCGGATGCTTTGGGATCCGCTCCCACAATTTTTCCGATACAACGGGAGGAGTTACTTTACTGGGGAGATGTCGGGACTTTGTGCTTGTCGACGAAAATCCACTACTGCTTTGTCTCATCTTTGTTAAAATATCACCAAATGCAAGAACGGGTACGATTGTTGAACATGTTCCGAAACATAAATTAAAAACACATGAAGGTTTATTATTAGTCAAACCAGAATGCAGAAGCAGCCCACGTGCAGTGTTGTGCGAGAGTGATCTTGGAGTTTGAGAAGTGACATGGTCCCGGTGGGGAATCTTGAGATGAACAGAGTGCAATGCGATATGATAAATCTTGGTGAGACATTTATGGCATTTGTCTCACTTTTACTATCTGATCACTCTTCAACTGACTTCTGGAGAAAGCAATATAATTTTAAAATACATCAAACTCATTTGAAATCTTAGTCTTTATTCAGGGTGGACCTTCACCACAAAAAATGTGAAAAAATTAGCTCCACACATCTTGAAGATATCTTTTCTGAGAAACTAACTCGGTCACCAATGTCTTTGCTTCCTCCTCAGACACACCTAGACAAAATTAAATAATGGTTTTAGGCTAAATGATAGAACAATTTATTATTTACATTGGTACCTTTAATTGATTGGACACACTGTGTCAACACTTCTCTAACATTTTTTGCCATATTCTTCGCATCTCCACAAACGTACAGATAGCCGTTTTTCTCAAATAGTATGCTGACTACTTCTGCCTTGTTCTTTTCCATGTTATGCTGCAATACAGTGTTATATAATGGCATAAGTTTGAAACATATCCCGATGAACTCTTGCACCATCACTTACCTGAACATATTTATATTTTTGATCATCAGAATCACGGGAAAATGAAGTATACAATCCAGTTATGGCATTTTCTTTGACTAAGGTGTCAAGTTCATTTGCATAAAGGTAATCCAAAGCTTGATGTCGACAACCAAAGTAGACAAACATCTCTCCCACTTCATTGTGGCCCATCTTTTTTTGCTCGTTTCTATGTTGTGCAAATCCTGGGACCAATTTCGTCATTACTTATTATGTGTGTTTATACTTCAATGTCAGGTAAGTAAATGTATTTACAGGCCTAGTGTATTACCAACGAAAGGAGCAATTCCAGTTCCTGGGCCCACTAATATCATTGGACTTGACAAATCAGTCGGAAGCCTGAAATTATGATTCTTACGTCGATAAATTACAATCTGCTGGTCAGACATCGCATCATCTCTACTCTCTCCTTGAATAGATATTTTTGCAAAGTCTGAATTTAGCAAGCTTTCCTCGTCACTTATGGCAGAAGCATTATCATCATTTGTATGAGTAATCAACATTTTCCGCACAAGTTTATAGAGCCAGCCTGTACAAACTCCAACTCTGGAATACTTTCTCCCTTCCGCCTCTGTGAATGTAATCACATTAAAAACAAAAGTGAAGGAGTCTTTGTTTTGAAGAGGTGATGAAGAAATCGAATAGGCACGTGGAATGAGTCGCGGTAGATGTTCAATTAGGGCTTGTGGCGATGGATTGCAAGATGGATATTCCAGGAGAATGTCCAGCAAAGAAAGTCCTGGAAATCGGATCGTGCTTTCAAATAAAGACCCCCCTTGTCTGCTGCATAGCTCTAGCAGCTTATTCTTTTCCGATTCGACGCTAGTAAACTCGGACAGAAGTCGTAAAAAGTTCTATATAAAGACAATATTTTTTATAACATATTATGTTGGACATAGTGATTGCTATAAATTGTAAGGCATTAACGATGCATAAATAAATAGGCACCTTTTTTGGCGGAGTTCGAATGTCACTAAAGTAGAGGAATATTTGCCGTATAGAAATTCCTGGGGGGAGAAAGACCGGAATCTTTCCTTTGGCACCTTGTTTCACGCTCAGAATTGCAATTTTGTCTGCAACTTCAGATAAATTTAGTCTTTTGATTAATCGATCCACTTCATCAGCTTCGTTGGGACACACGACACTGATGGCGTCACCAGGTTCAAAGTCAAACTTCAGCTAAAAGTTATGTATTCAGATATAAATTCAGCTTTGAAGCGATATATAAATTGAATTATTATGCGGCATACTGATTGGAATTTTAAGGTTATCTCCAGCGCAGTTTTGACAGCTCCAGGCTGAGTGAGACATCTTGCCTTTGAAATTTGGGCAGTGACAGGTAGCCCTTCAATGAGTGGGTACGGCTGAATGGGATCTTCCAAATCCACAGGCATCACTTTTAAATTATTATCAAATTCCAAGAGTAACGATTCAGGGGGACAAACAGGGAGTTGGAGTCCTCCTCTGGCGCTTTCTTTGTTTTTCGTAGCCATCATAGTGTCAACACTTTCTGGCCTCAAAAGTCTCGAAAGCGAGGTCCACAAATCTTCAATCCAATCTTCCACAACCAACTCTAATCCAACCTGTTTGGAACATCATTCTTATTTAGCAACAATTCTATGTGACGTAGAAAGCTTTTTTTTACAAATATTAACACTCCTTACAGCATCATCCGCCCAGCCTGAAATACATAAATGCACACATAAATACACAAATCTAATTTCGTACTTATAAATTGAAGGATACATGATATAAGGACAAACAATCACACATTTTTGACCTCGTCATTCAATATTAAGTAAGTACACGGTCGACGAGTGAAGATAAACCTAATAAGTTGCAATAGTAAACCACTAACCAGGAGGGTAAAAAGCAGTGGCTCCAAGCTCCTGGAACCGTTTATTAAGTTCTTTTCCGCAGTTGCAAAATTGATTATAATTTGTATCTCCAAGGCCTATGAATTGAAGGACCATGTAAGAATTACCTTTATACATGAAATATTACAATACATAGATATACATGTTGCATGCATGTCAGATATTTTACCTAATACTGTGTAATGAACTGTAACCAGCGAATCTGGTAAGAGTGCCTTTCTCCTAATTTTTCTCCAAAATCGGTCCCCGTTTTCAGGTGGTTCTAATATTAAATCAGGAAGCAGGGGGAGTATTAATATTTTTCTCACATTTAAAAAAATCAATCGTACCTCCGTCTCCAGTTGTGGATGAAACTATCACTATCGGAGAGTTGAACAGCGTCAGTTCTTTCTGCAATAAATTATAACAAGGGGAATAACGTATTATTTATAATTATAAAATATATTATTTGGTAATCGATGCCAATACATATTCTAACTTGCACAAATTATGCATAAATTGCAGATATATGCACTTACTACATCTCGAATATCATTAAGTGGAAAGGCTTGCGTTTTAAAGTCATAAGTCGGAGCCGCCTGGACAATGGACTCCGCAATAGCCTCCGCTTGACCTGTCTGGCTCCCATAAAACACTACGAATGAAAGTTCTTTGACAGAATCCACTAAACTGATTTTGGTCATTTTTATTGAAATCAAGCTGCAATTTGTTATATCTAAATAGTTGTATAGTTTTTGTTCTGTGATGAACTACCGATATTGAGGGTATTCACGCACCCTTGGTAACTACGTAAACAGCGTAAAATCCGTAAACTTACAAACGTTTACAAACGGCTTCCCGTGAATTCACTTTTGCAATTATTTTCGTAAAAATTTATCTGATAATTGAAACAAAATGCTGATCATTTCCAGAAAACGGAAATTAATGGAAGAAATTTGTGGAGCTGCATTTATTGATATAATATATACCACGAACAGTGGAGGCTGTTCCTATAAAAATTTCAACCCTCCTAAATTCTAATCCTAAGTTATTTTTCGACTCCTCACTAAATCTTAGCTGAATATATAATTTATTAGAAATCGGTATGGGTACCCCTTCCTTATTGTCCATCTGGTTATTTTTTGTTCATTTTTGACTTCATATTCTTTGATGAGAAGCTATTAAGTATCACCGTTCCGAATTTCAGCTTTTTGAGACAAGTTATGAAAATCGGTATGGGTGACCCCCTCGGGTCCCGGATGTGAAAATTTTACCGATTTCACTTCATATTCTTCCATTAGGGGCCTTTAGCAGCTTCTATACGAAATTTCAGCTCGATTGGATGATTTTGAAAGTCCGGTATGGGTCACCCCCTCGGGTACCTCTGCTTGAAAAATTTTCCAATTTCACTTCGTATTCTTTGATTAGGAGTCACTAGCAACATATATTGCCAAGTTTCTGCATCGAACAATTTTTTTTCTTCCCCAAATTGAGTTTACAAAATACTTTACAAAATTAAAAGACGCCTGTGAGCTGCGTAAGTTTACAAAAGTTTGTAAACTGGTTTTCCTTGGCAATTTTTGTAAAAGTTTGTAAACGTTTGTAAGTTTACGGATTTTACGCTGTTTACGTAGTTACGAAGGAGGGCGTGAATTGCCTCTTTATAATTTTTATCAGATGAACAGAGAGCCAAATAAATCGATCAATCTCAATTTTCCTTATGAGAAACGTGAATTGGATTACACGGAATGGACTGACTGATTTAGCAGAAAGTATGTAAGAGCTGCTCTATACTAAAGTTATAGACTAAATTGCATGCAAGAATAACAGGAATATATGTAGGACGGCTTGCAGCTCGTCTTTTATAAAGCTATACAAGGAAATAACAATAAGGATTTTTATGTTTATGATAAAGGAAATTAAAATTAAATATACCTTTTGCTCTGTTTAAATTTATTGCGAGAACTGAACTATCTAACAAAACTGCCACGTGCTTTTTACCACGATCTTGAACCTTTACTGGATGGGTTGTGTATATGCTGATGATGTTATACGTAATAAACCCGGTTTGGGAATGCATTTTATTATATGGCCAATGTCAACAGCTAAATAACTCGGGTAAAAAATGCTGGAATGGAATGGAAAAGGGTTGAGCTGATGATAAAATAGTCAGATGGTCTTAATGCATTCATACAAATTACTGCATAATCCGGCATATGTGGGCAAAGACGCAGATAATGTAAATAGAGTGAAATTACATCTAAACGATTACGATTATATTATAATAATTAAAGACAGTTAAGTAGTAATTTCCTTTTTCATGTGTACCAGACAATATTGGCTTGGTGTATACAAATAAACATATATACATACCAAAGTATTTACATGTGTATATACGGTCAGTGAATACCAGTAGCATTATTACTACGGAATGCAATAAATAATACCCAAACCATGCTTGATTAAATTAAAATACGCTCATCAATACGCAGTAAATAATGAATTTTTTAAATCCATTAACTTTCCCTGAGGTAATTGACAATACATATATTCAAAAGGAATAAACGTAAAGCAGTATGACTACATAGTAATAATTTACATGTTTCATGCGACATAGACATAACATTTAATATTGTTTGTATGCAGATTCTGGGTACCATATTCCAGTTTCTAGACATTCAAGAGCTACTAAAATGTCGCAAAGTCTGCAAGTTGTGGAATCTCGAAACATCACAGTTTATCGGGGAGCGAAAACTAATCTGCATCAACGATGCGACGAAATTAGGGCAACTTTATGATCTCATAAATCGTAATGCGACGCAACCATTTCGGGCATTTGAACTTTGGTCCTTTCCAATTGACCTCGACAATGAACAAGTAATGAAATATGTCTCAACCTGTGGGCCTTACTTTCATCACTTGACACTCAATTTTGAAAAAGAGTCAAAAAATCTGCTCAACATTCGGACCCTTCGAGATCTCTTGCTGTATGATCTTCCCAATCTCAAATCACTCTCCATACGACAGTTACCATCAATAATTCTCGCTCAAAAGTGGATATTTCCACCCGAAGGAGAACTGAAATTCATTCAACCCCTGTTATGGAACTTGCAAACATTGACGCTCTACTCGGACGAAGAGTTCAATTTCAACTTTATATCCAACTTATTTCGAGCAATGGTTCATCTAAAACGAATCTTTGTCGAATATGGTGACGAACCAAAAGATTTTAAGAAAACCATCCTCGCTGCAATATTTTCATGTTCTGCTCACCTCCGAGAGTTGGAATCGTTGCAGTACTTTTTACATAATCCTGGATCTGGATCGCAAAATTGGGCCTGGACCCCTGAGGAGTGTTTAAAGCTTGTGGGTTGTGGGTTTTTATTGAAATCTATAAAGTTACACCCCACTGGTAAACTGGAAACCAGGACCATGTTTAATTTGCTGGAAAAGTTGCAAACTCTGACCACCCTGAAACTCCGAGTGCATGACCAACTGAGATGCCCAATCATGGCGTCCTTGACTTCAGTGATACTGTATGACTATGAAGGCTCATTAGTGTTTATGGACAACCTTCCCAACTTGAGGCATTTGGGGCTTTGTGAATACTCGCCTGCAAAATTTCTCACACCGGAAAACATAGTTTCCAACAATCAGCACCTTGGATTGCTTTCTCTCAACTTTTACGGCTCATACGCAGTGTCTAACCACTTGTTTCGTGCAATTGCGAAAACCTTCCCTCAACTTCGAATACTTAACTTTTGGTATATTAACAATGAGAAGCTCAGAACTGTGATTGAAAACTTTCCATTCCTCGAAGAACTGACAATCAATGTCGTTTGTGTTGATGATGACGCTCTCACGGGTTTCCCCCTTGAACTCTGTGAGCAAATGGAACGCATGGGAAATTACCATCAGATCATGCAGCAAGCTCATACTTTTCCTCGCACGCAACCGTTCATCGGAGATTTAGCAAGTGGGTTGCGTAACTTATTTTTTGATTGAAAGTGACGACGACCGACCTGGTGATGCTATTGTGCTGAGTTGTTTTGTAATTACAATTACAATTGTATTGCAGATTTAAGACGTTTGGAGATGCATGCTGCGTGTTTGGCTGATTGGAAGTGGAGCAACTTTAGTGACGTTTCAGTGTATTTTGGTCTCATGCAACTAACAAACTTGACAAGTTTGTCACTTTACGAATTTAAATGGGTATGATAAACTTAATATGCAAAGCGTGGTATTATTTGTGCTTAATTCATATTTCATACAGATTACAGAAACTGCGATATTCCAACTATGTAAAACGCTTCCATTAATTTACTTGAAACTGGATTCCCGAATGTTCCCAGAAACATTGATATCTGGAATTAAAGAAATTCGTCCAGATATTAGACTGGAAACTGTAACTGATGAATTTGAATCATACAATACATTTTATGTTTGCATGCGCTAACTAATTTGTTGAATAAAAACCTACTACAGTGCAGACATCGTTTTCGTCTCTTCTTAAATTCTAAAACCACCCTGTTGGGACCCTCGACCTAGCCTATATTTTAGCGTATTTGCAGATAATGTGCATCGGTTTCTTCCCAATACATGGCAGAATAATTCAGCTTTTTTAGCCCGAGTCAGGGCTTATGTACCCGTCATGTCCGTCTGTCTGTCCGTCTGTCTGTCTGTCTGGTTTGCGATAACTGCCGTTAAACTAATCCGATCGACTTGAGATTTTGCACAAATGTAGTATGGGTCAAATGAGGAGTTAAGTTCGAAGATGGGCGAAATCGGTCAAGTGGTTGACCGGTGGGGGTCATATAGGTGGGTGGGGTATTGCATCAAAATTTCAAAATTGCCGGAGAAAGCTGAAATTTGGCGCAGAGGTTGATAATGGTTTCTAATGAAGGAATGCAAAGCAAAATTCCAAAAATTTTCATGTGGAGGGACCCTAGGGGGTGACCCATACCGATTATTAAAACTTATCCAATCGAGCTGAAATTTGGTACATAGGTTGTTAATGACTACCAATAGAAGAATATGAATTGAAATTGGACACATTTTCACCTGGACAGACCCTATGGGGTGACCTATACCAATTTTTCAAATTCGTCAAATTGAGCTGAAATTTGGTAGACAAGTTGGTAATAGCTCCTAATGAAGTAAAATAAGCAAAATTTTCACCTGGAGGACCTTATTGGGCGACCCAATAAGGTGACCAGGGAGAAAAATATGTGTTGTGCACGAACAAAAGCATATGACCCTAGTCACCCGCATACCTGGAATTTATATATGTTACATTGAATGTTGGTAACATAATATCCTGAAAGTTTTAAGAAAAAATATACACTCGTTTCAAAGTTATACTGGTGACCAAGGGAAAAAAATGTGTGCACTAACAAAAATTTAGTGATAGTGGATAAATTTTAGTATATGGGTTAGTAAAGGCTCTTAATTGAAGAATTCGAAGTTTTAAAAATTTTAATTTGAAAACAGATTTACGCCTGACTCGGGCTATATCAAGTCTGCACTGTAGGTTTTAATGTGTGAAAACCAGTCGGGTCCCCCGTCACTTGTTGGGTCCCCTTGACAAAAAGTTCGACAATCTAAGTTAGATTGTCGAACTTAGATTACCTAACCTTATATTAGTAAAATGTTAGCACCAATAAAATTGGAAATGTTTTTTTTAAATATTTTTTGTTCCCTTGACAACGTGTTTGGTAGCTATCACAAGCAGGCTTGTAACTTGCCGAAATAAAATGCACAAGAACAATAAAAATTCAAGGTGGTCCTTTTGAGCTAGTGTAACCCGTAAGTTGACGAATTTTGACCTACTCCAAGTGATCTCTGAAGGATGGGCATATCAGGAGACGTTGAAAAGGGTAAGCAACTCTTCGTCCAGCGATGTTCTCAGTGTCATACCCTGGAGAAGGGTGGAAAACACAAGGTTGGGCCCAATCTCAACGGAATCTTTGGGAGGAAAACAGGCCAAGCTGCGGGGTTCGGTAATTCATCCATATTGTTTAAAATCATCATCTCAAATCGAGATAGTGTCGGGTAAAATTCTTTAACTGTCTGAAATTATATATCACAGACTACTCTCAAGCCAACAAATCCAAAGGAATCACATGGAGCGAGGATACCCTATTTGAGTACCTTGCTGACCCAAAGAAATATATTCCGGGGACAAAGATGATCTTTGCTGGAATCAAGAAGGAGCAAGAACGAGCCGATCTGATCTCCTATCTGAAATCTGCGACATAAATATTGACTTTTTTTGTACATATGTGGACAAATTTCTTGTAGCAATACGTTCATACTCAAATTACCATCACAATGTATGTATTATAAGCCTGTACACTCTAAATTTCACAGTAAATTTGTAGCAAACTGAGTTAAGCAGTGTGTGCCTCTACATTGTGGGCTTCTACATTTGTGATGATAATATCTTATTTAATAGTTGTAAAATGCAAACCATTATGCATTAGTTGTTGAGCATTGAATCAGTTACATACATAGTGAATTCATAAGACTTATTAAATCGTTTAAATTAAAATGACCATTATTTTAGTATATCTTGCAGCAGTGATGCTCACAGCACTAGGCATCTTAATTGCATATAGAAAGTGCATACTTCGTTCCAAAGCCATACCAAGTTCGTTAACCGAAATTCAACTTTTAACGCGTTCTTTATTTTGTGTTTAAATATATTTTTATATCTGACATGATTTTTCAGAAATTTGGGGAGTTCCCATTTTAGGAATACTTATGCATCTAAAGAGCTACGACTATCAAAAAATACTCACCAATGTCCTAAGAAACAAAGGAAAAATTTGCGCTGTTCAATTGGGGTCGTACGAGTAAGCTTTTATGTACTCTCAATATTTTTTAGACAAACAAGTACAGTTGTTTGATTACAATTAAATTACATAATAATTAATCCAATTATTTGATGAAAAGATGTTTATGGCTAAATGATCATAAAGTAATTCGCGAGGCCTGGAGCAACCCTGCTTGTTGTGGAAGACCAAAAATGCAAGGAATCGTTGACAGAACTGCTGGGTTTTTAGGAGGTCAGAATCACGAAAATCGCTATATGTCATTATAGCAAGAATATGCATATGATTAAAATTCTGTACAGGAATAATATTCAACGAGGGACAGGACTTTAAGGAACAGCGGAGTTTTACCGTCTCTCACTTGAAAGACTTGGGACTAGGCAAACAGTGCATGGAGGGCGTTATTAGTTCAGAAGTGGACACAGTTATCGAAACATTAGTTCAAACTAAGGGCCAGCCCCTCTCCACTCGTCACTTGTTTAATGTGGCATCGCTCAATGTTCTATGGGGGATTATCAGTGGGGACAGATATCGGCATGATGATCCAGCTTTGAATAATTTAGTGGAATCTATCACAAGGTAGGATTAACATGCCATCTTTTAATTTACTGCACAATGCATACAATATAATAGCCATAAGACATTTCAAATGAATTCAGAAACATGGAACTTCAGGGTGGTGCAATGGTTGGATTTTTTATTCCATGGCTAGCACATTGGTTTCCAAATCTAGTCGGATGGACATCGTATTTATCTGATGCTAATAAGGTGTTCAAGTTTTGGCGACAATTTGCTAAACGCAGAATTAAATCTTTTGAAATGGCTGACAAGGGGCATGGACCAACTTGCTTTGTGGACATGTATATTCAGCACGTTAAACAGTGCAAGTCACTGACATCAAGCTTTTTCGGAGACAAAGGAGGTGCACTAAGCAAAACTTAAACAAATATATGATTAAATATGCTATATATTTTATAACGTTTTCAGAACTTTCACTAGCCTCAACTTTGCAAGATTTATTCATTGCTGGAACCGAAACTACTTCAGCCACACTTTCTTGGCTCATGCTACACCTCGCAGTGTTTCAAAATTATCAGGAAAATATTTATCAAGAAATTTGCCATGTCGTTGGTGACAGAAAACCGTCCTTGGGTGACAGGAGAAAGTAAATTAATTAACAAAAAAATATTAGGCATATTTACTATTAATAATACGTTGAAAAAAACTGTAGAATGCTGCTGACGGAAGCTTTCATCTCAGAGACGATGCGACATGTCACCCTCGCTCCTCTCGGCATGGTTCACTGCACGACGGATGATGTTGACCTCTGTGGCACATACTTTATCCCAAAGGGTACAATTTTACATGCAAACATTTGTGCTGCACATCACGACCCGTCGCAGTGGGAACGTCCCCATCACTTTTTCCCAGAAAGGTTCATTTCTTCTGACGGAAGCAAGCACCTTCAGCATGACAGCTTTCTCCCATTTTCCTTCGGAAAACGTCGCTGTCCTGGTGAGTTATTAGCAAGGCACGAGTTATTTCTTTTCCTAGTGGGAATTATTCATCAGTTCTCAGTTACGATCGATCCATCTGAGATTGAGGATTGTCTTAAACCAAAATTAGGGGTTTCCGCTACTCCTAAGCCACACTTGTTAGAATTTCATCAACGCCAATGACATTGATCTTTATTATACTACAAATTTTTTCATAGATACATTGTATACACACATATAGCAGTACGTTCTTTCGAAAATAAAACCTAACCAGTATTCGTTTTCATAGTACATTTACTCTAACTTATTCATAATATTAGTAAGATAATAAGTGATATATTATATATTATACGTCTAGGTAATCGGCAACGTCAATACAGAAGACCAGACAAATAGTACAATAATTACACGTAGTAGGGTGGTTTCTTTACAGAAATTCCATAGTCGTTAAGTATAGGTATCAAGTCTTCCAATGTGAGTGTGTACTTTTTGTCTTTAACTTTTGTCTTTCCACCAGCGGGAGGCATTGCTTTAAGCTTACAATGTGTAAATGCTTCGTTGATAATATCGGAAATGAACTTTTGAGAAGCAATGGAGATCATACGAGATATACGGGGGTCGGTCGACTCGAACCCAGCTTGGTGGAGATAGTAATTCGCCACCGCATCAGGAATCTGCAGTACATGAGGACAGTGTTATTTATTTGTAATATTCATTGTTTTGGCATAATAATTAAAAACTAAACGGTACCGTTGGGGTGTAATCTTCCAACTGGACCAAGAAATCTGATAAAGCAAAACCAGCACTGTCGGGATTTGAGTTGCCATATGTATACGACGTTGACGATCCAGTACTAGATCCATACCCGTTATCGTACAACATGTTAATATCTGGTTCTGTTTTCACTTCTGGTATACTTGCCCCTGTCGCCGCCCCAATAACGATCTGTTGACCACCTGAGGCCGTATTGTAAATTCCGTGTTGGCTGCCGCTAATAACAATAGTGGGTGCAGCGACTGACCCCCCTTGTACTGCGGCTGGAGATGTGTCCGAAAACTGCATGTTTGGCTGATGACCGGAGTCCATTTTATGCCTGTTTTAATTTAAAAAAGATTTATAGTACACAATACTAAAATCTTGTAAAACCATAAATGAAAGAAATTGACTGTTTCGTTTTACCACAATAATATTTTAAACTCACCTTCAGAAAAAATATTTTTCGTATATGTTTATTGATAAAACGACGATTCGTTCAAACAGGCTGTTTTCACCAGTCAAATAAACAAGAGTGAAAATGAGTTTATTAATGAGATGGTGAGTGCGAGGAGCGAGCGCCTCTCTGAGAATCGGAGAGGAACTGGTGAAGCAGAGTTGAAATTGGCGGCAGTGGAGACGGTGACGTCAAGAACAGGGGCCCCAGCCACGCCCCAGATTTGCACCACCACCACCGGAATTCCCACACCACCCACCCACCATGTCAACCACACCCCCTCTGCTGTGCTTCAAGGATGCATTTTCAGGATGCCTGTCGTGAAAGTAGGGGTCAAGTCATGAAAGGGAAAGCACGTAACATCCTGAATGGATGGTGAAAAAGTTGAAGAAGGAGGAAAGTGGTTAATAGTATATGCAGCAGTAAGTTGGATATATGCGTTGGTGGTGGCTTAGCCGTATGATATTATTGGTGGTAGAGCAGCAGAGGAGTGAAACAGTTTTGTTTTCCATAGATTTGGTCGGGCAGAATTCGGTTCTTTCGGTGTGTGTTCAAGTTTTGGAGTCTGGATCCGGAGCATCAGAAAGAAAGGGCGAGGTGAGTTGTTCCTTTTACTCTCCATACTTAATGCTTACTCCACCACCATTCAGCCAATAAGGTATCCATCCATCCCACAAAAGTAAGGAAAACCAAGCCTACTACTTTTCCTACTACTCTACACACTACCCAACCAGCCAACAACTACAATCCAATCTTAATTTGTCAAGCACAAAGCATCTTCGCATATACTTTCCACTTCTACTTCAAAAAGTAGCATAATTATTATTAACCCTCTCTCACTGCCAATTATAATAACTCTGCACCCCAATTCCACCCAAATCAAGTGTGGAATCAATAGAGCTGTTGTCGTGAGGTTGTTATGTTGGTTGTTTCTTGGAGAAAGTAGTTATTCTACCATCACGGCGGCGGCGAAGACGACAACGACAACGACCAATCTCATTTGCGATTTTACACACAAAGTGGTGAAAGTATAATCATTAACGTTTTTATAAATATTTCTCCACTGTCGACATTAACGTCCTTTTTCCAAACAAGACGTCTTCGTATAGAGTTGGTCACTTCCATTTATATAATAGGTTTTTGAGTCACTGCCCACAAAAACATTTGCAACTATTATACAGTATATGTATAAGTGAGGAGTTGTATAATGCTTAATGTTTAAGATTGGATAATGTGCTACAATTACAATTAGGGCAAAGTACTCAAGTTTATGGCATTTGTGCAGCTCAGTGTTATTGACTAGTTTAAGTGTGTTCACATCCGACCCGGTTTTTGGTAATCATTCGGTTGTTATTAATTACAAGACGAAGAAAGCAAAAAGGATTGTCGCAAGTTATTCAGAGTGTCGCTTGAAGCCCTGCTGAAGTCTCCCTCCTCTCATCACTTTTTTTATACCAAGGCAAGGAAATTTGGGACATAATTTAATACCTGAAATTATCATTGTTCACTTGTCGCAATAATCAAGTTGCCGAATTTTATTAAGAGAAGAAAGCTGTAGTAGCAGGTTACATAATTAAAACGATGGAATTCATATGTGTAGATCATGTTCGTTAATCGAAATAGCAAAGATTTTTCGTGATTTTAGACATAGATTTTAGATTTTATTTAACAACACATAAATTCAATACGATTTTGAGATACTTTGTTAATGGCTTTGGATTGGAACCCGATGTTGCTGAGGTGGAAAAACCTATACTTGGTTTAAATAGCGTTCCAAGATAATCATTCCGCCTTACAAAATGTTTATAAAATTTATTAAAAACCTCAGGATTTTAGTGATTTTGTCTTTGTAGTTCAGTTTTAAACTTATGGGCAAAACGATGTTACTGATTTACTGAACGTGTGCAATTAAGGCGAACCAGAAGAGGAGAGAGAAAGGCGAAAATGTGTGTTATTGCGGGTGAGGGTAACGATATCTAGCCGGTGAAGGTGCAGGTGAAAGTTGACGAGAGACTCAAACCAAAGTCTCCGAACGTCGATTAGCCATCTTGTGCTACATTTTAGCTTTGCACTACTTCCGTCTAGAGAGTTATCATTTGGTAGATTCAATAAACTAGGAGCGTTGAATTTGGAATTTTATAAAAAATATAATTGTTCATAACTAATTGCTAACTAGTAATGATTACGTGCAAAACAACGAAAGCGACGACGATCATAATTTTGTGTTTAATTACTTATTCCTATTGTTATTTACATACGACTACAATTCATCATGCATGCCAAACATTCAAACATCCAAATGTCGATTTGAAGTCTAGGAGCAGTCATAATCTGTCACTTGTTCATAATTGTGATCCTCTTAACAATTATGTGTTCCGCCATTTTGACACATTGACAGAGCGTTAGCTAGGAGCATCAGTCACCATCCTGTAATGCACATCGCCTCATGAAAAGAGCAAAATATTTAGTAAAGATGTGATGTGACGTGCTGTAGTATGAAGAATGGTAATGTGTATGTAACTGGCGCAGAAGTCAGTTGTACAGTAGTGTTTAGTTGTTTAGTAACTAAACTTTAGTTACTTAATAGCAAGCTGACGACATCGTGGACCCTTTAGACTTATTTGTCATTAGATAGTAGCTACTGATTGCTATATCCTATCAAGAATACCAAGATAGCCAGTGCATGACTGAGAGAACAGTAATTATTTATTTATTTAGCATTCCACTTCCCATATACACAATAATCTTTTTCCATGCTTATGTACATATGTATGGTTGCACCCATCACAAACATTTCTGTGTTTTGGTCAGTGCTTTTCGTTACTCTTCGCCTTCACTGTAAAAGTTATAAAATTACTTTTTATTCGTGTTAATATGGGAAATAGGAGCCATACTCGTGACTGAATTCACTAATACAGCATACATGTACATTGAAAAATATTATTACGAGGTACAGATACATACGCTGGTGTTGTGGTTTTTACTGGTTGGTATATATCATATTTTCCCGGAAGTTATGACCACATACATATAATTCTTCAGTGTGTGTAGTAGGATTCGCCTGTCTCAGGATTTATGCATGTTGAGTCAAGTCAATTTATGACTAAATTTTAGTCAATCTCACAAATCAAGCTGAAGGAGGGTTACTAGAACGTGTAACAAGCTCAAATTTAGATACATAATTATGTCAAACTGCATAAAAATTATAATTCTTCCAATTAGTATTAACGCTACCTAGGTTGTTGTATTGTATTACGCTGAGGCTGTAAAATTTTCTAGTTTGTTCTTCCTAGGATTAGATGAGGCGATCAGCCAAGATCAGCGGTAATAATACTCATAATGAAAATGCTTTACTGAAATCTCGGATTCGAAATGTACATAGAGAATAGTCTAGCTATGCCTTGCGTAATTCAAGTAAAAGAAATAGTTAAGCACGCAAAACAAATTTAAATAACCAAATTACCCTTGCACCGTACTCTTCTCGCACTACTTGCATTTATATAATAATTTTTGTATAAACATGGTGTGATGGTCCATTTTTTTCATGTTGCTCACGAAACTTATTATTGTTTTCTTCTATTTTTACACAGGTTATCGCAAGAAATCTGAAGTCATAAAATTTCAATACACGGGCCAAACGTGAATTTATTTTGCCCTCTTGGTGAAAGCTGGAAGATTGTCCGGAGAAAAACGGAATATGAATATTAGAAGCTGACGACTTGGTGTTAGGTTCGGATAGGAGGACGTTGTTGTTGGGCCTGAACACTCACTGGTGGACAACGATTGGGTGATTTGACGTGATTCCATTGTGTAGAACACAAATACGGTTGACCTGTTAACCTGTGTTCATCTAATTGGTGTGACTGTCTGTGAATCTAAATACATAGTAATTGGAGAAAGAGAAAGACGCATGACCAACCACCTCTTCCCCAAGAGTATTAGTTGACTTATCCATCAGGTAGATCAGCAAGTTGGAATAATATTTAAAGGTAAATCCTTTTTTGATTATTACTTATGAAAATTTCTAAAATGTTGTCGAATGTATGGCGTCTAAGGTCTTACAACAACGCTCTAAATAACGACAACAACGTACATACTTTAAATATGACATAATATCGCATCTCTTGTTAAAACCCTGAATAACTGTATACGTATGTCTACATTAATCCCAATGGCTCAGCTCATGCTCAAGGTTCAACGCAACGATTATCATCATTAGTACGAATTTATGTGTTTAGGTACTCCTGGTTTCTAATCATTCCAATTTAGTCATTAATTTCTTGCTGTTGCCAATATTCGGTCGTGTTTGTGCCGAATTATCTCTCAATTGTTATTATTGATTGAAATAATTAAATAATAATTGAATCCCAGTCTACCAATTTCAGCAATTTCTCATTTAACGAGCGCTCGAATTGTGTATGCACAATACATTATTGAACAAATCTTTCTTTAGACAAAGACTGGCACATTTTTATAGAATACAGAATATTGTTGGATCAATTTTGCATCGTACTATTTTACTGTGTTTTCCTTGTTTAAAGTGTTTACAACACGAAAGGTGAATAAGTAACTCTTGTCATCAGGTACTAAGAATCATGTACAACAACAGGAGTAATTTACTGGTTATTTATTTGCTGCAGTGGGTGAACTAGAAAATTTCGAAAGAACCGTGAAGGAAGGCGGTTACAGGATTACGTAAATATGTTTGTAATGTGATACAAACAACGTGCAGTATATATGCATGCACTGGTTAGATGTTCGTAATATTGAGTATTGAGCCACATCTCAGTCTTATGTACGTTCATCAATAATGGTTTGCGCTTATGGTAAATGAATTTTGTCATGATGACGAAATGCATAGCAGTACGGGAGCACTATTTTGCTATTTGGCAGGGTTTTGACAACTCGTTTCTACTAACAACAGGTAGTGGCGTGAGGCGTGAACGGCTTCCTCAGTACAGTATGACCACCACAGAGTTTGAAGCAGTCTGTGTAATGGCCCCATAGGAGTGGCGATGACATGCAATGTGGTTCCACAAGATCTCGAGTGAAAGTCGTCCAAAGTTTGTAGTAGAGAACATAATGGAGAGAGTGCATGTATTACAGACATTGTAGTGGCATAATGTAAGTACTGTAATTGCATTGCATTTGTATGTACATGCCGTTCAAGCATAGGAAGGTTGATGAGTAATCACTCTTAAGAGTAATTATGAGTAGTGGGGATGGAACAATCAAGTAAGGGTAATAATAGTACCGTCACATGGGGAAAAGTAATTGGAGAGGACGGGAGAAAGTAGGAATTGGGCGACTTTCCCCGTCCTGCCCGAGGTGGTAAGACTCTAACAAGCTGGAGGCATGAACCATATCATCATCATCACCATTCTGGATGATGGTCTTCACCGTCTTCATGGTAGCCTAGCCTTTCTCCAGGAAGGGAAAGATGGTTGGAGAGATCGACAGTTTGGGAAAAATGAGCAGAGAGAGAGAGGGACCCAATACACGGGAATCTCTAGGTAACGTTTGGTTAGGTTAGCTAGCAGAAGCGTCAACCTATGTGTAGCTAATGAGACAAGGAGAGTTCTGCAAGGCGTTTAGGGTTGCTTAGCAGAGAAGGTGGTAGAAAGACGTCAGCTCTCCAATGTGGCTGCTCTCTCTCTCCCTTCTCTCGCACACTCCGGTTTTCTTCTGAGATCGATATTTGGCTAGACTAGAATGTTATTCATTTTAAAGCCGGTAGCTGAAGTTGGGTAGGAAGGTTGTTGCGGCGTGTTATTGCCGAGTGGACCAGAACACGAGAGAGAGAGAGAGAGAATATGATGGAGATGGAGCCTCACCCACTTTAGTAGCTTATCTATCTGCCTCCTTATTCTCTCTCAGTAAGAGGAAGTACAGTACGGGAGGGATTTTGGGCATGGGCAGGAAGTTGGGACAGCCGAAAAGGTCCGAACGCTGGGGAGAAAGTTGGGCTCGGTGATCGGCTAGGTTTGTTGGTTGGTTGGTTAGTTTGGGATAGCACGAATAGTGCCAGTTGTACGACCGTTTGGTAGTGTAGCGTAGTGCGAGTGCTCCTCTCAGCTTCCACACTGATCTTGGACCGACGCAGTGATGGTGTCAAGTACAAAATCTCAAAATCTCATTGACGTCACGACTGACCCTTGACCTTAATGTGAATATCTCGTTTCTTATACCCACCACCACCACTACCTCCCATTGCAACTAGCTATACTTTCTCCAAGATTCGTAATAATACTCCTCTTCTCCAGTAGCACCTTACTTACCAATACATACATGCCATGGCTTCATCATCATCATCCAGCAGCAACTCGGTAAAATGTGAGAGCACATGCTGTAATAATGGTCGTGAAAGAGAGATCTACTTCTGATGCCTTTTACCGTAGTACACAAGTATTGTTGTAACTTGACTCTAGTTATTTCTCCCTCCCTTTGTAACTACCTCTACCTCTCTCTCCTTGTGGATTTCACTGAAATGCGTTGAACAATTTTCTGATTGAATATTATGGTCACTATTATCACCCCATGCTTGTTGAATATACTTGTTAGCCATGAAAATTAGTTGGTACTATTACATACTATCTAATATCACAGCATATAATGCAGGTTGAGCCTGTTGCTTTCATATGGATCGAAATCTAAACTTTTGCACACACCCCCAAATACTAAATAACGTTGAGACGCTGTTTGCATAAAACATAAAAATAAAAACAAAAATACATATTGAATAAATGAGTCTTGTATCCACTTTATGCAATATGCTAATTTTATTATTCTTCTTATCTCTGCAACAAGGACTGTGATCTCATCCCACATTTCGAGAGTCAAGTATGAATGAGTTAGACTCCCTGCGCCAGGAAGCCGAAACGTTAAAGAATGCTATTCGAGTAAGTATAACTTTCTCTGGTAATTTCACAAGCATTACGTTCATAAACGTTTTTTAAATATTGTAAATACTTAGGATGCTCGAAAAGCGGCATGCGACACCACGCTTATCGAAGGTAATAAAGACATATTTAATAAAATTAAACATCTGTAAAAGGGTCTCATGCCATTACTCAATTTACTAAAAATTATTCGAAACAGCCACGGCGTCGATGGACCCAATCGGCCGGATCCAAATGCGAACGAGGAGGCAAGCAGCACATTTGATACAAATTAGTCTGATGCTATTATTTATAATAACAACCAATGATTATCATCATAATCTTAATTCATTATTTTATAGGACACTGCGGGGTCACCTGGCGAAGATCTATGCTATGCACTGGGGTTCTGACTCAAGGTAAGGTTTAGTTTAGTGATTTACCTTCTAAAGTTTTAATTTTGACAGCAAAAAGTTGACATTCACTTAATTATTTTTCAAAAAGGAACCTAGTATCAGCGTCTCAAGATGGAAAGCTCATTGTTTGGGACTCTTACACGACAAACAAAGTGCATGCCATCCCCCTGCGCTCGAGCTGGGTTATGACTTGTGCCTATGCACCCTCAGGTAGGTTTTATAAAAATTTATGTTGATGCACAAGCTGTTGCTTGATCTAATGAAACTCAATATTGAGCGTGGTTACAATATTTTGATTATTCATTTTATAGGCAGCTTCGTCGCTTGTGGAGGATTGGACAATATTTGTTCGATCTATAGGTATGTGAAACACACCTTTTTCGGTGTTGTGACCATTCTGTTTTTGGTATAACATAGCGGCAGATTTTGGTTTCAATAAATGAAGGGCTTGTGGAATATTTAGCTTGAAGACAAGGGAAGGCAATGTCCGCGTAAGCAGAGAGCTCCCTGGTAAGCAAGCGTTTCACAATTTCACTGTTTTGGGTATTACGCAAATTTTCTCCCATCTTCGATCAATTCTATTAACCATTGGTTTACTGAACTGGTATAAAATTTGTAGCTAGCTATTTGTAATTATCAGGATTCTATATAGTTTGCAATAGATTAAAATAATACAAAATGGTACAAATTTAATTATTCTAGGACACACGGGCTACTTGAGTTGCTGTCGGTTCCTAGATGACAACCAAATTGTCACGAGTTCAGGTAAGACACATATCTGTTATGTGCAAGTCACGAAAAACACTTAATCTCAATCTTTCATTTCCGAATGGGTTGACGAGTTGAAAACAACCATTACAAATAAAGTTTACAAAAATCTCTGGTTGAATCTCAATTGTCAATTTTATGTGTCCAAAGGTGATATGACCTGTGCTTTGTGGGACATCGAAACTGGCCAACAATGCACTTCCTTCACTGGTGAGCTTTTTATTTTATTAACTTAAATAAGAATATACAAACTGTGTGTCCTCAATTCCCTAAAGTAACAAGTACACAAAATTTACAAATAAAACTCTAATCACTCGTTGAATGAGCTGCTCCTCTTTGACTGACGATAACACGAAACATTTTTGTTCAACCCATTGTTAACTCCAAAAGACTTCTTGACGAGAAATGTGAAATTATTGATGCACCTGTGGATGATTTTTTTTTCTATTTTTCATTCATCTTCGTGCAAAAAAACGAGATACACTGCCTCTTGATAATATTAACCTGGTGTTGTAATCTACGATTTAAATTTATTACTTAAAGAATAAACTGACTCTTCACGTGTTGTTTCTTTCAGGTCACACTGGGGATGTAATGTCTCTATCCTTATCTCCTGACATGAGAACCTTTGTCTCTGGAGCATGTGATGCATCTGCAAAGGTACCACCACTTTCATCTTAATTTCCACTCCCATCATTATAATTCAACCTAACCAAACTAAATTATGTAATGTAATTAGCTCTGGGATATCCGAGATGGGTTATGTCACCAGACATTTTCTGGACACGAGTCCGACATTAATGCTATTGGAGTAAGTTTCATTATAAAATTGGATTGTTTGTTAATACAAATTGTATGGCTCAATTTTATGCATAAAACATCAATTATTCTATTCTGATAATTTATTCTTGATATATTCTAGTTTTTCCCTAATGGAATGGTAAATGAAATACACTTATTCGCATGAATGATGTCTCTTTTTCTTCTACATAATAATTCAATTTAATAATTGCACTCTACAGGCGTTTGCCACGGGTTCGGACGATGCGACGTGCCGACTATTTGATAAGAGGGCAGATCAAGAATTGGGTACGTTTCTTTTTGAAAACATTACAAAGTAGTGGCAGTACTGAACCCAGGATGACTCGATCACATTGTGATAAAAATCCTATCCAATTGCACATATTAATTACGCACTTTGATTACAAAATTGCACATATCCATATGTGCATATTAACATGGTATTTAATATTCCAATTGTTGTATATCTACTTTCCAGCCATGTATTCGCATGATAACATCATTTGCGGTATTACCTCGGTGAGTATGTTTATCATCATTGCCTGTTTTTATGTCATACATAAATGTGAATTGCATATAATCAAATTAGTAATTCTATGAATATATTAAGTCATGTAAAATATGCGAACGGCAAATAAAATTACTTGTTTTTTTTAAATTTTAGGTGGCCTTTTCCAAGTCGGTAAGTGAATTTAATACGTCAAGTTAAATACATCCAGATTCTGAATATTTAGAATAATGCAAAAACTGATCGTATAGGGTCGCTTATTACTTGCCGGCTATGATGACTTCAATTGTAACGTGTGGGACTCGATGAAGACAGAGCGAGCTGGTATGATGATGTTAACATCATTCTAATAAAAAGTTTATGCCCAATGTCATCAACTTGTACCGTTCAACACAATTTGATTTGATTGATTTGAATGATTTTCATAATTTTAGGTGTCTTAGCTGGTCACGACAATCGAGTGAGTTGCTTAGGAGTTACAGAAGACGGAATGGCTGTAGCAACGGGATCTTGGGATAGCTTTTTGAAAATATGGAATTAAATGTTATCATCTAGCTTTACAAAATCGTCAACCATAGCAACATCACCTTATGATCAACAACAAAAAGGTGTCATTAACACCGAGAGAAAAAGAATGTGTGTTTCTTCGATACGTCATCTGCCATTTACCCCTTTGTAAAGTGTTTTATTTACGGTTCCGCCTTTCGAGTTCTGTTTTACTTGTTCAAGAACAATGGTGTGTTTTAGTAATGTAAGATAACATTGAGTAGTAATTTTTGATACGTTACGATACTCTCCTTGATTAGAGTCATAATTGCCCATTAATATTCGTTGCAAGATTGCAATTCAGTCTGGTTTTAACAAATTATTCGACTTTGAGACTTGTCCGTAATTTCTTTTTGACGGTCAAATTCCAAGTCATTTTATTAATAATATGTAATTAGTGAAACTTTCAATTGAAAGGTTTTCCATAAATGACACACAGCTTATGAAATTGTACGAGTTATTATTATTATTGTTGTTACTATTGTTAAAATGTATAAGTATGGGGGTGTTGTTGGTTGCACGAGAATCAGTCAGCAAAAAAACCTTAGGTTGGTCCGGTATGTAGGTCCATCTTACAATTTAAAACTGCCAAGTTTAGAAATTTTCAAATTTACTACATACATACACGAAGCACAATTTATCATTTGCTTATTAGCACAAAAACCTCTTCCACTACAAACTACAACAATGTACGCACGAAACATCCGATGCTTACTGCTTTTGAATGTGTACGTAAATATCCATTTTAGTGTGACTGAATTACTATTACTATTATTATTATATTTAATGCGCTACAGTTTTTTGTTGAAAAGAAAAGCTCTGTTAAACAGGTAAGTATTTATTGCTATCAGGTTAGATTTATTAACTTTTATGTAATGATACTGGTGGTTATATGTCAATTCTTTATTCAGCGAGTTTATAATGCCGAGATATACGATATACGTGTATTCAACCGAGTTTAATAGTATTTTATGTTTTATGTCAATGTGTTAAGGAAAAACTTAATTCCAATTTCTGCTTCTATTCTTAACTCAAAACACTCCGCTATTGAGCACGATTTGTACTGTATGAAAATTAATTACGAATATTTGATAAAGTTTAACTGACTACCACTTCTTACATATTTTTATTTGTCCTTTATTTCATAACTCTTATTTGATACCCCATTTGACGGGCTCTTGAGTTATTTCGTTCGTACTTTAAACATGATTTTTGTAGTTGATATTATTGGAATTCTAATTATGATTATCTAATGTTGTTGTTGTGAGCTGATCTGGGACCAGACAAACCATTTCCCTGATATAAAAAATAGGTAGTGATACTCAACTCAATAGCTTTGCATGTATTTGTATGTACAAGGGCATCGCCTACAAATGGCGTCTTTTTTATTTTTATTTTATTTTGTTAAAAACGTTTCATGTGGATGGGCTTTTCTATAAGATTGTAAAATATTATTTGATTTCAATATCTGCATTAAATTAGTTTATTAACATATGCGTTACCGTTGTATTGGAATTGTTGTCGTGTTACCTACCAATTCATATGCTCCCAATTATCCTTGAGGTCACCCCGCAAAACTGCACGATCTTTTCTCACTCTAATATCCTCCACCTACCTAACATAAATCGTTAATCGTTGTTGGGTGGGTTAAGGAGCGGAGATTTTTTAAATGCGTGCGTTGCTTACTGGTGATTTTTTTGCCACATTTATATTATGTATAATACCATTAATCATACCTACGGTACTAGAAGTCCAGCCTTATTGCGTATCTTCACGATAGTCATGTCAGTGGCATGCATGTCCATAGGACGCATTGCATATTGCATTGGAATTTGTGTAGTTCGGTTTCAAACGACTGAATTATAGTGTATCTTTCAAAAGTCGACATTGTTATTTTCTGATCTGATATTTGGTCCCCTCACGTACGAACTGACCAACATTCTCCTGAAATTTTGTGTATGACTTTCTTCTGTATAGTAAGGAGGTGTAACTATAAGTTTCAACTACTTAATTGTATACCTCCTTCCTAGGCATGCGGCCATTATCTCTGCTCATAATAAGTCTTCTGCTTCTTTGGTAAAGTAATGGCCACAGACTTTGAGATTACACTCACGAGATGTTTGTAATGCATTTGCTTTGGTGTAAGCTTTCATTCGTGAATAACTTAAACATTCGACATGGGTTATTAGAAATTGGATTTGAAACAGAAATTGATAATTGATTGGCTTGAAAGACTGAACTTTCACACAATTTTTGAGTGTCGATCATATTTAAAAAAAATCAAACAATGAATACAATTAAGGCGAATGAGGTTGCAATTATTTGACGAAAGGGCTAAGGAATTATGTATACATATGTAATAACTGTGAGCAACACGGTCATTAGCGAAGGGAGAAACTAGGTTGTTTATTGAGCATAAATCGACCAAAAGGTGTAGTATCTAGTAGCCATGCAGTGATGATGTGATTCAGTTGTGGGGATTCTTGGTTTAAATCTTTGTAGTATGAATGAATGTTTTTATGACTTTGTATGAAAATGATGATGAATAATTCTTGACATCATCAGCTTAGTAAACTAGTCAGCCATTTATTACACGTATCATTTTGAGAAGAAACTCGATCGTTCAACTTTTCCAGAGTTTCTAGGTTTTATTATCAACCCATTACCACCACTGTAGTACAATACTGCATCAAAAAATTCTTACTTATTGTGGTTCCACACCCGTTATAGGAATATATGCATAAAAATTCAACCGCGTCGTTGCTCCGTCGCTATTTGTTTGTGAAAGCAGGGTCTGATAACCTTATAATAGCATTGACTTATGGTACATGAGACGTTGGAAGATTATTAGGGAGAGAACTCGGATGAGAGACGGAAACCAGATTTGCTATCAATATCAGTGTTTAAGAATTGGTGATATTATACAAAAATCAAGTATTTCTACTGTTGCACACATTCATATTATTCATATATCTACAAATGTAAGTAGGGTTCATTCAAAAAATGATACGCAGGTGACATTTCAAACTTTGTATTGCAGATGATACACACCTTGTATGCTACAAGAAGTGTGAATATATGTACTATAACTACATATGCATGTAAAATCCTATGAAACAAACTATCCACACATTTATCCTGACGTGAACAGTTTCAAATCCATTTCGCATCAGCCTCTTTTAGTCAAGAAATCCTCACAATCTCAACTAAAATAAGAAACTAATACTTTAAAATCAAAATCTGCAAGCAAAAATAAGATTTGTTGTTTTAATCCGTGGCTCATCCCATCCGCTGGTTTATATGGGTTATATGTACGCTTGGAGAAAGTTCATGGCCACCTTTCAATCGTTTAAGGATAGGAGTTCCCAATTTTTAACAAGTCAACGTTGTCAACAATCTAGGTCGTCCCTGTTCTTTTTCTTTAATCTACGACAACATGTAAGAAAGTATTGGATAACTTGCCATCAGAGTATTGTTTTAAAGTACGTTGAAAATGTTTCGGCCTTATTATTTAGCCTTTGTTATACATTGAATGACACAAATATCTTGTAGAAAGGTGCCAGTATCATGTAAGTTTCTGTGTAAAAATGTCATCTTTCACAGCATCCCCATTACTCGTCGGTCGTATTGTATCAAGTTTTTGTTTCAAGTCTCTTTATTGTAGGAGAAATTTGAGTTCACCTGTAACACGGCAATTGAAGCACACCGTCAGATGTACATGCACATACATACACGCGCCAGTATAAGTAAACCATTATAACTTTTACTCTGAAAAGCTAAAAACTTTGACTTCTCCCGTCCTGGAGAGAAAAAGAGAGAACCAAATTCGTGTTGAAATCTTTACGCCAGAACAAGCAACCTGTAACCTACTTCTACGGTCAAATTCATTAATGCAAGGGCCCAGGTAATTGTTTTGGCGTGTAAAGATGACTATAACTTCAAAGACTTGATCTTATGAACAACTCTTGCTCGTTTGTCCAAACTTATATATATATTCTATAAATATACATACATACTACTACTGTACGTACACTAACTAATTTCTACTAAGAAAGTATAGCTAACTCTACATCCATAAATCTAGCAGCAGATCTATGTTCTTCAATGTATGACTTACTTGTACAACAACAACAACCAATTGTTAGGTGATCACATTATTAACACCATTAATTAGTTTACCAATTATTGAAATTATCAATGAAATATGTAAAGAAAGCAAGAACAACTAATTTACTGCTTCAGACTGCAAGTAAAACAACACTTACAGAACTGCTTGTCGAGTGTTTTAACGTACATAAATGCATATGTCAACAAGCTATGATTTATACACTCTCCTGTCTAAACAAATGTGGAATGGTGAAAAGCTTGTTCCTTCCTTCTTCAACCTACAAGGGCCATCTCAAGTTTCGGTGAAAGTTTAAAACAGTGAATCATAATAACGTACGTATAAAAAATATATCTAAGGATATGTGTATATTTATAGGCAGACAGGCACAAACAAAACTCCAATCTTATATTGCCATTACTTAGTAAGTATATAACTATATGCACCCAGCCCTTACCACACACACACGCAGTGAGTGCATGAGAATTACTATGAGGGTGAAAGTTGTGCATACTATGCGTAGCAAGTAAGAAAAACTAGTGTACTAACGAAGCTACATATATACAAGCATGTCGCAAGCTGATGGAAAATATGTGTGGATGTTAAAAAGATGTGCTCGAAAAAACTATCAGACAATTAAGTCGAGTTGACGGAGCACATTAATTCCCATATTATTATGATTGTCATTACTAGACAAATGGAGGAGGTGGTGTACTGATGAATTAATTGTTATGCTACTTACGGTTTTATAAAACAGGCATCTCTGACTACTATGATACTACTAGAACTACACTGTTGTTACTACATGGACGGCTTGATTGTCAATCAATCTATAAGATTATTATTCAACTAAGAAAAGATTTTGCCACTTATTTCTATGTAGGATATGTAAGCAACGTGACTAATTGTAGCATGATACACAATTAGAGTACATATGTAATATACATAACACATTCTATTTGGTAAAGGATTCAATCTACTAGCCCAACTATGTATATTAAAATGTCTTAATATGTACGACTAAGGATATGGTTAGCATATAGAATTATCCTACTGACTACGGCGTATAGTTAATTGTACTAGGTCATACATGTAGCTCTAAAATAAATACATCTGCTAAAATATATCCAACTAGAAAGTAAGATCTATACGTTTAACTGTGTATAGAACGATGCTGCCAAAATTTTGCAATTTACGCTATAGTTAAAAAATATACACGTTACTTTGTTACTCTAATCGTTCATACATACATGTACTACTCTAAGGTTAGTAGCTATGTAAATAAAATACTGACGACTATTAACAGCACACAACGGGATGATATATATTCGAGTGGTTTTACTAAAAATAGGAACGCGAGTGTGTGGAGTAGTGCAAGTCAAGTGCAGTCAAGAAGTAAATTCGAGTGAAAGTGAAAGCAATTGAGACTCCTCATCCTCATCCAATTTATGAAATCAATCCAGTGAAAAACCCCAAAACATCGACCTGGGGGAACATATATATATATATAATTATTACTATTATCACTATTTTTAGTCCTTTACCAGGGTTGAGTTTACTTATCAGCTCATGAGTTCATTAAAAAAACTTGACGACCTGAGTCAGCACATTTTTCCTTTACCGTTGTGGTTATTGTAAGCTATTATTAAGCTTCGTCGTACAGTACATAGCCGCAGCAACAGTGTTGTATATTGCATTATATTATTACATGTATTATTATTATTGTTATTACTATTCATCACAACACAATGATGATGCTATTTATTATGCTGTTCCATAAGATATAGTAAATCAAAGTATTATATATAAAAAGAAAAACAATCGGATCCTCTCTCGCATTTAATGGTTACACAAACTATGAGATGATGGTGAGGGAGGATGCCTACAACAACAATAATGTTAGTTTTTTATTGAATTTGAGGTTTGAAACTTTGGTAGAAAGGTTTTACATACGACTCACTACTACTGGTTGGCTGCATGTATGTACATAATGTGTGGATGGCTTTTTCTGCAAGTGATGGAGATGCAACATTCGGTGAAAACGTTTACTTTCGCTTTCTCTTTTAGTTTGTTAACTCATTAATTTTTGCTATAAACGATTACAAATAATTGGAAAATTGTGTGGTGGGGATGAAATGAGTGTGCACTATAAACAGAATACTTCAACAAACTACCTTATTCCTTTGTATACTCGTGTTTACTTAATGCCGTAAGATAAGTAACTATAGGGGGAGGCAGCGTGGATGTATTTTATAGGCTAAGATTAAATATTCTTATGTAAGATAAGGTATGGGATAAGTAATCAAAATAAAACATATGTGAAATAAAGCTTTTGTCAATTAATACGACAATTTTTGCACAATTTATTTCCGATCAAAAAAGGCTGTGTGGTAAATTACAAAGTTTTTGCACGAGGGTTGTTCATGACATTAATGGAATGATTTAGAAAGAACGTAACAAATAATAATGATAAAACACAGATATCATAATTCAAAGATATGCATGAGCCAAGAGGAGTGTGGTGTGGTCCAGTTCAGTAGTGCTAACTTTAACAATTTAGCAATTGTCCAGGGCGTCGCTCAAATCTGAAATCAAATCTGCCTCAGACTCTAATCCAACTGAAATTCGGATAAATCCCTCAGTGATTCCAAGTTGTTTCCGTAGATCGGCTGGGACGGATGCATGGGTCATTGAATATCTACATATACAATAATAAATAATTAAATAGAAGCCAATTAACCATGCTCGAAATATTCGGAAATTTACAAAACTTACGGAAGTTCTGCAGAAATGTTTTAGTCCATTGAGTACCACAATGTTAGATACGTGGAATATTATAATCATTTAATATGCATGAGGCATCAAAAAACTGTCCATTCCTTTAATCATGATTATAATAATTTATGTACCTGCAAGACTTTCATAGCCGCCCAAGCTCTCCGCAAGACTGAAAACTTTCAAGTTTTGCAAAAACTTAGCACCACTTCCATCCTTGATGTAAAAAGCAATAAGACCAGAATGTCCAGAGGTTTGTTTCAACGAAAGTTCATGTTGAGGATGAGATGGTAGACCAGGATGCAAGACTTTTTCAACTTTTGGGTGCTTAGACAAGAACTTTGCAATCGTATACGCGTTCTTCATGTGCAGTGGCATCCTGACATGAAGAGTACGAAGACTACGCAACAGAAGATAACAATCGAAGGGTGAAGGGACTGCTCCCAGTGCTAGAAAAACATAAGCAATCAGTATTAAGCATACATACCCAATTAAATATGAAATATTTCGCAGCTTACAGTTTTGAAGGAATGCAATTCTATCTTTCAAATCTTCTCGGTTAAGTACAATTGCCCCCATGAGAACATCACTATGACCGTTCATATACTTTGTAAGACTGAAACAAAATAATCACTACATATACAAAAATTACATTTTTGAGGCCGTATATTGAATTGAATTTTTACCTGTATACGACCATATCCGCCCCAAATGTGAGGGGTTTCTGTTACAAAACAATAATTGAAGTACTTCATTTGACTGTTAACATTAGAATGGAAAACACAAACAAGCATACTTGGTAGAATGATGTCAAAAAAGTATTATCAACAGCCACAATGATGTCCTTGTTAAATTTGTGCGCTATCTCAGAAACTTTCGCAATATCCACAATTTTCAGGGTAGGATTCGTCGGCGTTTCAATCCAGACCAACTACAACGACGACAGATTTTAACATCTCATACATAAATATTTATTATATGGTCATAATCACTTTAGTCTTAGGACTCAACGCTTTCTCAAACGCAGCCAAATCTGTCATGTCCACAAAATCTGGCTGAATATTCGCCGTCTTATGCATTTGGCGGAACAACCGACCTAGTGTATATAATACAAATTGTTAAAAAAGTTTTCGTTTGACTTTGATAGTCTTATTAACAAATGTAATCAGTTGCTAACCAGTTCCTCCATAAACATCGTCCATTGAAACGATATGATCTCCACTATTCAGCATTGCTACCACGTTCGTTGTCGCTGCCAAACCAGATGCAAAGACCATGCCTACAAAATTCATTAGCAAATAACTCGTAGACAGGACTCAAAATACTCCAATTAATGCACAAGTTTCTCATTACCATATTTTCCACCGTCTAATTTAGCCAAGGTTTCTTCTAGAATTTGACGAGTTGGATTTCCACTTCGGGTATACTCAAATCCCTGTTAAATAATAATTCCATTTAAATTATAAAGTAAAAGTACAACCAGCCATATATTTGTGAAGTATCAAAAAGATGTGCTTGCCATACGCGGTGTTGTGCGGGTCCATCCTGCTCGAAAGTAGTCGAGAGTACTAGTGGTGGAACAACAGGTGCAAAGTTCCAATCCTTGGGAACGTATCCAGAGTGGATGGCCTTTGTCCCAAACGTGGGATCCAACGGAAGGAATTGAGGACCGTCAGCGATGCCGTTATTGTTCATGGTAAATTTTTAACAAACTGCAGATTAAGCTGTAATAGATGAAAGAAGGGATATGAATAACGTCCTCATCAACCTCTGCAACATCACTGTCGACCCCAAACCATACTCCTCGTGCATATATAAGTGTAAAAATAAATAGCGTGATAATGTGATACGTGAATATAAAACCAATTTTAGCATATATATAATAAATAAATGTATTATGTGCATAATACTGCCAACCCTATATTTCAGATTAAATAAGCACGGGTTGGTTAGTTAAATAAACACGGATTTGCTGGATTTTTAGATAGACTCTGCAAATGGATATGATTATCATTCTCCCATTATCACAGACTGTAATGCATATAAATTACCCTAATTAAATCAAGCAAAGAATGTGGATAACTAACTCAGGTTAAATCAGCAGAAGGTCGAGGTCAGATCAACCGCAAAAGTCATCCAGCCAAATAAATCACAGTTAATGTGCTAAGTAAATACTTTTTGACACATACATGCCTTCTTTTTGGGATTGGCTTTGAGAACTATCCGTTTCATGACTCTTTGTCCTCTTACACAATATGTATCTGTATGTATACATTTACTGATTTAAATACATATGCATGCCCTTGAACTTTCAATGAATTCAGTTTTTGGGATGATGTAATGTAATGAATAAATTAGATATGATGTTTTTTCTGTCACTAAATTTTGGAAAAGTTACCCATTATTTATGGGATAACCATGAATGTAAATACTATAGTATTTACATTCATGGGGATAACTGTTATTATGTAATCAAGAATTATGATAGTTTTCGTTTCATACTTTTAAACCAATTTTTTGACTGAATATATGTGAATATCTATTGCCGGCCGGCGGAAAATGAATTTTACATTATCATTTTATGAGTGTCGGGCTATTGGGGACCCTGATTCAGAGTACAAAAGTGCAATTTCGGGTAGTATTGAGCTTTCTCCAACTATTCCACACATACACATACCGTTGTGAGACCTTCAATTTACGCTAATGGCATAAATGGATACGCGTGGCTGAAGACCTTCCCAGATGATGACCAATTATATGTGATACAGTTCTCAAATATGAATCAGAACAATCACTCAATACTCAATCAGAGAAAGTTGACTGCTTTCACCATCACCAAATGCTCTTGTGAGCAAGCAGACCCATTTTTATTGAATTATTTATCGATTATAGTGTGTTCTACCTGGTTGACGGCATGACTGGCAGGCCTCTCTAGTTAATCATTTTCTATCAACCCTCCACCCTAACACAATGCAAATTAAACTTTCACTACCACCCACGTGCTTCCAAACTAATTATTAATCAACTAATCAACTTGCATATGTAAATGAAGCAGCAACCCACCTGATCTCTGTCGTTTTCGTCTTGTGTCGACCTCCTGAATAATCCTGAACGTCGTCAAGCACGCTGCACTCTGAAATGAGATGACGACATATGGTGAAATACATAAGCCGAACCGCATGCGAGCGAGCACAAGCTGACCGATTCGGATGGTGGGGTAAATTGGTTTTCTTTCTCCACTTGCGAGGTGAGCTGCTATTCGTGCATATGCCCGGCTTTCTCCACGCTTGGAGAACGGGAGAGTGCTCGAGTCATCGAGTGGTGCGTGAGAGGAAGTTCAACACCACTTTCCGAATGAACTCAACTCTGCTGACTTTTTCTTTGGCTGGGTGTATTTCCACTTCGTGCTGAGGTCACCAAAAGTTTACTTTACTTCAACCCTGCTTTCTTTCAGCCTCACTTTGCTCTTCTGTCAGACAGAGACAGAGACCAGTTTTGGGTGTAAATAAATTTCCCAATTTTAGAACATTTTAATTTCCTACTCAATCGTTGAGTTGAGACTTATTATTTTATTTCCGTTTTCAAAGTTGGGTTTCAGTTGTTTTCTTAATTAGGAAATACACGTCAAAGTGTGAAGTGACGCACAACTATGGCTTCGCAAGGTTTGTCCTCAAATGATGAGGTCAAGCTCAACGGGGATGTGCAGACCGAGACACCCGAGGAGATCGTGGACGGGGTGAAAAGCTCGAAAAAGTTAGACTTCATGACTGCTTGGTTTATTGGCTTTTGGTTTGATTCTGGATTTGTGGTTTGTACAGGAACAAAAGGAAAAAGAAGGGAGGTCAAGGTGACAAGGCTGACCAGACACTACTAGAGAAAAAGACAGGTGCGGAAAATTTGGAAATTGCAACGACTGAAGGAGCCACGTCGACGGAACAATCAGCGGAACAGCCAGTAATCTACATGGAGGTATGGTTGGAATCGATATGATACGATTTTAATTGAAGTAGGTAAAAAGTATATTTATTTCTCACCAAACACAGGAGTTACGAAAGGCTATGCAAATAATGAAACTGCAACCCAGACCTCCAAGAACATCTGAAGAGGCATTGGAAAAACGATTCGATTTTTGGTCAACACAGCCTGTGCCCAAACTCGGTAAGTTAATTGTATTGGTGTAAAACGAGATGATGATATTGATGGTATATAGTTTAATTCTATAATTTAGACGAGAACGTGACTTCCAATGAACCGATTGAACTTAACCTGCCAAATGACCAAATTCGACAGGAGGCTTATACACTCCCCGATGGCTTCGTTTGGGACACAATGGATTTGGAAGATGCGAAAGTGGTACATAATAATCATGTTATCTGTTTTCAGTGGTGTTAGTCAAATTTCTCAGCTATTTCTTTTACTTTTTACAGTTGAAGGAGTTGTACACATTGTTAAATGAGAATTACGTGGAAGATGACGATTGTCTATTTAGATTTGACTATCCACCAGAATTTTTGAAATGGTATGTTCATCAATTTAATAATTATGTGTTACTTGTATTACTGCAGAATTTTGCTGCCACATTTATTTAAAAAAAAAATAATAATAACAGGGCGCTAAAACCCCCTGGATGGAAATTGGATTGGCACTGTGGTGTACGCGTAGCAAAAAATCGAAAGTTAGTCGGGTTCATTTCTGCAATTCCAGCCTCTGTTGGAATTCATGACCGGTATGAGTTGTATAATTGTTTTTACAAACATTCTATGTATCACTTACTTTGCTCCTCTATTTTTTGTAGACAAGTGGAAATTGTGGAAATCAATTTCCTGTGCGTTCATAAAAAACTACGATCAAAGAGGGTAGCTCCTGTCTTAATTAGGGAAATTACTAGAAGGGTCAATTTGAATGGCATTTTCCAAGCGGTGTATACCGCCGGTGTGGTTCTTCCGAAACCAATTACCACTTGTCGATATTGGCATCGATCCCTGAACCCCAAGAAACTAATTGAAACCAAGTTTTCGCACTTGACCCGAAACATGACACTCCAGCGAACCATTAAACTATATAAACTTCCAATGCAACCCAAGTGCAATCTTCTTCGCCCACTAACGAAAGCTGATATTCCAGGTAGTCACATTTAAAGTTTGATATTGATTTTTTTTAAATAGTCAGAATATTTCTGCACCCAACATTACTATTAAGTAACTTGAAAGTAATGAGAATAGCATAACATAAATTAGTAGAACAAGGACGAGGAGCGAATCAAATGAGAAACAACCCTTTGGCATATCATGTTGTACCGAAAATATGATATAGAAAAAGAGAATATTACAAAAATTAAAATTAAATAATTAAAATTAAACCATATTTTCTACCCTGACACAGGTGCTTGTGAATTATTGGGTGCATATCTTCAAAAATTTAAGTTGCGCCCAGAGTTCAGCTGTGACGACTTTGAACATTGGTTCCTTCCTCGAACCGACATTATTGATTCATTTGTAGTTGAGAAGGATGGAAAAATAACTGGTACGCAATTTCAGACTTTTTTACGTGTTGATAATAGTTAATGATGCGATATCTGTATAAACATCATAATTATTATTTATTTTGTAATGTGCAGACATGATAAGCTATTACACCTTGCCATCCACCGTGGTCAACAACCCTGTTCACAAATCAATCAAAGCAGCCTATGCTTTCTACAATGTTGCAACAACAATGAGTTTGCAAGACCTCATATTGGATGCGTTGGTGTTGGCAAAAAACGTACATTTATTACTACAATTTGTCAATATAATTTGGTGTGCTTCATTTAAATTATCATATATTTTTGGTATTTAGAGTGGATTTGATGTGTTCAATGCATTGGACCTGATGGACAATAAGCAGTTTCTAGAAAATCTCAAGTTTGGAGTTGGGGATGGAAATCTTCAATACTATTTGTACAATTGGCGATGCCCAAGTGTAAGCCCTCAAGATATAGGACTTGTCCTACAGTAATGGATGTGCCATTTGGATATTTTTCAATAACAAAACAACAACCGGCTTACAATTATTCAATCCTAAAATTACATAAAACAACCGAAAGTCAGAGCAGTTGATATTCTTCATGAACCAGTCCATAGTCATTTTTTCCATTGGTTTAGTATTTTTACAATCGCAATTCTTGTATTCTGCTATGATACTAATGATACATAACATGTATGTATGTATACGGTTACCTCAAGTTAATTCTTCAGCATTTTACAATAACTTTCAATACAAAATTAAGTCGTCTCCCCCTCTCTTTGTTATGGTTTTAAATTCATTAAGTTATCCAATTTATTAAATAGATTTTTATAAGTAGATTTTCTACCATTTCCCGGTTAATTGCTATTATGTTGTTTTCTGAATTGTTACTATTTGCTTCACTGATTCTATTCTGCACATATTTCGCTTTACCACACTAAAAAGAATATAAAGTTGAAAGATTTAGTTTGGTTCCCTAATAACCTAGTTGGTTATTATTAGGTTGCTTGAACATTTAATTAAACAAAAGTAGCCTCCAATTCGGTAGGTTCGGTCGTTGCGTTCGTCAACATTGTATTATAATGTTTTGTTTTCATGAAATAAAGGTTGTATGCTTCAAAATAAATGAATAATCTACAATATATGAATAACATGATTTTATTACGCTATACATCCGCTATCACCAGTGATAAGATTTTCATGAGGGTTACTGTGCGCTCTCCCTTCGCCCCAATCAAAGCTCTCTGAGAATTGTCTTCATAACTCTTAATTCTCAATTGTTCCGGCATCTGATGAAGGGGATGCAAGTGGCTAATTAGCCCCTTAACTTTAATGGAACTTACGATTTCGACTAAATGGCGTATTTCATGCGATATTATCGAATATCGGCAGCAGCTTCCGGTGTCGAGTGGCACTCCATGGCTTACTCCTTATTCCGCCAGACTTCGATGTAACCTGGCCTTGCCTCTTCTTCATCTGTCGGTCGGTGCTTTCCTCCCTCTCCTCAAAATACCTCAAAATTTGACAATTTTCTCCCGACACAGTTTCAAAGAACTGACTTGCACCCTCACACCCACGCTTTGACAGCAACATCAGACCCATTCACTCATCACCTGGCTAATAAAACACATGATTTAATTTCTCATCGTTTTTACCAACTGAACTGTGAAACCGGTGTGTCGTTTCAATCAATTAAATCTCATACTTTTTACTCTCTTTTTGAAGGTCACAAAAAGTTTAAAGGAATGCCGAGACAGATTGTTGATTAAAAGTTTTCAGTTTTTAGATTCAGTCGATTTTAGTCTGTCGTTTTGGTACTTTTTGGTCTTTAACACTTTTAAAATTGTGTATCGATATTATTCATTCGTCTTGTTAGAGTGAGGTGAAAGTTTATCCGTTCCGGTAAGTTATGGTTGGAGGTACATTTTTACAAGTAGTTGTTTTTGTGTAGTTAGTCCTCAATTCAGAATTAATGTTTAATGTTGCTATCATGGTTTGCAGATAGGGCTTCAAAATAGGAATGGTGTGTGGGAAGGAAGAGGATGGTGTCGTGGACATGGTTATGGAAGGAAACGGTGAAGTGGACAAGGCAGTGTCCCCTCCACCTCAGGTGCTTATCCTCGACATCGGCTCCCAATATTCAAAACTGATCGACAGAAAAGTCAGGGATCTGAATATCTATTCCGAAATTGTACCTATTACCACAACTGTTGAGGAAATCACCGAAAGCCGAGCAAAGTATGAAGGGATTTCATGATCTCTGAATTATCAACCTTTAAAATTCCTAACATTGATTAGGTCCGAAATGTAGCTTTTGTAACCATTTGTTAAATTTGTGCAGGGCTATAATCATGTCCGGTGGACCGAATTCTGTGTATGCTGAAGATGCACCTGTTTATGATAAACGAATATTTACATTGGGGCTTCCAATACTTGGAATTTGTTATGGCATGCATGTAATTAATAAGGAGTTTGGGGGTTCAGTCGCCAAGCTTGATGCGAGGGAAGACGGAGAATATATTGTCGATGTAGAAAGTAGGAGTCGATTGTTTAGGTGAGTTATTGAAAAGAATTGTATATAAATTAAGCTGAGCAGTTAATCTAATTGTGTGTATCTATCAGAGGGCTAGATAGGAAACAATCAGTTTTACTAACTCATGGAGATAGTGTATCACGCGTTGGAGATGGTCTTGTTCCAATTGGTTCTTCTGGGGACATTATAACAGCCATTGCGAATGAATCACTCAATATATATGGACTTCAATTTCATCCTGAGGTATACATGGTTCCTTCAACATTGCACATCATCTAGATTCATCATTGGATTAGTGCGATTTAAGGATAAAATATCATACATACTATTTTATTTACTACTCAGGTTGATTTGACACCGGGTGGCAGAACAATGCTGAAAAATTTTCTTTGCGATATTGCCAATATACCCCCAACATACACTATCCGCTCTAGGGAAGCTCAATGCATCGAGTACATTCAAGACTCAGTTAAAAATAATAAAGTCCTAGTGAGGGAACACAAATCGTTTAATTAATTGTTATTAATGTTTTTTTGCTCTTAATTTCTAATCGTACATCTATTTTAGATGCTCTTAAGTGGTGGAGTAGACTCTACAGTATGTACGGCCTTGTTGAAGAAAGCGCTCAGAGAAGATCAAGTGGGTTGATAAACTAATTCAATATTTGGTGGTAATGATTGTCAGTGGTTCTAATTTGTATGAATTTAAGATAATTGCGGTTCACGTGGATAACGGATTTCTTAGGAAAAATGAAAGCGATGCTGTGGAGTTGTCATTAGCCAATTTTGGTCTTAAAATTCTTGGTGTGTATACCTATAACACCATTAATTAAACTTACAAGTTAATATTCTGATGATATCTTCTAACAATATTCTAGTTGTACGTGCTGCGAATGTGTTCTATGTTGGCACAACCAATATCCCATTGGACCCTCAAAACCCTGCAAAGGCTGTTCCATCTACAACAACATCTAAACAACTTTCATTTGTGTCTGAACCTGAAGAAAAGCGTAAAATAATTGGAGACGTTTTTATGCACGTTAGTTGGTTTATGCGTTTCAAAATTATTCCTTGGTAAGGATCTTAATGATACAAGGTGGTTTTCCCTGTAGGTTGCCGAAAGTGTGATATCGTCCTTAAATTTGAACCCTGAGGAAGTTCTGCTTGGGCAAGGAACGTTAAGACCAGACCTTATAGAATCTGCCTCTCACTTAGTATCTGGAAAAGCTGATACAATTAAAACACATCGTAAGTTTCTGGTTGGGATATTTGAGAATAGATTTAGACTGAACACATCATCATTTAACCTTTTATTTTTAATGATTTTCAGATAATGACTCTGGTTTGGTACGTAAGCTACGTGACCTAGGTCGTGTTGTCGAACCCCTGAAGGACTTTCACAAGGACGAGGTACATAATTGAAGACCATAATATAAGTTAAATTATTGATAAACGAATTATAAAATGGGGAGATTTAGAAGGGAGGAATATTTTAATAAGTACAAAATTTCTTCTGATACGCTCTCCCAAAAACAAATTGTTGGATGACGAACACTCTTATGTACATCAGGCTTGTACTTTAGGCTACAGTCATCCGCACAGACTAATAATTAATTACTATGCGCAAGCAATCCAAACAATAGTAAATCCTTGATTGATAACCTTAATGTTTCTGTTTCACAGGTTAGGACATTGGGGAGGGACTTGGGGCTTTTACCTGAGTTGGTAGACCGACACCCTTTCCCTGGTCCTGGACTTGCAAGTAAAGTGATAGAATTAGCTTCGTGGCGTGTATTTAACCTAAAATCGAGTCCCTAAAATCTACTACTCAACTAATGAAAATTGCATGACAGAGTTATAAATTTTAACTGAATTTTTATCATTCGTGTAAAAGCACAAAAGGATAAGCAAATGAAAAGAAAGATACAACTAGCGACAACCAAATTTTGGTAGAAGTAATTTTGAATTGATATATATGATCGAACACGAGTGAAATTGAATTGTTAAGGTTGTCCAATTTAATTGAACGATAAGTAACTGTCGTTTTGGAGAGAAATGATACACCCTCTCCAAATTTTGGGTCTACAGCCACAAAAATATGCTAAAATTCATAACTATATCTACATATATTCTTTCTGTTTTCTTCCAGTTCGCGTACTTTGTGCTCTTGAGCCTTATATGGAAAGTGATTTTGCTGAAACACAAGTAATTTACTTTTATCTATTTATTACTAATTAAAGTACCAAATTGCTGTTTTATTAACTTATCAAATATTCATTTTCAGGTGCTTGTTAGATTAATAGTTGAATATCACAGTATGGTACAGAAGGTAATTTAATAAAATGTATATATTATGACTATGAGATACCCCGGTACATACAATGTTCTCACCCATTTTTTGCTCGTGAAATATAGAGCCATGCGTTATTAAATCGAGTGGATAGCGTGTGTAACGAAGACGAAAAGAAGAAACTGATGAGTATATCTTCAAGACAACATCTTAGGTAAGTTATCTGCTTTTACATCTTATCATCATGAATCGTGAGTGATTAATTTAATTTTGGTATTTTTCCTTAGGTCAACATTGTTGCCCATAAGAAGTGTTGGGGTACAAGGTGATAAGAGATCCTATTCGTATGTGTCTGCGATTTCGTGTGATGGCACACCTGACTGGGGTGACCTTATGTTCCTTGCGAGAGTTATTCCAAAAGTGAGTGTCTTCCGTCAGTCATACCACTAATCCAACAATATTACTAATTCCATTGCTTATTTTGCCCTTGATTTCATGAATCATATAGGTTTGTCATTCAGTAAATCGGATTTGCTACCTGTTTGGTGATGTTGCTAAGGAGCCTATCACTGAAATAACGCCAACCTTATTAACACCCGATGTCCTTACTACTTTGCGAGAATGCGACAACTTAGCACATACAGTGAGTTTGTATTGCCAGGCTTAACTACTTGACACAGCTCTAACCTTTGATATTTGATCACAGGTTTTACATGAATCCGGTTGTACTAAGAAGATTAGCCAGATGCCTGTTGTTTTAATCCCAATTCATTTTGAGAGGGGACCCTTAAACCGAAACCCGTCTTGCCAACGCTCTGTGGTGAGAATATTATAATTATATTTTTTAAACAACAATACATATCGGTTTCAATTATGATTAAAATATGAGAACAAACAGTATTGCTCTTTATTGATATGCTCAGATATGATTCGACAAAACAATTTATGTTTCAGGTGCTGAGGCCTTTTGTAACGAATGATTTTATGACGGGCACTCCAGCAATCCCAGGAAGACACATCCCAGTGGAAGTAGTTAACAAAATGTGTCAAAAAATTGAGAACGTTCCTGGTATTTCTAGAGTGTTGTATGATCTAACGTCGAAGCCACCAGGCACAACGGAATGGGAATGATAAATTATTTTTTTCTAAGGTTGGTGTCCGTGTCGGTTCGGTTTATTATCATGTCTATTATCACTCACGATTCACTGCTAAATTAGTACATGGGAGGAATTTAATAATGTTGTACAAGTTGTACTTCTGTACTTCTCTTGACTTGAATTAATAATCCAGGATTAATCAACAAGCAAAAAAATTGTAAACAATTGCTTGTTGACTGATCATTTTTTGATGGCAACAGCTTTTCTAATTACAATAATTGAATTTAATAACGAAACAAAGTACGCAATGAAAGCATGTTTTTCTTAAAATTAAACTTATGCGAATTTATTATCCTTTTTGCAAATGATTAAAGTAATAAATTAAAATTGGTCGGTCATCTAAATCCGGAATTGTGTCGTAATAATTTTATAAACGTCTCATTTTTTTATGTTCACATATGCAGATCCTCTCCCTACTTGTTTGGTACAGAACTTTTATTCATACGATTTAAAATATCACATATTGCATTTTATTGACGGCAAAGTGCTATTTAACATCAGCACATAGTTTACAAAAATGAGCGAAATATATATTTATCAACAACTTAATGCTCATGTAAATTCATGTCTACATCATAAAACTTTGATTTTACAACTGTGTTTGCACAATGCACGAGTTCTAAAAGGCTCAGTCTTCCGTTTTTGTCCTTGTCAGCCAAGTTTATTAGCTCCTTTGCATCTCTTCTTGAGTGGTGCAAGCTTCGTGGATCCATGTACCGCTACATGTGTGCATAAAATAGCATATTAGTCTATTTAGATAAGTATAAATAATATTTATACACGCAATTGAGTTGTTTCAGTAATGTTATTTCCTGAGTCGACTTGTTCAGAAAATTCTTGTGACTGATTGAAGCCATCTTTCGAGGATGGTGAAAATGGGGAGAGAAAGTCGAAAGCCTTTCTCTGCAATTCGTTGCATGTCTGGTCGGTTGGTGGTGGTGATTGGCTACGGTGGGGAGAAAAGACGACTGGAGAAACCAACCAGCCCGAGAAAGTGGGTGAGAGGAAGGACAGTGTCGAGTACAATACCCGGGCTTTCCTGGGATGCCAAAAAAGAACTTCTGATCTAAAATTCATGGAATGGAATGTGGGCTCTCTTTCTCTCCCTCCGCTCCTGATACCCGGGTTCCCATCCGGGTTCCTGCCTGCCTTCCCCAAGTCCACCCTCCTCGTCAACCAGCAATTCCACTACGATGCATACATATGCACCGCATACGTATGCTGGCTGGAACCGGATTCTGCTGCAGAACTTGGTTTTCTGAGCTTGAAATTCAATATATATTGCAAATAACGCATTTGTTGACTGCTGGTGCTTCGCCGATCTCTAGTCCTTGTTCCGATCTCGTAGTCGTTCTCATCTTATGTAAATTGTCCTACCCAATTTCATCAATGGATATGTGTAAGAGGATTTCTCAGTCAGCATATAAACTCTATTACGAAAAATAGCAAAACAACTCCCTTGTCGGTAAAAAGTTCAATTTCGAATGGGCTCGTATTCCAATTGGAGTGCATGATATGTATGAGCCTGAGCCTGAGACGGAATTGTGTTCAATTATCGTATCTGATATGCATGCACTCCATAGAGTGAGATACTCTAGAGTGCTGCGTAGCTCTAGCCCTGTAAAATAATGAAAATTCTCGGAGTGTAGACCACCGAAGTTCAAGTATAGTTTTTAGTCCGAGACAGGGCTTATCTGTCATGTCGGTCCATCCGACCTGAGATAACTGTTGTGTAAAACTTATCCAATCGACTTGAAACTTGGTACACACTGAGGAATCGAGTTCGAATATGGTCAAGATCAGTAGTTACCGAGTGGGGCCATAAAGTTTTGGTTGTTGAATGTTGGTGCTGAATATTCGAAAATAGGAATAATCGTAGAAGGCTATATTTGAGTATCAAACTAATCCTAAGAGTAAAGTGTATAATGACCAAATAATTGTTGCAAGGATCTCATATTGTGACACTAGTTTTCTAAAATGGGGAAGAGCTGAGATTTAGCACGAACGCACTAGTGCATAATATGTAAGACATAGCAGATCTAAATTTCAGAAAAACGTTGATCAAGGAATCCACACTGACATTAAAAATCGGTCGAAGAAAGTTGCATACAAATTTCCCCAGGGTTTAAAGCTATATGATTAATTATTCGTGGTTATCTTAATGTTTAATACTAGCTGGATCACGTTAAATTTTGCATAGACTTTTTCGAACATGAACCTTACGATTAATTTGTCGAGTTTTATAAGCTGAATATAGAATTAATGCAATTTCCAATTTAAATATGTATGAAGTGATAACTGAAATTAACTGGTCGAACAAAACTACAGATGTATATCGATATAACCTGACTCGGGCTACACAAGAACGCGTACTGTAGGTTGTAATAATCATTATCTTGCGTAGACTGCCTGAATATGTGATGCCCATCTAATCATCTAACCTTTCTCTCATTGGGATAAAATAAAGAGAGAAGTATTAATTGTTGTATTAAGAGCATAGCATTTCGAGTGTTGGGAGGAGAGTGCAAGAGACAGGTTAAAGGAAAAGTCTCGCCCAGGCACAGGAAATGCCATTCGTGGAAGCTTTCACCGGAAATTGAAGGCTTTTAGGAATCAGTTAAGTAGAAAAATTGCAGAGAAATGAGTCTAGAGCAATTTCCTGGACGTTGCACGAAGGAAGCAAGTTAAAAGGGAGATTATAAATATATCTCGCCCACACTGTTATAAGAGCTTCTCCTGCACACTCTGGATTTCTTTAGCACATCGGCTAGTTAGCAAAGTGTGAATAGATAAAAGATACAGAAAGCCCAGATAACGAGTCAGAGAGGAGACGGCCAATCTCTCACTCACTTCTCTAAATAAATTGATGAATTCCTTTGTTTCACTTTCACTTACCATCAACTCAATCCTGCTAATTTCTCCATTGCCATCTGCGTCAATTACATGTTTGTCATGTTTATAGATCGGGTCTACCCCTTCGGCATGCTTGTAAGTGGATTCAAACTCTTCGTCTGTTATCTTTCCATCACCGTCCAAATCTATTAAAAATACGTTTTTATAATTTATTTTTGACCTGCTTACACTCTGTAGATAGTTCACGGTGGTCTATCATCTGAGAATGCATTTTGTAATACCAAATGTTGTAAGCAAATCTTCTACGTTGGCAATTATTTTTGTTGGTGAAGCTTCAGGATGTTCAAACGCTAGAAATTCGTCAACGGTCAAGAATTCTGGGTCATTGGAAGCTGCTTCGGACCAACTTGCTTGTACTCTCGCAATTGCCACTATATAAAATAAATAACACACATTTCTGAACAGTTCCATTGACAAAACCGGTCGAGAAAAAAAATTAGTAAGTAAACTACAAATAGAGAAACCTTTCATATCTTTGGAAAGTGCCATGAATGGCGGTGTTCTATTGTTCACATCATCCGCAGTGACCCCTGAGATGGATTTGGTCTGGAAAAAGAAATTCAGGTATTCTTCCCACGAAACGAGACCTAATCAAGAAAATGAAACAACAATTCAGTATCTAAAGTACGATATTCCGAGAGAGCGCAACTATTGGTCTAACATAAAATGCAAATATTTATCCAGTGCAAACAAAAGTAGCTACAATGCCTTTTATTCGGGTAGTCAATAAAAGTGTATCCTTTCTTGTGCAAATACCATGACTGAGGAAGAGTGTATTAGGGAGATTATTGTGGCCGTGAAAGTACAATAAAATGTACCTCCAGTATTTTGTCATACCAATAAATATGCACAAGGGTACAGGTTTCTTGGATAACTATTTGCTAATTTCAACTATCTACTTATTTCTTAGTTTCTTGAGAAATAAGTATTGACGACAATAAGCTACGCGTAATTAATAGCACTTGGGTTTCTAATTAAGATTAGCACAACTTCTCAATAAATCAAATTAACATTTTAAAAAAAATTAACATTAAAATTAAAAAAATGTATAAAACAATAAGTGCATGTACCGTTCTTGGGATTAGTGTCAATATTAAAATAATGGTCAAAGTTATCCTTCATTGCGTTTTCAAAATGCATGGCAATTGCATTGTTGATGTAGAGTGTGAGTTCTTCTTCATCCAAAAGTCCGTTTGCATTTTTATCAGCCCTGTACATACATTTGAAGTATTCTTATTTGTGTACTAGTGAAGAATGGTAACTAGTAAAATTTTAATTTTAAGCTTTGCAAACACCAACCTGTGAAAATTTCGCGCGAGTCGATTAATAATTGCAGCGGCAATGATTCCGACATTTTTGGAGTCGTCGTTATCCTCGAGCCCATTTAATTTAAGCAAATGATGGCCAAAGGACGATATTTCTTTTCGTAATGGGGAGGAGGCAGGTTTGGTTAAAATATTTAGTTTGGCATTGTCAGTCGTTCCTCCGAGGGAGGAGTGGACGCTAAGGTAAAAGAGACCAAGAGCAAGGATCAGCGTCACAGCCTTGGCCACCACTGCACGAGCTCGATTTGTCCCACAAGACCATCGCGTATATTTCCTCCTACGCTCAAATTGCCACAGTATTTCTGCCCATAGGCCAAACATTTCCGTCGCCCAGTTTGATAAAGGTCTCCGTAACCTTTGCTTATTCACCTTTCACCGCAATCACATCGTCGCACTGTATTGAAGCTGATTATTGTTATGGACTTTCATGTTTTCTCGTTGGCATGTACCACCACCACATCTCGAGCTTAACTAACGTTTTAAGCCAATTCACTTAACTGCATTTCACTTAACCCTCTATACATACTTATTTGCATGTATGCACATATGTGCATACGTACTCCTGGCAATTGTTGGTTGGGGTTTGCTCAAAACTTCAACTATGAAATTGCGTTATTGTCTGCAGGACACGTTTTTGCGGTTTTTGCTGATGCAGATGGTCCGAAATGAGCAAACTGTCGTCTCTTGGCTAATTTTCTAATTTGTCTCACCACAAAATTGACAGTGACAGTAGAGCGACGCTGAAAACTAATGCTAAGGTTTACATTTTGTGCATTGCACGCAGACAAAAAAATCTTGCGGTGTCTTAATTGCTCACAAAATCATTTATCTTGTATATCTCATTGAGGTTTTTGAACTTTTTGATATATTTTCCTGTCACACCTTACGTATTTACTAGGATCACAGCGATTAGCTCTGGTACCGCACAGACGCTCACTGACGAAATACTACTGAAGAGACCAGTTTAAATAAGTGATAGTAATGAATTTATGTATGTACGTATGTAATTTGTATCAAGCAGCTCTGTTGTGTGTATGTTTACTTGGTTTGCCAATGCTGCGTTGTTCTTGTAATTTGTGAAGAAAGATGATCTTACATCTGAATGCACTTGGGTTGGAGAACCCGTTTATAAATAAATACGCACAGCCCAACAAGATTTCTGTGGAGTTTGGTGCACTTTAATGGATGAAGAATCAAAGGAGGTCATACTTCTTTGAGAATGCATCCTAGCGTTGCAGGTAACCAAGAGATTTGAATACACGAAATGGAAAGCAGGTCAATCCTAAAGCACAATATTCACGGATACATTCACTTTTCTTTACATAGCTCGTATACACACACGTTCGTAGACTTGCATCCTATTTAACAAACGATCTCTGCATTTGTGTTAACTAAATAGTCGGCAGGAGCTACTGCAACACGCAGAAATATACATATTAACAGATATTAGAGTAGCAAATATTATTTTACACAACGAATCCCCATACTGAGAGTCTCACTACACACATCCTACATTTTTCTGCAAATTACATAAGCGAAAGGTACTTGTTACGCGTTTAAACAGGCAAACAAAAATATATTTCTTGACAATGGGAAGCAGTTTTATCAGTAACTCATTGCAATTTATGACATTTTTAACGACACGGAATACTTTAATATGTATCAATTGTAAAAATTGCAATAAGCTTTGAATTATTTCATTTCAGTTTGACTCCGACTTCTCATAATACAAATTTATACTCAGCAAACAACTGTTAGAACGGGTTAATACTCGTTTAATTAATTTATGCTAGGGAGCATTTTAGTTAATAATTAGGAGAGTTCACGGTCCGTTGCGTTCTTCATTAACTCACTGACCTGAACTCTGGCTCCGCTCTCCTGGGAAATTCAGATGTTTGTACGAAATCAAAAGTCTGTGTGCGGGGCTTGTGTCAAATGAACTCTCGTTTTATCTCTTTCTGATTCGTTCATTGATAACGCATGTAAAATACCGTACGAGTAACATTAATAATACTAATAAGTATCATTCTCATCATGAAGCAATGATCAAGTCTGCGGAAAATATGACGGGTAAATCCTTCCTTTCTGCCTGCCTGCTCCTCTCCATCTTGATTACTTGGTCTGAAATTAATTCTGAAATCCTGGTATGAAATTATTTGTACACAATTTCGAAATTTGTACTCCCCCAGATATTGAGACTTTAATTATGAATCTGTTAGTTAATATCGTCTCGCTGCCCCTATTCAACGCCTTCTCAAGCGAAGAGTTTCGCCTCACAGAAAATAATCATGATTCTGGTTGTGTCTCCTTGAATCGAATCCTTAAATTTTCACCAATGATATCGAGCTGGGGTTATTTCCGTTCTGTTACAAGTTTTACATATTATTCAACTCGTATTGAAGTCGTGTACTGACAGATGGACAGGCTGTTAGACTAGCTGCTGTTAGGTTAGGTGTTGAACTAGTAAATACGTGCTTCTGTAGTACAAACAATCAGTGTCGTATCTGGTTCATTTCCTATGATCCAACCAAGTCTTGCTTGTTCATCCCTCAGTATTCATTCCTTCTCCTCACGAAGCAATAAGTGAGAAGAGACACCATGGAGCTTGGTTATCATTGCCTATGATACCACCTCGCTTTCTCTCCCCGGTTTTGTTGGTCTCCTAAATTTCCTGTGAACCCTATTCATTCGTCTATGATGGAAGTTGAGTGGAAGTCGGTGGAATCGTCATGCAACACCCAAACTCGTCTCCTGGTCTGGACGTAACAACATCCGTTTCCTCACTGCGGTTGGCAGATTGTATTTATTACAGTTTATGCCATAACGCTAAATACTACTACAAACCAATGCAAAGATGTGTAGCAGATTAAAGGCGTAGAACATATTATTCAATCTCAAATCCAGATTTCCAACCATTTTGCATTATAAATAAATATGTCATCACCATTAAATTTGTATGAACAATAAGTGACGAATTAGTGCAAAGGACGAAGAAATATTGTATTAAGAAATTCTTTAGTATTCTCGGTAATTTAGCGCATTTTGTTATATATGACCAGGTTAGGTATATATATATGTATGCAATTTTATTGCATAAGTGCTCTACTCACTGGCCGTGACATTTAGTTTTTGAAGCTTCTTTAGAATGTTCAACTATCATGTTTACATAAAAAACAAATATTTTGTCTCTTCCCTTCATGAATTCCTGTAGTTAAAGTAAATTGTAGTAAGAATTAGGAAAGAATTTCAGTAATGGTTAAACCATGCTGATGAGGAAACGTCCTGCATTTCAACGCTGCATTTCTTCCTTTCAGTTTTTTTCCCTTCTGCGAGATAGGATCTAGGTAAAAATCGTTTGTTTTAATATTCGAATACTGTGCCCAAGATTTATACCGTCTCGTTTAAACAAAAAAGAGACGAATTTATGAACAAACGAATTCTTTCATCAGCGGCCTTAACAAAACGCTGTTGGCCCGAAGGGAAATGAAGATTTGCAAACACATTGCATGAAAACGAGGAGCAGGTATTTGCTTACCGTGAATATGCTCACTTGTCTTTTCTCCATTGCCCTCAATGTCATCGGCCGGTATCTCTTTTCTGCTTGATTTAACCCGAGACAAAGAAAAGTTTTCGCTGTCCGTGCTCCATCCATAGTCTCCGTTTGCTAATGTTCCTATGCGAAGGAGGACCATGAATGCGCCACACAATGAAAACCCTTCTTCAAACACATCCTGAAATCAAAGACTGGAAGTTGCCGTCCACTTTTGAAGAATCAAGGATCCGTGCTTTGACAACAATGAGTCTCTCATGTACTTGAAATTGCATAGACTTATTGGATTACATTATGTTGCCTTAAAAGTTGTCATGTTGGTGGATTCTTCGTCTCCTTCGACGACTAGCAGCGTGTCATTTGGGTTCATCCTGTACTCCTTTTTGTGGATTTTAGAAGGGTTGGTTCAATTGTGAGCCGTTGCAGTGAAGGAGACGACTAGGTTCCATCTTTCCATCATCATAACCATTGTTGTCTTCTGTACGTACTTTCGTAGGTAAAGAATGGGAATATTTGGTTGGTTCAAGACAGAATTTGGGTCTGGAGAAGGATGCGACCGAGTTGTGCAGAGAGACGACGAAGGAAAAAGAAGGGAGCAAGAGAGGAGTTATTACTGGAAGGCAAAATCATGGACCAGTTGGAAATTTGGATCTAGTTGGTTCCAAGCTCTGTCCCTGCTCACTCCTCAGTTTTCACCAGAGGTCAAAAACACGCGTTGCTCATGTTGTTGGTGCCATATCTCTCATCTCCTCTTAAATAAAAGACTAACGAATGCAAACAATAATGCACATACTTTGTGTAGGCGTGTGCGTCCTCATCGTGGTAACGTAACCAACAAACTTTCGTAATTGATTGGATTACCTGCATTCGCAATACCGGTTTCTCATGTGTCACAGCCGTACTACGGAGAAACCTCGGATATACATATTATGTTCGCTAGTAGAATAAGCTAACCATTTGAAGCTGATCGGTGACTACAAACAATGTTATTTTGTGTATGTACGTACATATACATGTGCTATTGAAACCATTTAAACGTTTGAAAATACATACACGTATACATACTTGGTGTACATCGAGGAGCAGCTAATGGCGAAATTGTACTACTGTCACACGAAGAAATTAAATGAAACGGATTTCCGTGTGAAATGGGCTAATTCCAATTCGATTGTGTATCAGAGTGTTTATTGGTAACAGTAATAATAGTAATAAAATAAAACCACCATAGTAAAGTGTTGGTTCTGTGTTCATGTGTATGCAATTTACTCGAACAACTATCAATTTCTCAGTCAGTAAAACGGGAGGATGATAATAGTGTGCAACGTAACTTATTTTAGTCGGTTGTGCGAATGTGTAAGCAAAGAAAAGACGCTAGATTTTAAGAGAGAGTGAACCGATAAAATAGAGATTCATTTTCAATATTGCGTTTATTTATTGTCCTGTATTTGTCACATAGACATTGACCAACGCCAATCTACTCGAAACAATCCAGGGGAAAATGAAAGCCAGAATAAAGTAAATAAATTCTAATGTTGAGAGCAAGGACGACAATAGTGGGCAACAGGAACTTTTGGTAATTCCAAATATATTGGGCAGGATCTTGTCTTCAGACGAAGGATAAAATTTGTCAACCCTTCTCATCATTATTGGAGAAATTCCTGGCGCAATACGTAAGTAAACTGAAGATCAGAGTCGTTTTCTGTGGAAGAAATAATGTTTCATACATAAAGTGACAGTTGTTGGTGGCTCTAGACTCTGGAATGTGAGAAAGTTGTGTTAGTGTCGTGAATAAAGTTTGTCGTACTTGGTTGAGCGAGGAACAAAGTTGGCAAAAGTTACAGACTCTGACCACCAAAATTGCAACGAGAAGAACAAGTGTTATGGCGTCCACTCTTACGTTCATCGGGATTGTCTGGGCATTCTTCTCCTTAAGCGCAGCTCTTGTGGCCTGTTGCGGATTTTATTTACCATTTTGGATCAATGTGCGTAATACCTCAATCTCTATTATTTTTTATATATTGGTGTATGTGCATAGTTGCTAGTCAGTAAGGCATTTCAAGCCATTGAGGGTCTATACAATGGATACATAATATTGAATACCGTATTGTATCTCATAGTGTAACATGCTTCGATATGAGAACTCTTGTTTGTGGTATCGTCTTACTCTGTCTTCCTTAAAAACACATTTTCCACTAAAAGCCTCTCGCAGAGATAAAAACTGTTACATAAAAAAGCGATGCTCAGTTGAGGATGATCAGAGGGAAATGAACCGTTTCTTCAGTATGCTAAGTATTAATTCATTGACAGTCTTAACAATTGTTTTTGTATTTTTATTTCAAGGGAAAATTGCTAGCAGAGACTGACACCAGTTTTGGAAGTTTCATCAGATGCGGGTTTCCGTACATGGGTCCTTCTGGAAATTTAGAAATCACTTCGCAATGTGGGAGATACTCAAGGTACATCAATTCACTCATTCTAATAGTTTCGGCATAAAATTGAGCGCATCTTCAACGTATGTGGTGTAGAAGTAGTATGTACGTGGGTATGGTTAATGTTCGTGAATAAATAAAATTTTTACAAGCCTAGTAAATAAACTAGTTTGAAATAGAATGGTCGTCTTGTTTTCTATTCCAATGTTCTCCATTTGAGCTGGGGATTTAAAATTTAAACTCCTTCATTAATTCATGGCTTTTGTAAACCTTGTCCCTGGTTAATCCATTCCTTTCCATCAAATGGAATTGATTAATTCCAAAAAAACAAACAGCGAGTTGGTTAGTCCGACTCATCCTCAGACAACACAACAGAGGGTCATTTAAATATTTATACAAATTCCTTAAAATACTTTACACAGAACTATGTAGTCTTTCCGCTACTTTTCCTCACATAAGCCACTAATCTACAGAGGAAGGCTATCTGAAGGCTTTAGAACTTTACAGCAAGTTGATATCTCAAACCTTGTCTGCATTTCATGTAAATATTATATTGAGAGTGATTATAACGATGGAATTTCGCCTGAGAAGCCAAAAGTTTAAAGATGATGTGAATCCATTTATTCTCTATTGAGTCAAATAGGATTGAATCACGACGAAGAGCTGGTGCAAATGTTCCTAAGGATAAGTTAGTTTGAACCACGTTGTTGTTCCAAGGCGAGTATCAGTCTCTTGGTCGTAATGTCATTAGCGTGGCTAAAGTTTGAAAACAATAGTAATCTCTGGATGACATGGGGAAAGTTTGAAGAGAATTGGTGGACCACATAATGTATTAAATGCAATTTATGGCACAGAATTCATGAAACCAAAAGCGTACCACGGCATATGTCCCATTAACCTCAAACTTGGACTTGTATATTTTCTAAGGAAAATAGAATAGATCAGGACAACATGGTCTAAAAATCGGTCCAACGCTATTGTCGCCTAAAAGTATAGAGGGTTGACCCCATAACCCGTGGTTCCTTCACTTCCGTACGAGCGAAGAATTAATATATGTGCTAATAGTACGAGCTACGGGTTCACGACCACCGCAACTGACATGGTTTTCTGTTATATAACAGGAGCATAATGCGTATGTTCTGCTGATTCAGAGAAAACAGGACTTTGAGGGAAAGTTCAGTTCTTTGAGTCAAGTGCAGCCAGTTATTTGGTTTGGTTAGGAGCGTAAAATCGGCTACGAAAAACTAATTTGGGAAATTCGTTCAACTGACAAAGCATATTGAAAATTTTCCATTTCATTATTTTCCTCATCTGGCATTCCACCAACACACCACATAACAGCGAGACTAGCGTGGATGCCGCCTCCGCTAACGTCTTGCTCCCATCCCCTCCGTGAAATGCAAATTTGGTGAAAGGAGAAAGATGCAGTAGGCGGATGGATGGGATAAAAGGTCTTATTTCGCTATCAAGAGACTGATTAAAATTACGAAGGGTAGAAGCATTCAGATTTTATATGCAAATTAATTACATAAGGACAATCTCATTTCGTTACGTCTGAAACTGTTGGCTGAATCCTTCTTATTGAGGGCTAGGAAGAGGAGGACAAACGAAAATCAGGAATTCAGAACTCGTGCTTTGAAATAACTGCACCCACCGACCGGTCCCTATAAACTCATTGACTCATTTTCAGATACGCATAGATTGAGGAATATCTAAGTTATGGAAATTCACGGTTCTTCTAATTTCATTAAAGGCGAAGGATGAAAAGCTTATTAGGAGACTTAATTTCAACTCCTACTTACAAACGGGTGGGGTACATATGTATGTACGCGTATACATACCCATACACATAAATGCATAATAATCGAATTGAATCAAAGATGAAAAATTTGATTATGTACTCTGCCTGCATCTCCATTCTGTTCCATGCATTCGGATACGCACATTGATGATTGGGATTTTGATTAGTATACATAATAATTTATTCCCTGCATATTACCTTCTCTTGCAAAATAATGAGAAGTGAAACCTGGATTATTCTCCCAAACAGAGGAGAAAGTTTCTATTTTCAAGAATAAACTCAGACTGATTTATTTAATTTGCAGCTTTTGGACAATCCCATCAGGTAAATATTAACTCCTCACATTGATTAAAATTTAAATCAAGAGCAGGTTGGTTTAAATAGATATCAGTAATTTTGAAGTTATGTATTCTTCTTTCAGGTTGGTGGAGAGCAACCACTATTCTAACTGGGACTGGAACCACACTTTCACTTTTAGGTATTTTTTTATTTAATGGCCCATGTTTTAAAAATCCTAAACCTAGAAGTGTAAATTTGTTCATTTCTACTTTCTTCATATTTAGTCGGGCTGACGGCGTGCTGTTGTTGGTGCATTGGTGATATCGTCAGCTCAAGCACAGTGAAATTTGCCGGTGCTCTCCAATTATTTTCAGGTTTGTCAGCGTTTAAAATATTTAATCCGATAGAAAGTGAGTGCATAATAATGGAAATGCGGTTGTCTTCTCTAGTATATACACGTGCATATATGCTCATCTATAACATCTATATCCACGTAGAATACATGTATCTACATACTAAATAGGTAAATAGTTCAAGAGTTGGTTTGTGAGTGGAGTAGAATCCAATCTCAAGGGATTAGTTTCATACTGCTCGTTGAGAACGTATGAAATATTCACTCGCGACAGATTTATGAGTTATTACTCCAATTAAGTTCAACTTAATTAACTTGCTTGTAATCTGCATCTGTTAATTACAACCCCTCCGGGTCAGACTGGGGGAGATTGATGAGAAGAGATGGAGTTTTACTAGGATTGAGTCAAGAATAATTTGTTCTTTGGTGCAATTACTACTTTGTATTTGTTTCTGTAAATTTATGAATATTTCAGTGAAGCCAAGTATGTATTTGTGTAAATACTGAAAGAGAAAGTACATGTTTACTCCTAACAAAAATGTCCATCGTGTATGTTAGTTTGAAATACTCGCATTTTCATAATCGTCAGGAATTGAACTAATTCTATTTGTTCCTGACTTGAAGCAAGTTCAATACGCATTTGTGTCATTTGACGACTTAGATTACTGTGTATAACGAATCTAATAATTTATGCCATACTGAAAAAGCTTTTGGGGTGCTTAAATAATTCATGTCGTGTCTATGGAAGATTCACATTTACTCAACTTATGAGAGATCAAACTTAATGTGGGTTTGAAAGAGAAAAGATGAAAGAAGGCAAATTGATCGAACGAAGAGAAACTTGAAGGTACTGATCAAAGGAGGATAGAATTTTAATGTCCGCTTCTATTAGCTTTGCATCCACCGTACTTTCACCAAACCATCTCATGCCCAAAGATTCCAATTACATATGTATTGTACATACCTAGTTTACATTGATTAAATATGTTCCTTTCGAGGCTTTGAAAGGCAACATTTATCTCAAATTTTCTTCCATCAGGGTTGTAATTGACAAATTAAAAGGTAAAGGAGGTAAAGATAAAATGTATGTAAGCCATGTTTTTGTTCAAAATTTTTAGTTTGTGTACTATTGGTCGAGATTTCAATTTTGCTGAAGCTTTTATCTTCTTACTAAGACAATCTATGTAACAAAGATATATGCTGCATAGATACACATATGCTGAGTATGTAGAAAGGTTCTACACACATTATTTATTTATTTTCAATGCGCCAATTATTTCCCGTATTGTACAGAGAAATTGGATTTTATGCAAAAGAACAAAGTCTTGTGTTAAGAATATAGTGTGCTAAAGTGCTCCAAATGTAGGCATATATATTCCTTGATTCATACGTCCATAGAGTTTGATACACCGTGTTGTGGATGATAACGTATCTGATGTGTGACTATTGGCAAAAACAATGACATGGATTAAATGAATGTGGAAGGAGGCGATGGGAAGGCAATGACAGTGATGGTGGCCCCAAGTTCCAGATGCGTCCATATTTCGCCCTGTCAGAATCCTTGTTAATGTCAATTTCTGGTCCGTGTTGTAATGTTCACTTTCCGCTGGATTTTCTGAGAAAGTAGTTTCTGATGGAGAGAAGAACTGATGACGGAGCATTTCCAACGGAACACATCGAATAGTTTGTGTCTTGAAGGAAGGCATGACGAGAATGGATCACCGTTTTGTAAGCAGCAGCAGTAGGGCAAAAGTGTATGGGACAAATAACTAAAAGAACACACAGCGTTGGGTCCTGGAAGAAGGACGAGAGACGACATTTGAAATTTGATGTGATGTGAATGCAAATTCTACTTTTACTACTTATTACTGAGGTGACATTAGCATTTTTCAGCCTCCAAGCCCTGTTTCATATTTTATGCGATATTCATTCTTTGTCCCTTTTCACCACCACCTACCTTTTTGATCAACTAGCATCTTGCTCGAAAAAATGCGAAAATACAGCAAATGTATTGCTTAACTCGCTTCATTTTTATGGTTCGTTGTCCTTTCTGCCTCATATTCCCGAGGCAGTTTCAGTGACTGTCGACTCCACCACTTAGGTTTTTTTCATTCTTTTTTTAACAACAATAAAAGACTTTCAAAGGGAGTAAGAGACCCGAGGTTAGATAGTCGAGAAGCATCAAAACTGAGATCCATTATATAAGCACGGTCGAGGAGGAAATATGAAGGCAAGAGAGGTCCGGGCTGGGAGAAGAACATCAAAAATGTGGTCTGAACAATGAATGAATAACAACCTTCCTCCATTCCACTTCCTCGTCCCAGTTGGTGCTCGGGAATTATTGAGAAGCAAACAGGGACGTTCGTTTACATGCACACATATCTACTCAGGGCTTCCACCCGGGCGATGATTTTTAGGTCGTGAATTTTTTAGCGTCCTAGAGCACAAGAAGTTCTTTTAGTAGAAAATATGGAGTTAGCTTTTGCAATTTCTCAAATTGTGTACTAAAAACTACAATAACTTACAAGAATAAGCTTGCTAAACCAAAACATCGTATTAATAAATTATCGTGAAAAATGTAAAATTAAGACGTGCTCAAGAGCATAAATTTTAGCTGGCACTTTTGCCTTGCACAACTCGTAAGTAATTTACAATCTATCCATTTTTTATAATTTGTCTATTATCCACTATTCATCTCATCAGTTGTAGCTTCTCGAGTGTACATATTGATGGCGTATTGTGACCTATGTAAGTACATACTTGTGTTCATACTTTGGCTGCTGTTATATTTTGGAGGCAAGTTTTGGCAACAATGTCAATAATTCCTTGATTGCAACTAATTTAATTTCCTGATACTCTCTTCATCGCACTATTATTCAAATTCCTCCAAGGAAGGGGATATGCATGACGTACATATTTGCAAAGGGAAAAGTTGGGCAGTATTGAATATAGCGATGCGCCCCTTCCAACTCGTTGTATTATTTTGTTTCCTTTATGCTGAGAATTTGTGCGTCCAGGTTTTAATGTTGAAACGGGAGAATTAGTACGAGAAGATTTTGAAGCAAGGAGGATGAGAAACAGAGAAGAATTGTTGGCTTGTGAGAGGAGCAGATGTTTTTTGAAGAAGACGAGGAATGGGATATAGGCGGAACAGATTTAGTTTGTTCCCCTCTTCTCCTTTCCTCATCTCCGGGGACTCTAATTGTTGTATATGTGAATGTGAATTAGGGAGAGGCTGCTGGCTTTCTTCCTTTAAAAGATGATTAGCTCCTTCTTTCTTCACCACTTCCTTCCTTCCTGCTCCAGAATCTACCAACCCACTACGACTACTACTCTGGGGGATAAAGGGATTGCACAATGGGGCCAACGGTTAGCTCGCACCATGAAACACATATATCCAGATGGCGTAGCTGCTTTGATAATCTATGAACTCACACGCTCTGATGATGCCATGCCACCCTTCTTACTAATAAGACGTGAGAAGAGATCTCTGAGCTCAAAATTTCCATGCCATGCTGTTTAAACAGGGAGAAATGTTCAGCTGACGCTTTTCTCAAGTTTAACCTGACGCCAACAACTGCTAGAAAGGATCAAGTCTCTCTGTCTGTTCCTATGCACGTGTGCTTAGAGTGAGTGAGAGAACATCAACTTCAAGGGGATAATAAGATCAACGAGGGTAAAAATGTGGCGATAAGAAATTCACACTTTCTCCTGCTCATTAAGCTCTTCTCTGCTTTCTCTCTGTCTTGGCTCTTCCAGTTTAGTGAACCACGACTCTAATGCGATTCGAGTTTTATACTTTTTCATATGTATGTAGTTGAGTTGAGAAAAGAATAATCGTCAGGAGCAAGTCAGTGAGTGGCGATAACTAGAAGGATGAGGCGAGGATTGGGGTAAGGGAGAAAGTTGGTGTGGAAATATGAGATGCGCTTCACACAGGCTGGAAAGGAGACATTTGGTTTTCATATCATCCCAAGTTGTTTTAATTAAAGTTTGATGAAACAAAAACAATTCGTAATCGTAATGTTTCCAGTCCTGTAGAGATTATCAAGGCGAGCTGTTGCGAGGTGTCGTTTTACCTGGCACTTTCCCTCCCCTCCAACTCATTTCCAAGGCACAACTCGCGTTATGCTATGTCCTGAGATTCTTTATTACATTATTTCAGCTCGTATATGTCAGAAAGTTTACTCTAGTTGGTGTTTAATAATAACAAGTCAGCTTATGACATCGAGGATAAAATGTTACTTTTGATCTTATCTCCACCTGGGGATCATCTAGCATTACTTAACTTAAGAAATACGTCTAGAAGTCATTTTGAATTGTATTATCTTAAATAATTGTTAATAAGAAAGAATTACACTTATTTTCATGGTCACAATGACATGTGTAGTTGAGAAAAGTTAGGCTGAATTGTCTTTTCAAGTTGCCACAAAATACTTGGGTTCAGAGCGAACGGAAATGTACGACGGGAATTCCAAAGAGGATTCCATTACCAATTCACTTACATATATTTTGGGAAGCGGAAAGAGAAGCGACCGTATCAAATTCGATCTGTATAATCTAGAATTGAAAACTTGAGTATTTTCTCCACTCGTTCAACCACCTTCCTGGAACTCCAAGTTTGTTCTTGAAACATAGCTTACGGGGACATATTTGAATTAACATGTTTGCTTTTGTATTATTTCAGGGTTGCTTATCGTCGTCGGCGTTGCCCTTTATCCGCGTAAGTTTTTTTTACAATTTACAATATTTTAGTGCTATGTAAAAGTAAATATAGTATATTATACTTATAATTGGATTTCAGTGGGCTGGGGAAATAAAGAAGTTCAAGATGCTTGTGATGATGGTGTGATGCAATCTGGGCCATATCAACTTGGCAAGCAATTTAATAAATTTTCAAATTCAAAACTTTAGAAATATTCAATTTTACCAAAGATTTTTAGGCATGCATATTTAGATAAACACTTTTCCTTGTATTCTTTTCACACTACGTTTTCTCCAGTTATTTATATGAATCTTAATAAACGACAAAAAGAATAGCAGTGTATCATTTGCCATGTTATTTAATATTCCAGGGCCGTGCAAGATTTCATGGTCCATGTACCTGCTTGCTGGAGGCGTATTTTTGCTCTTCGTATGCTTCGGACTTTCTTTCAAGGCTTGTCGCGTAAAGAAAGGAACCTTTCGAATTTGACCCCGTCAACAACGTCCTTATCCTTTAATAATGAGTTCAGGGATGCTAGCACACGATGCACGATGAAATTTCATTTAAACACGAAATATCTACTTTCCTCCTATCAACGCAGTACGTCACGCCGAGCGAGATAAGAACATGACCATTTTTTGAATAGCCACTTCTTTCACAAGAAAATGCAACAAAAACTTTAACAACGACTTGCCAGCCTGTCTCCCTCCCACCCACCGATTCCACTTTCCTACCAACTCAACTAGCTGTTGTATAACTAAGCAGCCAGGATTCTCAGAGCCACATTTGGAGGGCAACATCGAAATCTGCGAATAAATGCCACATCGCACATCCAGTCGACCCTGCACGACGTAACATTTTAAATCCTGGCCATTAAGATGGAGAGATGGAAAACCATTAAGGGTCATTCCGGGGGACATCAATCACGATAAATTGAACCCCCATCATTTATACGTTGGTACTCCGGCTCGAGTTTTCTTGGACTCAAATTCCCGTGGTGACATCCCTGCTCGATTCGACTCGACTCGACTCGATTACTTAAGAATGAATAGAGATATTATTTTTTGCGACCCAAGGCCAAATTTTATACTCTGAAATAGCAGTTCTAAGTATATTAGTTCTTTGTATACTAATGTTATAATACTTATTAGTGTATAAATTTAAAGAGTTAAGTAGATTTGAGTACACATAGACGACATAAATTATAAAATGGCCTGTAATTGTGGAGAAAGCGTACAACAACTTTCTCCCAGTTTCAATTCGGTCTCCGTATCTATAATTCAAGTGGTCTCAGCGAAGTAGACCAAAGAAAACGTATTTTCTCGTTAATTGGAGAAACCAGCGATTCAACTTGATTGACAAATCCTCTTAGTTGCTGACAATAAAAGAGATGCCAAAATTATTTATTCTTAAGCTGGTATTAAGCACACAAAAACGAAGCTATATATAGTTTCCCCTTAATTGTTTCATGTAATTTATAATTTCAACTTTATAATTTCCAGAAGAGTGCTTGAAATGTATCACTTGTTGAAATGCTGAAATGTATCATATGTTAAGTATATATAAAGAAAAAGTGTTAATGTTTGTAAGCTTTTATATTAGTAATCTCATTCTACTTATTATCAACTAAAGTCTGTTGCTAATATTGCTATCTATACTTTTCATGTAATTGTATGTACATATTTATATGCAGAACCAATGTGATACATGTTTGAATAGACCCGTATGGAAAATAAATTAAATAAAGTAAACGTGACTTTTGACACTTTGTCCTCTCAATTCGCAACAGAATTTATGGATTTATGGGTTTCTGATCATTCATCATCGTATTTTTAGCCCGAGTCTGGGCTTATGTAACCCCCCTCTATCTTTCGGCTGTTCGAGACACAATGGAGCCAAGCCGACGTCTGAGCCGATTGAGTTCAAATTTTGCACACATGTATTTTAAAAGTTACTATTTTCAGTTGAAAGTTGGTAAGTAAGCTCAAAATGACTTTTGCATAGCAAATACAACTTCAAATTTCGAAATGGAACTCAATATTATAAAGAAACGAGTCCCACTAGTCTTGATAGTCAAGTGGAGGATTTGTAAATCTTTTGAATAAATAATATAACATATTATTTAAGAAACATTCGACCATCCCCACCACGTGGGGTGGTAATAGTATTGTCTGGTCAATTCGGAGAATATTTAGAAACGATCTCTGTCCCTGACTCGGGCTGAATGAAGTATACACAGTAGATTTAGAATTCGAAAGAAAGACGAACCACCCCTTTTGAGCTCTATGCAGCTTTGCCCTCCTTGCTACTAAAATTCAATGCACATACAACAAAGTTGGGATTGAACGTTGCGACACAGAGAAAATGCGTCAGGGTGAATAGCAAAAGATAAAATTTTGTAGGATTGATTTGTAGTTTGTAATTTAAACCAGCTTAGGCTGGAGGTGAACTCGACTCCATTTCGAGGTTCAGTCGTGCATGATTCCAACTTCTTTCGCTCGTCACATAAAAAACGAATTTTCGCCAGAATAGCTCGCATCTCGTCTCTGAGTGTGACATGACGACGACGGTCCCATGCCCAGCTTTCTCCCTGATATGTGCATGTGTCCTGCCCCACCAACAATCCTAGAAATCCAAAGTCACAAGTGGGGAGAAGAGGAAGGGAGAACATTTGGAATTCTGTATCACGTAAAACGCAGCGTGAAATCGAAAAATATATTTGTACAGATATCTAGCTTATTAAAATGGAGTTGGTGAACTGGACTGGTTGATTTTGTGGATGCGCTTTATGAAGAAGGGGGCTGGGCACGGAGATAACAACAATGCTCCCACATATAAAAATTCCGTGTGGGTAGATTCGCCATTATAAAGTTAATGTGGCTGTTGGTTGTATATTAGGCCATAAGAAGAATAAATGTGAACCATCAGCCCGCATGATGTCACGAGGGTGATCTCCGTCCCTGGTTGTTGTGGAGTGGAAAGCAGTTTACTTTGCCATTAACCAGTAAATTCGACCATCATGTCATATCATCATCCTAGCTCAAGTAATTCCTCCATTTGAAGAAAAGTTTATAAAATCCCTTCACTCGTAACAGCAGGCTTGACGACTTTTGCCATTACAAGAACGGAAAACATAAAAAAATGTGGCCTATTGTTTTCAACCTAACGAACCGTAGTATATTTTACCCATCAATTCCTTTAACATAGTTGTATTTTATCTACTTAATTAATTTGCAGAATGGAGGATGCGGTTTTGGAAATAAATATACTTTTGATTGTCTAATACATTATTAAAAGACTATATGTTAAACACGGCAAAGTAGTAAAAGGAACCAAGAAGATACCACGTGAGAAAAACTGCTTCCATTTATTCAACACTTTTAGGAGAAGGCAAATACCGCCAAGTGGTAAGTACAATAGGAATAAAAGTGAGCATTCAAGAAGAAAGTAGAACGACAATTATTTTTTCTTCCAGTGGATAATACAAGAGCAATAAATTTCTTGGTGTCCTGCTGCACTTCCACCAAACTCATGACCGAACTAACAATGAACAAATGAATGATACGTATAGCATGGCAATGCATATTCCGTGCATGCATGTTCTCGAGTCGAAATGAGGTACGAAATGGGAAGCGAGGGCGAAAAAGAGAGTGAAAGTCTGGCTGACTGGTTTGAAGAAGAGAGTGCTCCTCTTTCAAACTGCGTACTTCTTCGCTTCCTTGCTTGCTTAGTTTGTGCAGTTTTGCAGAAAAAGATTTGTAGCTTTCTACGAGGTGGTGAAACTTTGGGGTTTGGTCGGTCATGAACTATTTTTCACTCTGGTTTTTTACCTGACTACCGCTTCATCACTTAAGTGCAAAAGAAAGTTCCGTATAGTCAGAAGAGGCGATTGAACCAGGAAGAATTTCTTCTAAAAATAAGAATCCTATGCCTTTCCTGATAAACGAGCCACGACCAACACCACCTGCGAATTATGTATTTGTATCGGTTAATTCTCAGCCTTATCATTATTAGTCGCATGCTGATGTTAGCAGAAGAGAAATTGAAACTCTGTCCTGGAAAAATTTCACTATCTTATATTTAGTATTTATGTAGTAGGGTACAAATTCACGCATATGTAGGCCAACATATAAATTCACTTTTTCTTTTGGCCCCGTTCAGGTTCGCGTGTAATAATAAAGGGGAGATTGACTAAATGGTAAGAATTTTGATAATACGACAAACTTAAGGGAGATCTAGAATTTTTCTCCATTTCATTTTTAGGCCAAGTTATACAGTGAGCAAGCTCCCAACAACTTGGTGGTTCGTTGAACAACGGGGATTCAAGCATTAAGCCCAGTCGCAATGTCGTCGGTGAGCAGAGCAGGTCTAGGTGTTTTATGGAGGTCATTAGGTTTTAACGTTCATCTTGAACCTTGTCGTCTATGAAACCCTGTCGACATCCTTTCATTACTTCGAAGACTGGAGTCATAATGAAAAGGGCAGCTGGGACACTGGCCATCCTTACAACCAGCCAATGTAATTCAATCCTTGGCCTATGTTTTTCATCTCTTCTGCCACGCGGTGCACAGAATTACCACACTTGGGTGCATTAAAAGTCCTACGCAGTGAGGTAGAAATCTCTCGAGAGGTGCATCTTTGATGTGAAAAGATCAGTCAGTGTTGCTCAATTGACGCAAACTCAAAATAGTCGTGTACGCAATTATGCAGCTGGCCTGTAGTCATAACTATTTAGTGACGAGCGGGAAAGGATAATTAAGCAAAACGATCCATATTAAGCAGTGAACATGTGTATGCCCTTGTTCCTCATCACTTTATAATAACTTTGTATTCAGCCCGAAGGAGGAAAATCCCATTTTGCGGTAAGTACAAGCTGTGCAATAAACTCGGAGGTCTCACAATTAAACTTGTGTTTATTAGTCGAGAGAATGAAGCAGGTTAAAGTGACCATAAAGGTGTTCATTAACGTCCCAGGTATATGGATCGAGGCAATCTTCCAATAAAATGATTATTGCATGAAGTTTGAGAAAACCGAGAGTAGTAAAATCAAAGCAGTAGGCATATTTAGTTAAGCAGTTAGAACTACTGAAGGACTGATCATGTATTTCTAAATGTGTAATATGCTCAGATAAAAATCTACAAGACATTCTATTTCAAACTTATTACAACATTATTATAAGTATTTGCCAAATTTGTGTCTGTCTCCACATATGTGCAATAACTTATATTCTGAACTTCCGTTTATATGTAAATATATGACTAAGGGCACTGGCTTTGGGTCAAAATGAGTACAATAGTAAACACATCCGCATGCACTGGAGTCTTTATTATGATGAACGGGTTTGTTACAGTTTAACCGAGTGGAAGATGGCTCGAGTTTGATTGCAGCTTTCTGCTTGCAATTCCAAATGCCAGCACAACCAGATTGAAAGCAGAGCAAAGTCTCAACTCGTCAACAATGGCAACCGATGGTTCGCTGGTGGCATACAACTTCATACCGAAAGGAAAAGTAAATGTTGAGCGGAGACCACCATACAAAAGTAGTGACATAATCAACAAAAGTTGGCAATTCTCTGGGGCTGTGGAGTAAATGAACCAAGTGGTAAAAGTTACATTGATATAGAATCAGACAACAAAACTTCTTGTCCATCAGGAGGACCAGATAAACTATGCTCGTTAAGTCACCATCCTACATACCTCGGGTCAGGAGTAATATGTGTACAAGCACGTAACAGTGGGTTATACTTTCACCGAGTGTATCAGTGGATAATGTACAACAAAATCTCCAACAAATTCTCACTTGCTTCCGCAATCTGGTAATCTGGTCCGGTAAACAACTCAATCTGTGCACGATATCGTCTGCATGGCGAGAATGAGAATATCGCAAGGCTGGCAAAACAATTACTTATCCTTGAGTTTGTCTCATCATGAGTTAAATGTAATTACTTCTGAATGGTTGGTAAATTATTGGTAAGTTCGAGTGCAATACAATGTTCGCTCTGCACAAAAGAAAGCACAGCTCCAGTCTTCCATTAGAAAATTAAACTTTTCTTGAAAAGTAATTGAGTCTAAGTTGTTTTCAATGTTGAACGGAATGTGTGCTGCTGGTGGTTCGTGGAATCGTTGAGCACGGAGATTTATCTGTGTTTGGTGAGGAATGTCCAGTTCAGATCAGCTCTAAGGAGGGGAGCTTGCGAGGTTGATAATAACAGATCTTGATGCCCTTTGGATATGTGGTAGGGACCCATGAGTGTACTATAACCCTGAAGTGGTTTGACTCCATGGCCCCATCTGCGCCCGCCACACCCACTCAAAAATGCCCAAAAAACGCTTTCACTCCAGTTTTCACTCACTCAAATCCACGCCAAAAATCCAATTTTACTCGGATTTTGAAATTTCTTTCACCATTACACTCCCAGATAGTTGCTTTCTTCAATCCAATATCAAACTCAATTTTGCTGATGACTATTTCGCAGGCATAATTTGCGTTGTTGATTACTACAACAATCCTCATTCCGAATTGCAATTTTTAAAAATACTAAAAATTTCGAAAAAATTGAGTTTGATATTGGATTGCAGAAAGCAACTATCTGGGAGTGTAATGGTGAAAGAAATTTCAAAATCCGAGTAAAATTGGATTTTTGGCGTGGATTTGAATGAGTGAAAACTGGAGTGAAAGCGTTTTTTGGACATTTTTGAGTGGGTGTGGCGGGCGCAAATGGGGCCATGGAGTCAAACCACTTCAGGGTTTTAGTTCACTCATGGGACCCTACCACATATCCAAAGGGCATCAAGATCTGTTATTATCAACCTCGCAAGCTCCCCTCCTAAGTACGTCGAAGCAATAAAAGCAGAGAGGATTTGCAAGCTTAGCCGAAGGTGAATTTATGGAGGGTTCAATGCGAATACTGGAACCAAATAGTATAAAGGGAGAGAAGGCACTTGGTTGGGTGGACTGCTGGACTGAGGGGAAGGGAGTCGAATAAAAAGTTGAGTGTTCTTGGGCGAGCGGTGGGTGCACTGGAGCTGAGAGAAAGTAGAATATAAGTACATACCGAGTGTGGGACATAGCGGTGCATTGCATTTGTTGGGCTGCTTTTGGTCAATATTGACTTAGAAATTGGAATCTGATTAGACCCACACTGAGTTTTGTGAGAGTACTGTACACACGATCACTCGTCCTTCCTCCTTGGTGCAGATTTCCAGAGACTTGCTTCTCAGAAGAAGAAGCTCATTATTAAGGCTCTAGGGATACAACTGTAGGTTGGTGGCTCTCCAAATAATAGACAAGCTCCCAAATCCCTTCCCCTTCAAATCAATGAAGATTGATCTCTCTCTCTCTCACTTTCCCTAGTCGTCTCTCGCTAATTCCCTTTTCACCCGGTGTCGTGCCATTTCATGTTATTTCAACTTATTACATCGCATCAAATCAACATTCCACATTATTTTCCCTTTTATAAAAGAGCGAGACAGAGAGGGAGAAAAACACGTCAACTTCACCCCTCTTTCTTGCTTGAGATGCTAACCTTCAATGCTACAATAACGTGTAAATATGTGCACGAGGATCATTGTGTGATAATCGATTCCTCCATATTATCTGTCTGTTCAATTATATTCAACAATTAGTCATTGAGCATATTGCAATATTGAGCCACAATCATGAAGCATATTGCACTGACTTATTTCATTAGACTTGAGCGAGGATATATGTAACGGGATTTCCACCAACTTGCAGCGTGAAGATGGATCACATAATGACGGGATCAGGGGGGTGACGTCTTATCTAGTCCGCTTCCATTTATTTGGTCGGTGTGTTCGCCCCAGCTTCAGTTTAATTTTAATTCCCCTTTGTGGTAGCCATTCATCTTTTTAGCAGAACCAAGGTTATTGCTTGTCACATTGCGATAGTAGATGCATCATAACAATAAGAATTGTCTGACAATGTTAGATAATTACATGATTTATCGACATTTCACAAGAATTTGTTGCACAAAGTGTACATACTACATTGCATATGCTAATGTAGGAAGGAGGTAGGAAGGTGAAATTTGAAACAAATGCACGCACCATAACTCAATGCGAGGAATAAACAACTTTCGCTGCCACATGGACTTGCAGACCGACGAATTTGAAACTCTTCCTTCTATCTGAAGCTTCCGCAAGAAAACTGCTGGACATGACCAGAAGAAATTTACCAAGGTCCAAACACATCATCGGCTCAACTTTGTTGACAGCATTTCATTCAACATTTCTTTCGGTTATCTCAGGAAACACTTTCCAAAAAGGTTGAAATTTTGACATACCATTTTAAAATGGATAGATTCTGAATTTTTCATAACGTGGAAAAAGGAAATACTTTATCCAAGCACCTTTACTATATCCAAATTTCCCCCCTCAAATCTTTGGTAAACTTGGGTAGCATATTCAGTGGGATTTTATATACGTTCTGTGGTCGGATTTGAACATTTTTCGAAGGTACGATGAATTATTAACACGGAAGTCATGTGTTGGTGAATGTTTGCACATATCAGAGCGACAAGATTTCCCACTAGACCAGCCGTGTCAACCGTCCTGAGTGTTTGTGCTCCAGTAAGTCGTATTTCTTGACAACGTCCATTTTTAAGCCCCAAGTAGACGCTAATTCAGTACGAAAGGCGAAAGCCGAAAGCAGTCTTTGATGAGATCAAATGAGATATTATACAGTTGTTGAGATAGCTTCGAATCCCCAGATCATAATGCAATGCTATCGACAGGTTGAGTTGAGATTATGTGGTGCTGTTTATGTACTGAACTTGACGAACCACGGATCACGAGTTTTCATACTTGTGTTCCATATACCTATACACATGAGATTATTGGTGGGGTCTACTGACTCACTGGGTGTTTTTACCGACCTCGACAGGATTGAGACGACAATCCATTTCCTTCTCAAATGGTTGAGGAGTTGAGGCTGAGAATGACGACGAGAGGGACACTCCCATCCAACATCCGATTTTCTCCACTGACAACGGTATCCCTTGGAGGATTTCGTACATTCTCTCAATCGATCCTTCTTCCATCCAACCAAACCAGAACTTCAAGCTGCTTGGCCTTCTTCCGGAGCTCAAAGTCTGGTCCAGTTAAAATTCACCGAAAATTTAGCTCCCTGTGTTTGTTTTATGTTTCATGTCCGCTGCTGAATCTCAACTCAAAAAGCCCCCACGAGATTGAGAGAGTGAGACTTGGAAGCCGACCGGATCAGATTTCTTTCCAGCGATAACTCAAAAATAATGGCCAAGCTTCTTCAAATCCCTCCAAATGCACCATTTCAGCTCCTTGGCATAAAAACAAGGTCTAAACAATTGGACTGCAAGCAAGTAAACAAGGGTCTCTAAAAGACGGTTCCATCAATATCTTTTGCCTTGATGGTCACATGAACAAAATACCAGCATGAAATTATATAAATTCATGTAAACAAGTTATTCATTATTTAATGATAAATACAACCACATTACGCAGTAACATATGATCCCATTCATTCCTAGGTCATGCACATATACAGAAAAACTGTTGTGCGCAATTATAAATTCCATTTGTATAACTATGCAAGTATTTCATTTATAATTTATTCATGTATCTTAATGCGTCTTTTAAATATTTGATGTGAAATTTTCTATTTGCTAACTTACTGCATCATATTGAAATAATAATAATTATGTAGTTATATAATGACATTGTGCAGCACAACAAGTGACAACAACCTCGAATGCATAACCATTTAAACCACTAAACTTTTGTAATCGTATTAACGAACTATCATATGTATGAAAAGTTCAACATGGCCTGATTTGTATGAATACAATTATCCTAGAGGAAGAGACATATGAAATGGAAATGCACTAGACTATGTATGACTATTTACTATTTGTACATATTTGCATATTACTTATGCATGCACATCTACATAATTTGTCACGGAGAGTTTTTTCAGCTTTCAGTGTTTTATCATTGCTCATCAAGTCTGTGGACATGCATTAGCAACTAAAATCTTGTAACATTCAAATATTTGAACAAGTTAATAACCACGAGTACGTACGTATATGAAACGTATCATGTGCTGGATAACACCAAACCAGGCTTTCATTCATGTGACTTGTATGGTCTTCTAAATACGAGCCGCTTTTTCAGCCAATGTGCTTATATGTAGGTATGTACTTCTTTATTCATATTTGATATCAGTTTGAGTTTGGAGATTAGTCCTCATCAACCAAGAGTGCAGTGGCAGTGAAAAACCAGTAAAATTATCAATCCGTTACTTTATTGTGTAGGTTTCATACGTTCAAACCATTTCTCACTTTTCTTGAATTTGAAGCACAGCATAATTTGCAGTTGATGTTGAGTGATACGATAGGGACGATCAGGGTTGAGTAATAAAGCAGAAATTTGTGCCATTTATACCAAATTCTATCATTTTATGAATTAACTTGTGAGTGTTAAAACATCTCGACATGTATGTGATCGTCGTGTGACAAGTGACTCATTCTTTTTAGTCTGTTTGCATGTAGTTAAGACGGTTTTATAACATAGTCTACGATCCGTTTGGATTTTGCACGTATGTGTAGTCTCAACCCACTGTAAAGTTTATCAAGACAGGTACCTGTCGAAATTTACATTCGATAAGGAAAAGTTATCTTATCTAAGAGTAATGCAAAAAATCGGTGAGGATGAAAAGTGTCCCACGTGTGACAGGAATTACTCAAGTGCAACTCAAGTGGATACGGATTTGAAGGAAAATCATGGTATGACGGATTTTACTAAACAATGTAAAATTTAGTATCTGCAATTTAAATGAGCTGTTGTAACTTTGAACTGGCATAAATTTTTTGAACATGTAAGCCTTTATTTAGCCTGCCAAATTTTCTGAGAAATAAGCAGTAAACCGATAATGCTAACAAGACAAATATATAGTATACATATTCGATATTTTGACATCACAATAAGATGTATAAGTATTTTATTTATTTATTTATTTATTAATCAAGTATATAAGGAATGATCAACAAATTATATAGCTTAACAAGTAGCGGTTAATCATGTGTTTGATAAACGTAGTCGTGTCATGATTCATGCAGTCGGTTATGTCAGCATAAACACGTGTATGTTTTCAACTGCAGGATAACTCGGCTGGCTAAGCAAACGGTATATTGGTATTTAAGGTCACTATAACATGACAATTCAATGAACCAGATTTTAGTAGTTTGCATGCACTGAACTTGAATTTGTTCAAATTATAAACAGTTTTTCCTGGCAAAATTCCACTTAAACGACCCAAGTTTTCCTTGCAGTGAACACATTTCACTATTGAATGACTAACGCACCGTACAGGTGACGTATACAATTGATGTACATATTTAAGTAATATGAAATATTGTAAAATGTAATTACGCGAAATTATGTCAGAAGTATTCGGCTACAATTTGGTAGTTTGCTCAATTTCGAACAAAAAATTCGAACGAAATGCAACCTTCATGAAAATGTTTCTCGAAGTACTAAGGATAAGTTCTAACAATGGAGGCGCAAACCATGTTCAGCCCAGATTATTTTTTGACCATGTTAGTTTGCAAGAGCAAGCCTTCAGAAACAACATTTGGCTCGGCACTTGCGCAGATGCGCAAAATTCAGCACGTTATGGGCGCCACAAGTTCGCAAAAACGCATGATTTCTCATGCACGGTAGAGCGCGAGCCGAAAAATCATGCGTTTTTGCGAACTTGTGGCGCCCATAACGTGCTGAATTTTGCGCATCTGCGCAAGTGGTGAACCAAATGTTGTTTCTAGAGACTTGCTCTTCCAAACTAACATGGTCAAAAAATAATCCCGGATGAACATGGTTTGCGCCTCCATTGTAAGTATGCAATATTATACTCTGTAGATTCATTTCAGTCAAGTCAAAGAACAATGGTGTTGGACGACGTTCGGAGCAACACCAAGGTAAACTAATATTTATTGGTAAAAGAAGTACATTAACTTAATAGCAAACATTTTCTTGGGACTACAGAAATTAAAATCTGACTTTCTTGGTCAAATGGAGCATCGCCTGAGTGCCATGATTGACGATGTAATGGACAATCTCCATAAAACAGAATACCCTGAACGGGTGCTCATGATGTCTGATCCCTCCATGATGAGAGACAAAAGGTGTTTGTACAAATATATTTATGTGCTATGGTGGGGACTGCATAATGTAGACATTGTGAATTATTGGAATGATAGGCATTAAGAGTGACAACAAACATATTGCTTTTCAAGAGACTACAGTGAAAGTGAAATATATGTAATTCATGAAGGATCTGGATTAGCGAAGAAACAAAGCAGCTTTGTCTTATTGATATCGTTCTGTGTGATTATTCCCTTTCGAAACTATTACCTTGCGAAATTTTGTGAATGCGATGAATTGTTTAGAAAAGTAAATCACAATAATTTACCGCATTTTAACCAAGTTTTGTATTATTTATTAAGGAAAGCAACTGTTCCTGGGAAGTTACCAGAAAAGGAATTTCGATCCCGTCCGTCCTTACTAACGGAAATGCTCGAAGTTCCACATATAAGGACAATTCATCACATCTTCATTGCCGTTCTGTGCCTCGTGATGCTCCACACAATTTTAACAGACATTATAGAAACTAACACGTAAGTCTTCACTCCTTTAATTTCTATCAGATTTGTTGGAATATTTTGATGGAATTATGTGGTGCAGATTCATATATATTTATTTTATGTATAACATAACTGGATTGCCAAATTAGTATTTGATCAACATCAGAAGACGAACTTGAGAAAATTGTAGCTAATTCCGAAATGACTTATTGATGAGTAATATCTTCTCGAGTGACAGCCTGAGATTGAGATATTACAGAAACATCCTCCAGAAAAATCGCCAATGTATTCTAAATCTCCCTTAAAGAAAAAGTTTCTCATACTGGTCGGCCGGTTGAGTAGTTGTGGTATTACTCGGATGTATGTGCGTAAATGTGTATGTGGTTGGTCGATCCGATTCCTGTCAAAACCGTGAAAGGTGGTGAATAGAAAGCAGTAAATCATGGGCATTGAGTAATGTTGGTCTTTGAATGGTTGGCAGCATCGATTTAGGGATCCAGAGATTGATGGACGCGTTCTATAAGCCACTAACCACGTTACGTATTTTAATAAGTATCGAATTCTTCGCCTTGTTCCTGCTCTTCCCCTCCTTCTACTTGTGGTCCACCCACAGGCTCAACTATAACCAAGGTAAAAAAACACCATTTCATTTCATTGTTGAAGCAAATAAAGTTTTCAAAACCAAGTTTAGAGAGCAGCCAACAGAAGCAATTTGAAATTGTACACATTCTCGAAAAAGAAAGAATTTGTTTAATGAAAAAAGTTTAAACTTGTTCATCCCACCATGAAATTTTCACCGAAATGCTCACTCAAAAACTAATTACTCACTTTACTACTTTCACTCTCATCTCCCACTTTCTCCCTCTGAGTTTCCACTTGGAGCAGTATTTTAGGCTGTGGCTGCGGTTAGACTCGTCGTACACATGTACATACTACATATATTCAGAATCTTGCGAACGAGCTCTCCACATCCCTGTGCACATATTTAAAAGACTTGTAGATACCCCGCATCCAGAGAAAGTTTATTAAAACTTTGCTCTGCTGTCTAAATAATTCAAGTTTATTGAATTAAAACTGCTAACAAGACTTGTAATGAGGTAATAACTCGTTTCTGCAGAGACACGGAGAATGATTGATTATGGAGCTGTTGGTTTATTCGCTACCTTTTTGGTCTCCTTTATGTACTTCCCTGCCCGAGCATTGCTTCAAGATCGACTTATTGGTCCTGCTTCAAGCTGCCTGGTGGCAATGGAACAAGTATGTAAAAAAGATCCATATTTGCTTTTGATCCGTTTACAGGAATTCTACCTTTTCTTCTGATAAAAGAGGGGCGGTAGGAGCAGAAGCTGGTTGTTCACGAAAGAGCACTTAGATACGTACAGAGAGTGACTAAAGTCAAGTTTTCTCACAATCTGACATCTCCGACATTCCTTACTGCTTCAAAATCGAGAAGGGAAGGGTATGAGATGAGATAGAATGAAAAAGTATGCTTCGACTGAATGAAAGTCGCAAGTGTCTGTCAAGAAGGCATTTCTTGGCCTGCTCCCAAAAAATGTGCTACGATGAGTCTCACACAACGAGAAAGTTATGTTATATATTTCGAGTAACGTAACATCAAGGATAATATTTAATAATCGCATTCTTTCAATTATTTTTAATAACTTGTGTGAGACACATCGATGGAGTTTAGAGATTTTTATAGATTCAATACCAACAGAAGGGATATAAATACAAAACTACTTACATTTACTAGAAATTAGACTAGAGTGAGAATAATTTTCAATAAATAGTACATATCACACGCACGCATGTTTCCGTGAAGGATGATTTAAAAACGAGAAGCTTCTCTCGCCCATGTGTGCAAACAATGAAAATACCAAGCAGAAGCAGCAGTTACATGTAATTTTTCATTTTGACGACAGTGCCGCCTGTTAATGAAAATGTGGGCTTTTGTTCGACACAACGTGCCCAAAGCATTAATGTTCGACCATAAAAAAGAAGTCACGATTCGCGGAATTGCGGAGGAAGGGAAAGTGGGCGAGGAGAAAGATGATAGCAGTCCGTCGTCCGGCCTGCTAAGGAAACGCGTAAAGACGGACGAGACGAGCAGAACCCGTAGTGGTCTGGATGCTGAAGGGACAACTTCACCACTAAATGAAAACCTCCATCTCAGTGGACCTGCCCTTAATGGACCATCAAGAAAAGTGATGGGGAAACAAGCGTTGGATTCTTGGATTTCCTGGGATGACAAAAAGAGTCCTTGTCCCTCTTTCAGCAGGTATCTCTATTTTTACCTTGCGCCCACGCTAATATACAAGGATCAATATCCAAGGCAAGTTAATAATTATAATGCATATGCACTCACCTACGTCTTATTCATATTTCATGTTGTGTACTAAATCCTATGGGTTTTGTTTCTTAACAGAAGCAGTACAATCCGTTGGAATGTAGTTTGTTGGAATTTCGCTCAAGTGTTTGGTTGCATTTTTTATGCGAATATGGTGGTCGGAAAAGCATGTGCCCTTTATTTTAGTAAATTCGGATTGCCTGGGCATCCCATGACACCGTCCATGTTATGCAACGCAATATTCTCATTAATGTTGCCCGGAATCCTGGGCTTAGTTTTTGGATTTTATTTACTCCTCCACTCATGGCATAATGCTTTCGCTGAAATGCTAAGGTTTGGCGACAGACTTTTTTATAAGGTGAGCATGTATTACTCTTAAATGAATTGTATAAAACTGAACTCAAGACTAGCAACAGAGGAGAAGTAGCAGAGAAAAAATTAGCGTCCTTGGGGTGCCACCTTTCGCCGGTGAAAGTTAACACTTTGCTTTCTCTCTTCGTAGGACTGGTGGAACCGTTCATCGTTTTCTGATTATTATAAAACATGGAACCTGATCGTTCATGATTGGCTCTACACATATGTTTTCAAGGTAATTCTATGCAATTAATCTCGCAACAATGAGTTGTTAATATGCAGACAAATGTGCACATGCATGAGGAACAAATAACTATTTGAAACAATGTTATCTAGATGGGGATGTAGCTTTACATTTTGAATCTGATTTTCTAGGATGCATGGGAAAGTGGTCTCGGACGTAGATACAAAGTATTGCCAACAACTCTGGTGTTTCTCGTGTCTTCGGTTTTTCATGAATATATTTTAGCGTTTTCGTTAAACTTTTTCCTCCCTGTTTTATTCATCCTTTTCGGTGGTTTTGGATTTGCGTTATATTTCAAGAATATTGAGGGATCTGCAGGCAACGTATTCATGTGGGTAGGACTAACGGCTGGGACAGGAATTATAGTCTCCACCTACAGCATGGAATACTTTGCACGAATTAATTGTCCAACGGAAAATGAGGTATGAAAGTCTAATTCTAATTTTCATTTTCACACTACATAAGTGTTCCTAGAACGAAATATATAGAGTCAAATAACTGAGTTATTTTATTGTGATCAAGGGTTCAGTTCTAGATTTCTTTATCCCGAGAACACTCTCGTGTGGAGCATTTCAGTGGTCGCAAGCCACATGACCTCTGCTGATTGATTGATATCTAACTTCAAAGGATCGGCGGATCACACACTCTTTCTCTTGGCATATGTACAATCACTTGCTAAGCGAATTTCCCTTTAATAGAGCTCAAATTATACTAAAGTTCCTGTTAATTCTCGAAAGCCAGAGTGATAACGAAGCTCAATTTTATTAATAAGTCAACAAAATTGTCATTGTTGGCGTTCCAGCTTTGATGTATTTTGATTATTCTAATTGCAATGTCAAATTGAGTTATGCAATACTTTCAGCTTACCTAGTATTTTCTCCGTCCTATGATATTCATGTACGTTCGTTTTTGTATTTATTTACAGGTACATATGTATGCAATGTTGTGTGAAAAAAACAAAGAATTTTATACACTGTCAAATTTTAGAATAAAAACAAATCCGAAAAAAGTGAGTATTTTCGACACAATTTTATTGAAAGGAGCTAAACTTAATAGCTCCAGCAGCTCTACACACATTTCACTTACATAGTTTTATAACCACCATTAACGTACAATTCCAACACCAATTTATAATTTCTGTGTTGTCAATGTACACGGTACACGGTAAAATTCATTCCAATTTAAGTCTTGATGATTAGGGTTTTATTTTGAATTTGGTCACAGATCAAGGACATTTTTACCGTCTTGTCAAAATGACAGAGGACTGAACAGCAGTACAACAATAACAAGGTGATATGACGTGATTGTCATGCATTAATTGTAGAATTATATTTATAATAAGTTGACAAGGATTGGATCACACGAATAAATGTTCCATCATGACGAATATTACACATTTACATGCATACATATATATTTGTGTTCATTAGTATTTATTACTGTTTTTAAACATTTATGTACCTAGCTAAAATTTTGTTAATGATTTTGTATCTGCATGTGTGATAATTAGTCTGTTGTTAAAAAGTATCCGTGATATGCACACACTTCTCTGACAAGTGAGTTAGTTGTACTACTTTTACAAGTATTACAAAAGTACATGTTTTACTTACAGTAAAAACTAATTTAACAATCTCGACACGACCCAATGACCATTTTTACCCTTTTGATAAAAACATGTTCCTGGTTGTGAATTTTATTAAAATTTGTTGTTTTTCGTTTAGTATTCTATTTGTTAGACTTTTGACATCTACTAAAATAAATATGTTTAAATAAATATGTTTGTTTGGTATGTGTATCAAAGATGATAACAAAAGTCTCAACAGCCAGCGATGAGGATTTGAACATCAATGACAAGAATAAATATTAGACGCATACAAAATATTATTGGGAAGGTTCCTTGCCCATTTATACGAGTTTTCATGCATTCCCAAATTAGAGTCGCACCAGTCGACTAATTTTGATTCATGAAAAACAACGAAACAAATTCATAAAATAAATATCTTTCTTTGTAGCTGTGTGTTGTGACTTTGAGAGGGACAATTATTTCCAAATTTCCGTCTTGTCCTCCACTTCATCGAAACGAACCATTTCGCATCTGATGTGAACATTATCCTTAAAATTGTTACAAATTAAGACAAATCACGTTTAGTATAACACAGTGCACACTGCCATATGTACATGTGTGAATGAATTCTAAAGAATGAATGGTCCTGTGCAGAACGAAGTACTCCTGGACAGCCAGATCTGAAATGACTACAAGGTTGACATAAATAAAGGTATTTTGCCTATAAAGTTATACACGAGGTAAATCATGACAGTATTGTATCTCGTCGCTTACTTTAATTTAAACCATCTACGTAATTACGTAGTGCGAGATAATAAGTAAGCTAAACTTAATAATTACTTGCAGAGTACATACGCTTAATTACTACGACATTTAATAATCTACATTGCAGATGGGAGTTCAACCATTTACGCAAAAAATTAAAATCTGCCAAATAAAACTGGATTCATGGACTTAATTATCTTATGTACACCCACTGCTACTATAATTTCATACATCCTACATTTAAATATAATGAACAAGGGATAAAAGCCATCAACAAATGAACACTTATAATGATGATGATAACCAACCAACCATTAATTGGTTATTTTGAGTATATTGATTTTTTTGTATTACCAGTTTTTACGAACAACACAGCTAGTCATTATTATGCACAATAATGAGTATAGATAGTGGAGACAGTAAATTCAGTTAAAATTCCGCATGAAGAAGCCTGGATTTACTGATAATGACAGACTTTGTCGTGTGGAAAGATACGTCTAGCCACACGACAAATTATACGAGAATGATTAATTACACAGGCCCTGATACTTAAGCAGAGACAATAAATTGAGTAAATTTCATCTAAAAATCAGTATAGCAGATAACAACTTTTTCAGCTCTGATTATTATCCGGTTTCCTTGAGGAAGATCTTGACATGAAGCCCATGCGAGTTTTCCGTTGAACAAAGGAAGAAAATCGCGGTAGCATCAGTCTTCTCGCAGGGGAACGCTTGACCTCGTCCTTGGACAAAATGCTGTCCAAACTCCCACTGCAGGGTTTCCAATACGCCTTGTTCTCACTGCCGCTAGCCACGGAGAGAGCAGGTGAGTAATCGGGAGAGGCCACCTGACTGTCGTCTCTTTCCCCCTCGCTTTGGACCACTTCCGGGTGATGGAGTCGCCTGACAAAGTTCGAGGGAGACTGACTGCTTTCAGGATCACTGTTGGACCCGCGATGCTTTCCATGGCGTCGTGATCCCACTGCCTTGCTGTCGGATGAACAAGCATCGATACCCAAAGTTTCTTGCCGCTTTGCTCGCTCCTTTTTCGCCGGACTTCGAAAGTAATGAAACCCCTTCGACTGAGCTTTGTAGGAGGAGGAGGACGGGCTCTCGCCCCCACTGCCGGCCGCACTCCCACCGCTCGCCGACTCAACGGAAATGCTGAGTCGTTCGGTAAACAACTTTAGTCGTTTAAAGAAGGAGTCCTTTGCAGCCTTGGATTTGGTAGATGATGGGACCTCGGAAGTGCTGCTGCCCTCTTTGGCAGGTGACCCAAACCCTGAAACTGCAACTTTGGGAATAATGTCCACCTTGGGAACTTCTGAAGCAATTGAAGTGTCGTATGAAATCCTGTCATCCTTTGCAGCCTGATTGGAATGAATAGACGATTCACTCTTATTCTCCCTGCTGCCTTTCCTACTCGTGGAAAAGTCGAACGATGGCTCCGTTGCTATTTTAAATTTCAACGCTTTTTCACTGACAGCGACTTCTGTGATTGCCTCCTCGTCTTGGTCACTCTCATCTCCTCCTTCTCGCTCCGTATCTGAATCTAGGGATGGGAAAGATTGAAAGTTGGACGAGGCTGACCTCTGCGCTTGGCCGGACTTGAGACTCGTGCTACTTCCGGACGCTTTGAGCATCAACAGCTGAGAAGCGCGACGGTAGGACATGGGATTGGAGTGACGGCTCTGCATGGGAGCTGGGGGAGGGGAGATTGGCGGAAGCTCGTCTGTGCCACCCACGAGGAGATCGGTGCTAACCGCTGTAATACTGAGAGCCCTGTCCTTGTTTTTTGAAGTGGATCCCGACTCGGATGGAACTTTATCACAAACATTGGCTAAAGCGTGAGATGAGGTGCTAGTCGAGGTGGTAGCAGGGATTCCTCCCCCAGAGGTAGTGGCATGGAATACGCTGGCCTGGTCTGTTGTACTCTTGCGATGTCGAGCTTGCTGGGAGGCTTCATTCAGGCGGCGGTAGTAATCTAGCGCATCCTTCACCGGCTGAATGATTATTGGCTGAAATATTAATAGAAATAGAAATAATTAAATTAGACAACAAGAGACAAATATCTACTTTGTATGGACAAGTAAGACTCCAATACTGGTGGTGAAAGTGATATAATATAATATTATTAGTCATTGTGCATGAAAAATTTGCATAATTTGTAGAAATATTTGGATACTTTCTCGTCACTTAAAGTGATTAGAAAGTAACCATGATAGGGGGAATTAGACAAAAGGAAGAACGACCAGAACCAAAAACGGTTGTTTCTTACCTCCAACTCTGGATATAGTGACGCCAAAGCCTCGAACAAGGGTAGGAGTACCAGCGAAATGAAGGAGCATTGAGATGAAGGTTTCGTCACCTTCTCACGATCCATAAAAGGTGTCACAGGAAGGCTATCAAAATATCGCACGTTCATTACATCCATTAAGACTAATCCTGATTTAAGGAAGTTAATCCTTCAAATATTTATGATAATTATATATTGGCGGATCAATAAAAATGATAAACTGGTAAGATTCTAAAACACTATGATTATGATGATATACAATAATAATCTTACCCCTCCAACTTCTCTGTATCGCTTTGTTGAAAAAATTCCTAAAATTGAAAGTATTTCTCCATGAAACATCCAGATTCCAAATTCAAATAGGCAAGAAAATTCTAAACAAGCTAAAGTGCGTAAAAAGTTCTTACGGCAAAAAGACAATCAAGCCAAGGTTCCGCGATGTCCCTGCATATGTTTTTGCAAATACATATGTGTATGAGCGTAATTAAATTGCTGCCAACTGTTGAATGTTCATATGTACTTACATTGGACGAGCTTCATTAGAAATGTCAGCAACCTTAATGAGGACCATCGTCAACTATAACAAGAGCAATTCGGCTTATACGCATTATGTGGTGATGATTCGTCTCACATATGTAATGTCGTGCATATTCTTACCAAATTTACATGAGTTTTATTGTTCCTGTCAAAATATGGAACAATTTCTCTAAACTGGTTGACAATTTCGTTATGTCGGGCTGAAAGTAAATAAATTTAATTAAGGGGCATTGTGAAGCATCAAGACAACAAATTAATCAACGAGATAACAAAATTTATGAACATATCAATAGTTCTGAAAAAGGAGATCTGTTGTATATTCAAAATGTGTTTAAATTCCTAACTGGTCATTCTCTTGCAATTAGTAATGCTCACTCTAATGATTTAAACCTGAATGATGTATTTCGTCTGAATTAATACTTGCCATAACTTATTAATTAACCGAACCGTATTGTCTTACCCATGTCGGTCGCAAGTATGCATCGAATCATTCCTTCTCGAATTCTTTTGTAAGACTCGGGAGGAAGATTTCGGAAAATGTTGCAATTCGGGTCTTCAAAAAGACGAAAGGCAATAGAACAATGGTGGTTCTCAAGTGGAGAGATATCATTGTACCTCAATGCCAATTCTGTCTGCGCGTTGATCTGTAAACATTTACGTCCAATTAGGAGTGCATACAATTCCACCCGAGATGTCAAATTAGCCATAAACACTACCTACATAGGTATTTACTACCAGAGAAAGTGTGGCTAATTACACACCGTATACTTAGTTAAGAGCAAGTCAGGCGTACATTTAAATCTGGGTGGTGATTAATATTTCCACAGAATACTTTATCATGATATGTTCATTAGTCATAATTATTATCTATTTTTGGCACAGGGTCACCCATAGATTCAAGTAAAAGCTGGCATTTTTAGATTATAGATTAATACGCTGGGGTACAATTTAAATTCATGTTTATACAAAAAATGTATATTTCTTGTAGATGTTTCACAAATTATCAAGCTAATGACTTCTACTGAAAATGAGTTAACAATGATATGGGTAATAATGTCTTACTTGATAAATGTTGTTATATCCGGGATGGTCCAAGTCACTGAAATGATTATAAGATTTGATTATAAGGACCTAATAATTTTTAAAGAAAAAAATAAGAGAAAATTTTCTAAGTAACATTTTATTTATAAAATTATTAAAGATGAAATTATAATTACTGGCATATGCAGGATGTGATGAGAATTAGCGTCTCCAAGTCTCCAATTTTTTCTGGCAGATTTACATAGCAAGCCATACCGAACATCTATAAATTTAAATAGAAATAAATACATGCCATTTATTGAGTTTGGAATTTATTCAAGCTGGTGATATTTAATTGTATGATTTTAATACAATATTTGTGAATCTGAATAAAATTCAATTTACTCTAACTTTATTCTTAAGATTGCTGTTTCATAATGCATAAATTGTATAGATTCCATAATGGAATTGAATTGGAATTGAATGAATATTTCTTACCATTTGGGTCACCATGAAGCAATGTCTCTGCATTTTTGTACAAATTTGAGTGTAAAACATTAAATTAAAATGCCACATATTGTGTAACTTTAAGTGCTTACAAAGTTGTGGAAGGGAACATCATTGTAATGGTGGTACTACACAGGGGATAACATTTTTAGAAATTATTATGCAAATATACACCACCGTAAACACGTATGCTCAGAACATTTTTGAACGTTCCTCTGTTGGTCTTACCACATGCACAAGGAAATTTCTTAGAATACTAATCTCAATATCGAATTTTTTCGGAAGCTCTAGATCCAAATACATTTGTTGCAACAGCACCAACATCTCCTCGTCATCCCACTGCCAATTATCAAAGGTCGGCTCTCTCAGCAATTGGCAGGTCTCTTTTGTCAACACCACGTCACTGGAAGATACGAATACGAACGGTGTTAAAATGTAATCGTCAATTGTATGAATTACTAAATGCAATAGTGGAACACTAAATGACTAGTATTTTCTTAGTCGCAAAATTAGTCATATATTTAACTACATTGTTAGGAGAGGATGCAAAAACATAGAGAAAACTTTATCATCCAAGCCCTTGATCTTAAGGGTAACTTGGAAGAGGCGTCAGCGTCTATGTGAAGAAAAGACGACGCCGAATCAACCACCTGCACCCTTATCAGCACTGGAAGTATAATTTAAAAACTTCAAACCTAATTCATGGATTCATCTCCTTCATTAGTGCTATGCTCAGTAATAAAAATAAATAATAATCAATCGGTTTATTCATCTGCGAAATAGCCGCAGCTCTCATCGTTACATGTCTACAATGATAAGTAATATTGTAAGTTGATTGTTTTATTGTCGTGCTCTTTTGTAGAGAATCTTGTTCGACACTAATGAGTTTGTGCTTTCATTTTACTTTCGGCCAGAAAACTCGAAAAATTATTTGAGTTTTCAATGGAAAGAAAACTCCACAAATCTCAACATTATCAATTATAGTCACCAACTCATTTCGCCGCATGAATAGAACTGTGCAAGAGAGTTACTCGTTCGTGAAAATAGTTAAAAACATGGGATTAAAATTGGGCACAAAGCTAGCTTTTTCATTTGAGCAGAATTCTCATCTCCCTGCTCGGTGACGAAGAAGCTGCAAAACTTGCATGCTCTTTGCTCTGAGAATGTGAAAAAATATTTAATGAGGTTCGAGGGTGAAAGCGACATGAAGCACGCTTCTCAACGAGATCGGTCATGCTTAATAAAATGGACGACATTTCTTTTCATACATGCAACCAAAATTTTCTAGTTTGTAATTCAACTAAATATGTGTTCACATATGTCAGGTCCTGATTTACCAAAATCTTAAAAAATCATGAAGCTAGTTATAACTTCATCTGCCTCTTTCACATAGAAATAGATACTCACCTAAGTTTAAGAAATTTGTCACAAATCACTTGTTTCTCTGCCTTGCTTTTCCTGAAAGTGTTCAAAACGTTAAATAATCATTGGACTAAGGACGCGTGGCTAATTTTTACCTGTGATAGCCGTGGCCACCAAAGGAACGAACCGGAGTCTCTGAAGGAGGGGGCAGAGCTGGAGGGTGCAGAGCTTTGTAGAAACCTAGATACGTATGTATCACATGTTATTCTGGATAATGTTAAACCTGAAGTTTTCGAGTGTCTACTTTTACTTACCCAACCAACTCAAATGTTCATAATTTTGAATCAAGTGGCGCAATTGGTTCACTTCATCCTTTAAGCCATGAATGCTCTCAAGTGGAGAGGTTTGCTGTTTGAAAATTCTTTCTAATGTCGATACCCTGCAAAGAAAATTAAGAACAGTTTACTACCAGGTCTGGGTAAAACTTGTTGGGGAAAGAAGTAGCTTTTGGGAATTGAATAATCAGATTATTTCGTAGGCAAGGCATGTGTCTAACCTCCAAAACGTATCTAAATAGTAAATAGTATGTACATATACAGTATATAATACGTAGTAGTTAGATCTTTTTTTAGGAAACATGAACCTCTCTCAGCGAACCATTAACATAGACAACATTGTACAATCTAAAGTTTTTTGCTTACCTTGCTTCAAAAGAGAGTAAGTCGATTCCAACCTGTTCCATTAGGATTGCTAAATTCAATACAAGATTATTGTTTGGTTAGTGGTTTCAAGATTATAATGGACTTTCTTTCATGAGATGTACTCAAGATCACTTAATTTTACAATTTCAGTGGCATATCTACTTCAAATATTGTCTCTTCTGACTTCCCGTCCAAAAAAACCTTCATAACGCATTGTGGGATACATTGCATCGTGACCAGCGTTCATAGAAAGGGTTAATTATAAGGGTTGTGAATTTTCCTCCAGGTTTCTCTAGGTTTCAGTGGGAAAATACCCAACAGTGTCGTCGCTCTATTTGTCGTAGGAGGAGTGGTAAGTTAAAAGACATTTTTTCATGGGATTGGATAACCCAGGACTGGAGGGTGGATTCTGTTCGTTCAGCATGTGTGCAGACAGAGAGATGAAAGTATCGCCTGGAGCAGTCTCCAGCCGACCAAATCCAAACCTCAGAAGAGAATCGGAAATTCTATTCAATTTTCACAGACGCGACTTGTGTCTTGTCCTACAAGAAGATAAGCCCTTTTCCAAAACAGTAAACCGATCGACAATTTCCCACAGAAAAGCTTTGCATGATTTCAATTTATCAGAGTTGGGTGGATCCTTATTGATCCTTTCTGTTGAACCTCTGATACATCATCGTCCCTACTCAGTGCCCACATAGATATCTGAATATACATGCGTGCATACATAACTCGTGGAAATCCTGGTAATTTGTCCTGCCCGACTTGTCTCCAAGTACATACTTCGTCTACTACTTACGAAGAATCTGAACGGCCAGGCGAGATAAGTTGGTTAATTCTTGACGTGGTTAACTCTGACCTTGGTTAGACTTGTAAAAAGCTCATCAAAAGAAGATTGGATTGCTGATTACCAATTCTAATCAAATCAACAATCATAAAAAGTCTGTCTGAGATATTTTTTACTTGGATACAAGTAATAGTTTCATGAAGTGGCATAAGGGCAAAGAGAAAGTGGGATGACGTCAAAGAAAAATCAAATTACATCTTAATAATTATCCGACTGAAAGTAAGTAACATTTTGTTTTCTCTGAAATTGTTATTACATTTCGTGCACGATTATTAAAAAATATATGTGAGCCACTGTATGGTTTGACAACTTCAAAAGGAGGAAAATTTGCAAATGTGTACTATACATAATATGTGCCAGCCTACAACTCTACAAGTTGTCATCTCTCGATCCACCTGCGTCAGTCCGTGAGATTTGCCGTCTCGTAAGCAACGACCCAAGTAGAAGAGACATGTTATAACAATGTGATTTCAACACTCCGATTGTTGGATTGAAGTGAGTGTCGTTAGAAAGTGAAAAAATCTATAGTTGTAACGTTAGGGACATGTGAATTTACTCAACGATAATCACATGTGAGCTGCTTAGTTAAAATCACGTTGAACTGACATCAAAGAGAATTTTTCATTTCCATTCAACGTTAGTGCAACGTACTTGGCGTCCAGTTCGGTTACACAAATATAATGTGTGTAGAAAGTTGTCACGATGTGCAATGCACATTGTGTCAACGCACTATGGCGGAAAGTTTTACCGCCTTCCTGGCTCTTTCATAATCAATCTTGTTCATTTAGTGAACTCTGACGTTGCAATTTTCCTCTTGTCCACAATGAATTTTCTAGTTGTGGAATTTCCTGACGATAAACCAAAAACGGTGGATGTCATTCCCCAAAACTGGCTTATCTCTACTTCGCAATGTTACTGGCCGAGTCGCTGTCAATCATCAAATTTGACTAAATTGCGACGAGCACAAGGACAACCTGATCCGAGCTTGGGAAAGTGCAAGTGCAGAATTTTGGGATCGCTCGGTAAGTTTACATTTTTCTAATTTGGAGATCAATTTTACATACTCCTTTAAATTAAATTTTAAAAAATATATTTTAGACACATTTGAAGCTGCTCAACAAGCAGCCGCACTAGCCGAAAATACATCGGACTTGGAGATAAACTCGTTAACCAAACGAACAATATCAAGGAGACGAGAATCCAGCCCTGATTCATCAGATAACGATCAGCCGCCGGTTAAAGGAAAGAGGATTAGTTCTTCGTCTGCCGTCACCTCAGTTCCTAGCAGCTTATTTCGATTAGGTAAGTAAACATTATTTGTTTTTAAAATAAATTAATATGAAGTATTGTTAATATGTAACCATAGCTTGATACTTATTATGCTAGGTACAAGCTTATCTGTGGGTGCGCAGCCTGGTCAAGACACTGTCGTCCCAACTGGGAGTAATGAAAGTAAATTCCTAATATGCAATTAGTGATGGCATTCTGTGTATAATTCACCAAGTATAATTCTTATTAATTTGATTTAGGTCAATCAACCTTGGCAAATACCACAACAAATCATGACACGCCTCATCTTATTTACTTAAATGCCCTCTCCTCAGACGACGGGCAGCTGAATTTAAGTGTTGCTGAACCAGCGTAAATTTCTACGTCGACGGTGACCCTCTCACAAATTTTACTAATTTGCAGAGCAGTTCACAGCCGACTCAAACGACACCGACGCATTCCACTTCTCATCCGCAAGGTGATATATTTGTAGAATACAATTAGATATCTCATAAATAAATACAAATTCTTAGGTGTAATAATTTTAATCAGGTTTCCAACGAGTGGTGCTTAAGGAGTTGTCAGCTATCAAAACTTCCCAAAAATCGATTTTGAACAAATTAGAAGTTATTCTCCAAACTCTTAGCAGGGCCGGCCAAGGAGTTGAATTGAGAACGGATGAAGAAGCAGCCGATGATTTCTCCACATTACCGTCGTTTCCGCTGGAAAGTGAGAATTCTCTTGAGCAACTGGACATTCAATTGGCGGCAGAGGACGAGCGAAAACTATTTGTAAAGCTACACCACCATTCATTCAAAACATTCTATTAAGTTCGCTTAATAATTTTATTTGAATTCAATTAAAGGTGCGTTATCTCGTCGGTATAAGGGGCAAATCGCTGGATGAAACTGTGAAGACGATTTTGAAGAGAATTATCAGTGAGGATCTTGCTATAAAATTGAGCTATATATACTGGTCACGGAAAGAACAAAAAGCCATTCAATATATATACACAAATTGTTAAATGCATCACAGGTTCGTAAATTGCTTGTAAAATTCTACTCGTTAAACTATCTAACGGAAAATATAATCCATTTCTTATGTATGAAGGTGCAACCGAAAAGAATAAGCGGATCCCTGTCGAAGCTGAAAAGACTGATGTGGCGATACGGGAAATAATTACGAACTTCTTCCGTTACTCCAGGCCAAAGAAAGTGTCTCAGGAATCAACTATTTAAGTTACCATTTGTACTATTCAACACATGCAAAATGTCCTCAAATAGAAACACACGTAGAATTAGTCAAGGAAATTTTGAAACTCTGTTGTGCGAGGTAGAAGCGTTAGACGAAAAAATTGTTAGTGAGGTAGAGGAATCGGGCAATTTATTAGGCGATAGTTCTACTAATGCGAGAACTGATAATGAGTATGAAAATAGTCCACAGGGGGACACTCGTCAGGTTCGAAATTTGTCCCATAACTCGAAACGGGTTGCTAAATCTGAGCTATATCATAAATCCGTATTATTGCCATTGCCCGATTCCTCTGATGAGTACTTATGTTTACCATTTTGTTGTCTTAAACGTATTTAAACCAATTGTTATTTGTATGAATTTACGATTTAGACAGACAAATTAGCGGCATAATTTTATATAATTTCATTATGTTCTTGTAATTATCTGTTTACTAATGAATAATTAGTTTATGTATATGCTATTGTAATATGTTTCACACTTAACTGATCAAATTAATAAATTTGTGCATAAACTAAATGAAATCTAGCAACATGTATTTCACATTATTGGCATGTGCAAGACGTGTGATATTTGGCAATACAAACGTTACATAAACGTGATATGCACGCCAAAATCACATTTGAGCAACGTCATGTTTTTAACATTATGTCAACTTGCAAAAAGCGGCCGTCATTCACTGTGATCCAACATGTGATATATCACATTGTCACAATGTGTTTCTTCTACTTGGGGAGTGGCTGAGAGGGGAAAGTGGAAGGATTCGAAAGTTATTGGAGGCGAAATGAATAAGAGTGGCAATAAAGTAAACTGAGACACTTTTGAAGCTTAATTTTTGTTTTGAAGTGGCTTCTTCATCCTCCGGGAGTCGGTGATATTTGATGCTTCTGTTGGTGGTTTAATTTCGTATTGCAAAGCCTTTCCCAGAAATGTTTCTCTTTCTCACAGACGAGGAAAGTCAAGTTGCTGCTGCTTCTTTGAGAGACTTATTTCGTAGGAGGCAGCGCATCAAAACTGGTCAAGAGTCAACTGTGCTACGCAACCAACAACAAACTCTTAAAGCTTCAGGCACCACCGCCGCGTCGAGGGAGAGAAGCCTGTTGCTTTCTCCGGCTTTCTCCTCAACTTCCTTTCAACTCTTACCAGCTAAACACAATAACGGAAAAGTGGAGCGTTTGGGGACTCAAGTATGCTCCATCCAGCCGTCGTGTACAACTTTATTTCAAGTTTTATTAAAAACCTTGCGACCTACATTCGCTGACCCAGTTATTAAATATTACAAATTGCAGCTTTGAGCAATCATCCAAAGTAGGTAATAAGTTTACAGTTCCAATTTCAATTTGTACATGTTGACTCTTAAATTCGTTCCTGAAATTCCAAGATTTACACAACCATCTTTAGCTGTAATTTCTCAAGGAGCCAAACTCTCGTCGGCACCTGGATAAGATTAACTAGTTAGATTCGACCTGTTCAATCAAATGAACCTTTTAGCTCGTTTGCTTAAGACGAAATCACAACTCATGCTACTCTGATTATCTTTCGCTAAGGTCAATATAATCAGCGCATTATTTATTTTCCGAGTTAAATTTGTCCATGAAATTAGATTTAATATTTACGCGAGGCACGTTGAGATGCAGAGTCGTATTTTGAATATTTTGTAACTAAATCAAAATTAGATTAGTGTCGTTACATGTGATGCTCTCCGGTACATATGTCATTGATGTTTGCAGAAAAGTTTATTATCTTCTACTATAAGCCCAACATTGGGCTATATCCAAAAAAATGTTGGTGTAGTGTAGTGTGGCACTCCTTCGATTTTGTTTCTAAAAATTCCAACAAAACTACAAGTTGAGCTTGGGAATAAAACAAAATAAAGAATGACAAGATACTTCCTTTTGTAGTATTCTCCGCGCTAATATTGCGCATATATTTCTGAAGGCAATACTAGATATGTAATATCCACGTATAGGAGATATATTTAGAGTCAGATAGTATGAACACCTTCCAAGATACGCAAAATGCGCACTTCGATCTCCAAGTCATTCATCTTGGGTTGTCACACAAAGATGAAAGAAAAACGAGTTTTCAATTCTGTTTCTTTTTGTGACAAACGCAGGTAAACTAATAATGCTGTCTTTTCTGAGAAGTGACAAATCAAAGTAATTGTAGCTATCACAGTAAAATAAGTATAAATGCGCAAACTATTCCATGCTTACCAGTGAATACCATCGTACGTACGTAGAGTGCTCTCCACTTTGCTGTATTAATGATAACAATAAAACGGAATTCCCGTTATCGGATAAGAAATGTGTCCGTGCTGCTGAGAAAATGAACTTCCAGACAGTAAAGAATAAGGCCAATCAACCAAGTCGAGATGTGTAAACATTTATTGGCTGTCAGGTCGATCTCTCCTTTTTTTCGAACTACACCCCCTTCGCTGTGCTCAGCCCCATAAACAAACTAATGATCGTTTCCTCCTCCTAATGCGTCTTTTATTTACAAATAGTGGCAGATGCAAGTGGAAATAAAACAAGGAAGCTGATATGCAATGTTTCTTGTTTTGCATCCGGCGTCGTCACATTTCATCAAGAGAGAAAGTTCTCAATGTATCTGAAATTGACATCCATCCAACATGTGTCAACATTTATACGTTCTTGTAGTTGTGTATGTATGTATGTACGTATTTATATATGCATTACTGCATTTGTGGAGCATAACAGTTGATAAACCAATGATGGGTACACCTCTATAATTTTGCTAACGTGGCATGATGAAAGTGACACAAGATGGGTCACGAGATTGGATCGAAATTGTGACAGCTCCTGCTGATTGACATTTTAATGTTCGGAAGAATAACAGTTTTAGGATCTAAATATGTACATCAAATGTGACCCACAATCTGGCAACGACTGTTTCCATCACCGGAATGTTGAAATCCGCTCTTGTGTCAAATACAATCACTATGTGATTTTATTCCCCTGCAAACGTGTTGTATTAATTAAGCCAGCACAATAGAGTACGAGATTAGTTGATGCTGTTATTCTCTCCCCACTTTCTTTTCTACAAAAGTGCTCTCGGTTGAATCATAAATGGGACGCCGTAATCCAAGCTCTAGAACACAGCAAGCCATTTTCCAAATAATGGGTTTCACCATGGCTTTGGATTGATTATCCCAAGTTCCTACAACTGTCCGTGTCGTGTCACAAGTGATGACTGGATTTTACGACCTCATAAATAGTAGAATTCCTCGTGCTTCCAAAATTTCACTCCAGTCAGTTCATAGCGTTTTAGCCCACGCTGCAAGCAAATGCTAAAGCTTCTACACACATACATATGTATGCATATATTTATATGAATGAATGAATGATGAATGAACGTCATATCATAATTGAATGTGAAAATACCTATCTTCCATTACTCCAATGATGGGAGGCATTTTCGACCAGTTCAGAAAGTGAAGACTATTTCAACGCAGAAGCCTTGATCTGCCAAATGATAAAGAAGCATACGCCGACTCTTCCGTTTATTAACCATATGGAACTGAGGGAGAATTTGTTGAAATGACCGACGGAGGGGGTGGGGAGGAAGTAGGTTGTGAGGGACACGACTGACAGTTTTTGCCGACCTTTCCCCTGTTCCAGCCTCTGTTTTTCCTCCAGCACACACGTCCATGCCGCCGACATCAGTGCTTTCCAACTGGCTGTCAACTCGTCGAAGCACGGCGCCCTATCCTCGTCACAGGCATGATGGCCTCCAGGCTGGTACTCGTACTTACATGTTCGTATTAAAGTCGCTCTGATGTATGGTAATTAGTGCAAATGAGTCCATTTCGAAACTAACTTTGTGTCAGAAAATAACTAACGATTGAGAAACGGTTTGGCAAACAATGCCGCTCGGTTTTGGAGGGAAAACGAATGTTCTAAACAAACGAAATCATATCATATGGCTTTTTGCGTAAGATGTGCGTCTTATGACACATGTGATACTTATTACATTTTATTTATAAATGATACATATAACTCTTGTCTCGAGTAAGGGCGACTTTCTCATGCACCTATTCACAAAAACTCTTAAAATTTGAAAATTCACAAGGATACTGAAATATTTGAGCGTAAATTTCTGCTGAGATTTACCTATGCATAATGTGAGATAAATTCAAGAAAAGCTTACCATTATAGTGGACAGCGACGACCTCGAGTCGATACGGGTTAGTGGGCTCGTTGGGTGGAATGTTGGGTGTGATATTAATGAGACGACCCTCTGGAGTGTACAATTTGACTATATCGCAGGTTCCAGCCTCGGAAGCAGATCGGAACATATCTGTTAGTAAAACCCAAAAACTTTCCATTAATTCCCCAAAGACACATCCTACTACATTGCGACGACTACATACACCGTCATTAAGAAAGTTGCCGCTCCTGCATCCTCCACATTAATTACAAACGAACGATTGGTCTGTGGAAATTACCAATATTCCACCGTTGTGTCTCCACACTTGGGAACAGCTCATCTCGTAAATTGAACTTTATGGCTAATTCTAAATCTGCAGATAGCTCGCCAATAGAATTGACAGAGTAATGTAATGGAAAGGAGGCCTTGCATTCAAGTGTCTGCCAAGATATTACATGTGACCACTGATTTTTATTTCATTCTCCAGACGCAATACATGCAGATGTGTGTGTATTACTGTATTCCCTCAAATCACATAACTTATTCTGTTCTCCATTTTATTGGTGCATCGTCTTAAACCTGAGCACACAAGCTCTCCTTTTACAACGTGAGAGAAGAAAACATGTAAATAAGATAGAGGGGGAAAGCAGGAGAAAGAGAAGAAAATCTTATTAAAGCAATGCCTTGAAACCGCTGAGGGGTGAAAGCAGAAACGTACGCTCGCTGTGGAACATTACAAACCCTGAATGTGCATACATGTGAAGGCCGTACATCCGCAACTAATATATAAAATGACGCTAAGGCGAACTTGATAAGGTTTCCTAGCTCGTTTATCTGACTCCTTCATGTCATTCCCATTTTTGGACAGAGAAACAATATAAAGAATCTCCTTTTCCACCTTCAAGAACGAATGGAATGGGCAGTGATGCATGCACTAGTTGAAGATCTGAAGAATTTAGATATTGAGGTTCATATTAAATCTAGTATAACATTATACGTTGAACTTATGTACATATGTCATACATAGACATGTACTACATACATATGACATATGTAGTCCGTATTCAGCATGACTTGTCCATTTAAATTATATATTACCGTCAACCTACAGAACACTCTACATATTTAACTTTACTCTGTAGCTAAATATGTAGAATTTAATACGTATTTTTTTTCGTTGAAATTTAGAAAAACTAAATGTTTATAATTTTATCTGGAGTTAGAACTAATTTCATTTCTACCTTCATGATTGCTAGATTTTAAAATTCCTAGATAGCAATCTGTAGAATAGTAGAATATACATATTTAGAGGGGAAATCTGCAATAGATTAAAGCTACATACATACAAAGCAAACTACACTGAACTCGTACATTTATATATATTTTAGTTCACGGAAAGTGAGAGAAGTCGTGCTAAAAGAATTTTTCACTTTCTCCTTTCCTCTCTCTCAGTTCTTTGAACATTTACTTTCATTTCAACTTTTGCCATCACAAAAAGGCCTACCATGAAGAAATTTGCTTAGTCATTTGCATTTTGCGTAGGAGAATTCATTCGGTCTGTTGAGACACGATACTCTTGCATTTCGTTATCTACTTATCAGTGAGATCGATGGCTGACTGACTTTAGATGACTGAGTAAGGTCTCTCTTTTCGTGTTCGTAATTGATGAAACTATATGTGCACATTTACATGTACTATGTAGTTGTATGTAACTATTTATATGTGCCACTTTATGGGCTGCCAAGCAATGAAAGTCGGGACTCTTACATGTGCACACATACAAATTTAGTATAGAGGGCCGAAAGTGAAATTGAGAAATTGATTGGTGTGAGCCTACCTTTAATATCATCAGACGACGAGTTTTTTGGCACAATGGCAGCTTTATGCCGATCGCCTACGAGAAAGTATACCGTTGTCGTAGCCTCTTCTTCATCCACCTCCGTGTCCGACTTTTCGCTAGGTGGTGGCCTGGATGACGATTCTTCTTCGGCTGGAGAAGCCCCATCTAAACTTGATCCCTGGCCGGAGGCCATATGCTCGGTCAATTGTTGCAATTTCTAGTGATTGCTAAAGTTGGAGGTTGCTTATTTCTCCGTTGAAAATGAAAGGTCGTCGCCCGAGGAGGAGAAGAAGTATGGAAGAAATGATCCGCTAGCCATCAGGCTGAGGAAGCAGGGAACAATTCATCTCTGACTTCTGAAATTAGACAACGAAATGAATACAGAATTATTATTACAATTATTATTATTTTAAAGCCTCCTCAAAGCACCGAAGATTGAGAAGTTGCGAGAAAGAGTCTTTCTCAGTAGTTTTCCTATTTCTAGGATAAGATGAGATTGGATGGGATGAGATTGATTGACTATTGAGGGCAGTAGCAGTTTTAGTCTAGTACACATGTGGCGCAGTGTTAGTTTTGTTGCGAGCTGGGGAAATTATATCGAGATACTGAACGACCCGTCACATCGACTTGACTTTTACCATCCTCCTTGTCCTTATTTATCCTGACACTAATCGATGAGGATTTTGTAGCTCGTCTTATTGTAATACCCAATTAGTAGAGTAAAGCTTCATAGGTGGACATTAATGTTTCCTGCCGGCAGTCAATCCAGGACATTTGCATTCAATTTTTGATCTTTGATCAGCGTAACGCACGCTATACAGGCATACAACAAGTTGGGCAAAAAGTATAGGATTACCACGTCCTAAATCACCGCATTGTAGGATTTACTTTTTGAGCAGTAGTGTGGCTCTTGAAAGCAGGGGTAACTTTTATTCTCGTTTAGGAAGGAAGACAGACAGGAGATAAAAGTTCCCTGATGCGTCAAATTGAAGAATGACATGAATAAAAATTCACAAAGGAAAATTGAATTTGAGCAACGAATATCAACTTTCTCTGGGATATGCATTTTGTACATTTGGTGGGTAACTAATTACATTAATCGAAAGGTCGTGTATGGTTAATATTTACTCAAAATCTATGTATAGATAATTCTGGTCTTTTATTGCATGTTCCCAAAATTCAGTCGGGCAGCCATTCCCAAGAGGTTTGTAGCTTTATTTTTGAATTTAAATGAGATATTTCGGATAAAAATTGAGGAAATACATAGTTCCTGCAGAACAACTTGCAAAGTAAACCAGAAAGATTTAGTATACCCTATTTAATCCTTATGTTATGTCGTTTCGTGCTACTTGCGGAAAGGATATGCATGCTAATCCCCAGCAGACAGCATAATGCCATATCTATGATTGTCCTCTTCCCTTCCTCCTCCACAATCCATGATTCTTACATAAAAGGAGACAGGATTGCTTGAAAATAACTGCAGGAACAAGTTCCAGTGGTTCGTATGAATCTAAAATCAATTCGGATTTAACTTGCCAATATGACGTAATGCTTAGTTTAATTTCTCTTATGAACAGAAGACTGAGCAGAAAAATGTATTTTATTATGAGAAAAATAATTTCACGTGGAAATATTTAGTGAAAAAATACGTAACGTATTTGTTGGATAAATTATCAATCAAAATAGTACAAGGTATTTTGACACAAAGTGTCGTACGAGGTGTCCACGCACGATTTCATCCTTATTATTGAGAGGACCAAAGACTTTCACCTTGTTTGCACACAACTTACCGTGTGCTTTTGGACATAAAGGTGAAATTGATTCATCTTGCCCAATCTGAGTCTATAAGGAAAGTTGGATGGAATTGAGAAAAGTGGTGTGTCCGTTTCAAAGGTGGCAATAATTCAGCGTACCATAAGCACAATTCTGCTATAGCGGCATTCGAATTCGGTTCACGTTAGAGAAACCCGACCACATTTCCAATACTATAATGATAAGTGCACACCATTGCTCGGGCACTGGAAAGCTGATGAGTTATTGGATTAGCTTGACACTTGCGGCTACAAATTACTATCCCACTGTTATTTCTGGACGAGTGGTCTCTCCAAACGCCCATTTCCCATGTTCCGATGTCCTTCCTCGTTTAATTCTCCACGAGAAGATAGTCAACGACAAGATTACGCGACATGTTTATCAATTTCCAGTGATATTCATAGTCAAGCGTGACTAATCCTACTTTTAATTTGAATTTAAATAACTGCCCCAATAATTCTCCTATTTTGCATAAAAGGTTGAGAGAGAGGGAGACTCGTATAGTTTTGAATAAAACTTGAATTTAAGGACCATTATTCTTTGCAAGTACTCGTTTTTGCAGGTGCACATGTGGCATACATATATTAAGCAAGCCTGGGAGGGGTAAGTCTCCCATGCATCTGATTGTTCTCACACGAGCATGATTTATTAACCCCGTGTCTGTTAGCGTGGTGAAAGTTGGTGAAAGCAGATTTTCTGAACGAAAGTTGTAAAAATAAAAATTACTAGGAACGAATAGTTCAAAGATGTTCATTTGAATATATTTTCCCATTTTTCCTTCGTCTACACATCTCTCTCTCTCTTCCTTATTTACATCTTTCGCTTATTTGCTTCAAGTTGTTTCTGTGTTTGCAACCTAGAGTGCAAGATGGATTTGCTCATGAATTTCCTTTTATTTCTAATTTATATAAACACGGCGTGGAAATAATTCGTTTCTGAATTTCACTAGACAGGAGGCAATTTGTCTTCAATAATTCATGCGAGGATTACAGTACTCAAGAAATGCAAAATGGTGTTTCATGATATCAAACGTGTACGTACATTTGTATGTAAAGCAGTTTCATACCTTGTAGCATTTTATCTAATTGATAGGTTTTAAAAAATATTGTGCTAATTCAATCTATCCCTTACATCTAAATATGAATGCTTTAAAATGCATGTTTTACCTAGAATTCTTGATCACGCATCGTGATCGTGTAACGAACTAATTGGTCATTTACTTATTAACACTTAGGCAAGCTTTATCAATTCGAATCCCTAGCTGCCGTTTTCACACAATCGAATAACTGAATGAATAAAGCGATTTTCAGCTTAGAATTGCTGGGTGCTAAGGCCGTTTGATCTCCAGAAATTTCAATACAATTTATCTCGCCAAATGGAAACCTGCATAGTGCTGGAAGTGAGTGACTAACTGAAACAAGTCCTACTCACCCAATAATATACATTCAAAAACAGGACAGAGTATGTGCTTTGCGGATTTTAATCAAGCCCGGAGAGAGAGGAAGAAAGTCAAGGAAAACAAAACAAGCGTTCACAACTCTGCCGCCCTACATACGTATAATATTCGACTGACTGAGAAGCCATCAGACCCAATCTGTCTTTGGCAACCATTTCCTACCGAGAAGAATCCACCGAGACTGCTACCAGAGACAAATTCAATATTGAGACGACGACTCCTTTTACTTGAACAACTTTACGTCTTTCTCAGTCCCCAGAGTAAGCCACAAAACCACGTCTCTGGGTGTTGATTCTTCGTTTCCATTATGTTTCTTCACCAATAAGCCAGTGCCAAGATACGTATGTATTTCCCAAACACCAACAGTACGTATATACCAACCAATTCGCTTTTTAATAGAAAAATGTGAAAAAATAATTGCAACAAATTAGGTTGCTCTATGGACCTTGTCTGTCAGATACTTGCATACCAAACAATTATTTTTAGTAGAGTTATCCAAACAATGGAGTGACTGTAGTTTCGTAAATAACCTACAGCCAGCCAGGGCACGATGCAGTTCACAGTCTGCCGTGCACGCTATTTCACCGTTGTTTTGCTGAACTGATACTCGCTGCTGCTAACTTGAGCTGGGTGGGGAAGCGAGCTATCTCAGCCAGCTCAGGTAGGGTGAAAGCAGGAGCATTGTGAGCGGTGTGGGTTGGGAGAGGGAGTGAGAGCTATGGAGTGGATACCACGAAAGCCGACGAGGTACAAAGGTAGGCATAGTGAGGAGAAAGCTTATGATGACGCACATAGCTTTCTCAGTATAAAAGTTTAATACCCACTCATCTTCCACTCCTGCCTTCAGATCATTATGGACATACACCGATTTCTTTTATACTTTTCGGCAAATTAATCTGGCTATATAATGGATGGAAAAGTCAATACTTTCTCTCAGACGACTTCATCCATACCCCGCCCGTCTCCAACCAGGCCAAAATATACATTCTTCCATTTGTAATCTAAAGTCCTTGGCATATGCTTCCAAAGAAATCTCACCAACAAAATTCAATGCAACTGATCCGCTTGCTATACATCCATGTATTCGCTTAATAGTTCCCATACATACAAATTGTGACCATACAAAGTTGGTACTACAAACTCTGTGATGTGTATACAAATAAGTAATTAAAGCAAATAAGAATGCTTGATTTTATAGTTGCCAAATTTAAAGTTTGCTTTCAATTTGACCAAGCACACCAAACGTTGAGTAGAAGGTTTCCTTCCTATTGTGTATTAATTATATGACTTATGGCGCTCAGATTTTTATATCAATTTTTTCTGCCACAGCATGTAATCCATTCTAATGCCAGATATCGCGATTAAAGAAAGGGAAGCTAGAATTCTGGGCCTTTGTAGTTTATGTCACTGAGGTTGTTAGCCGCTTGTCCAATTACTGAGGTATTTTCATCTGAAATCTTACCATCACCCGCAGGAGAACAAACATTAATTGGCGAAAGCAATTTTGCTCGCGACACACATATTTACGCAGACAGAGTAATGAAAACAGAGCGTGTTGTGCACTGTATTTGTAATATGTTGTAATTCCGAGATTGAAAATAATAACACTGCAAACTATTTAATTGCATACGTATGTACAATAGTATTGGACCTCCATGTACAATTGATGTATTGTAACAATACACCAATCACACGCCTGCTTTCGGGGTAATCCAAGCATAAAGGAATTTAGTCGATATGCAAACCGGCACCAGGTTTACATTAAAAGGAAATGCCATTTCTTCCTGAAATGGGACGTAGGAAAAGAGTGATAGCTTTACTGGAAGTTCATGCACATGGACAATTGAATTTTAAATATTTAGCACGTTAAATTTGTGTACCCTTACTCATTATTTAAGTGGTCGTGTTCCTGAAGGAATCACCTTTTATTCACCGATGTAGCTTTTCTCTTCAAGACTTGAAGTTCAAGTGCCAGATGGGAGAATCGTGCCACTTTGGAACTAAAATTCGCAGAGAAACTCACAACTCATCCCTGGACATAAACCCGGTTTGACTCACTATTAATTTTTCATCATTAACGACTGGAGC